CCCCGTAGCTCTCGCCGCCCCTTTCGTCTTCGCTACCTCAATCTGCGCGTCGCCCTGTTTCTTAAGCCACCGCCCAAAACTCCCCCCCAGGCAACCCCATGTCTCAGCAATGAGAGGTGTAAACTGCACTCCCCTATGTCGCTGCAGAAGCAATTTGTAGTCCGCCGCCTTCCGCTTTTCCCTCTCTCTAGCGGCAAAACCCACCTTGCGACCAATCTGTCCATGGTGCTGCGCGGACAACGAGATAGGGTCCACCACACTAACCTCCAGCGCATGCTCCTCCCCCTCCCTCTAGTCTCCGCACCGCCACATCCACCCTCTTCCCTGGCAGCAACGTGTCGTCTTCCATGGTCACGACCCCACCCGCCCCTTTAGCTATCTTCGCCACCACAAACTTAACCGCGTCGTGAACACGAGAAGGTGCGTACTGGTACTTGCAGCGAAGGGCATGATGCGGGTCAGAGGGATCAGCAAACTCAAACCCACACGCGCACTTGCCGGCGACTATCAGCTGCTGTATGGGGAGGCCTAGGCGCATGGACGCACAGATGCTCCACTCGGCTGCGGTGAAGGTAGCCTCTTCGTGCGAAGGGACGGCGGAGACCCACGCCCCTGCCCCCGATTCTGACACCCGGGCCCTGAAGGGATGTCAAACGGGCCATGGTGGCGTCGTCGTGGTGGTGGTGGTAAATCAACCATGGAGATTTGAGCATGGAGGAATCAATGGTGGTCGACGGTCGGGATTCGTGAATCAACCATGCTGATTTGTCTTGGGATTTACGCGTTGCGGTACAGTAGCAGTTTCACGAATGCGCTGCACGCAAGATGAATGCACCTCGCCTTGGGTTGGTCAATGGATTTCGCTGGCTCGCACAGCCATAAGGAATACAGATTCCTGAACATGCGAACGCTCGTTACATCATATTCCTTTATTTCGCCGTTTGTCGTGAATGAGCTGGATGCTGTCGTGAAGCCCGTCAAGTGCTCCCAGAATGGCTCACCCAAGCCGCAGGGGGAGAGGGTTCAGGGGAGCGAGGAGGAATTTGATTGGCTGCTGGTGGAACACGGCCAATTCCCTTGGCCAGTCCCGAATCCCGCCCGATTCCTGATTCCTCCTAAACTCCAAAACGTTATCATACCACACGTTTTGAGAACTGCATGGCTGTGGTTGTAGCTACAGCCACAATGCTTGCTCCACAACGTGTACGTCAACAGTGCACATGTGACCAACAAGACGCCAGTCCTCCTGTGTTTTCCCACTCCACACACCCTATCTGGAGGATCATTTACCCCCTCTTAGAAAGGGTACTTGGGAAACAAATTAAAGAAAAAAAATCCAGACTCCATTACAAAACTGAAGTCCCGCCTCTTATACCATTTGATAATACGACGTCAACATTATATTTTCCATAAGCAGCGGAACATCCCATCCCAATCCATACGAAGTACCAGTTTGTTCACCAGGTAAACCCATGTTATTGCTTCCAGAACACAGGCGGCAACACATCACACATGGTACTACTGAGAGCCTTCACTTGCTTAACCTATACATATTGATACTCGCAATAGTGAACATGGACAAAAGCTAGCTAGATACCGTATGAACAACAAACTATAAGGCATTCCTATCCTCAGACTTGTTCTTACTGCCTTTTTTTCTCCATGGACGCAGCCCATCTGGCTTAACCTCCTGCTCTAACCGTCTCTCCTCCTGTCCCTTCCCTCTCTCCTCCAGTCCCTTCTCCCTCTCCTCATGCCCCTTCCCATTTTCACCACGGCCCTGTCCATTCCCTTCCTGCGTCTTCCCTCCCTTCAAAAGCGAAAGAATTTTGCTCTTCGGCACTCTAGCTATCGACCCCCCCTTCCCACCATCCTTCCCACTCGCACTAGCATGCCCTGGAGAGCGCTGCAAAAGGGACGAGACTTCGGCAAACGAGTGTGCTTGTACGGGGGATGGCAAACACGGGGACGTAGCATGTGAGTGTGCTTGTATGGGGGGTGACGAGTAAGGGCTGGTACGCGAGTGTGAGTGTACAGAGGGTGAGGAGTACGAGTGTGACGTAGGCAGTCGGCGGCCTGTAGGAGGGTGGTAATCCAAGAGTGTGGAGGAGAGGGGAGGGACTCGGGGCCTGGTGTTGCTTCTCATGCTGTTGCTATTAATGCTGTTTGTGCTGCTCGAAACACTGCTGATGCTGCTGATGCTGTCGATGGTCGTGAGACTGCCGAAACTGGGGTTGTTGCAAGCAGCACTGCCGGCGCTGACGCTCCTTGGAAGGGCGGCTGAAACGCTATCACACTCCGCAGTGGCACCCACAGAGGTGCCAACAGCTGCTGCAGCAGCAGGAAAGGTAGAAGGAGCAGCAGCAGCAGAGCTGGCACTACTCCACCCGGCAACACTATCACACCTGGCAGTGCCATAACTGCTCTCAGACTCACACCCACTAGCTGCACCCTCAGCCCCTTCTGCACTCATGCTGCCTGAAATCTCACTGGCACTACTATCCCCGTTGCTAGCCTGCACAACGGTAGAATCACCAGCAGGAGCAGGTGCTTCAGCAGCACCACAAGCAGCAGCAGAAGTAGCCGAACCAGCAGCAGCCGAACCAATAGCAGCTGAAGCAGCAGCGACGAGATTAATGCTCCCATCCAAAGCGTTTCCCTCCATCACAGCAGCATCCCCACGCGCACAAGAACCCTCACTCCTGCTGCTGCCACCACCGCTGCTCCTCACACCCAAACTGCCACTGTCTCCCTGCCTCTCCACGTCCCAGCCATGGCCCTCAGGTGTTTCCTCAGGAACGCCCCCCTGGCTCACACCATTGACGTTCAAGACACCCCCTGGCTCTTGAGTGGACTCAAAGGCCAACTCGTTTGTCTCAGGAGCAACCCCCTGGCTGATTCCCTTGCCGTGCAAATCACCCCCTGGGCTAAACTCTTGCTGTGCTCCCTGCCCTACCCCCTGCCCTACCCCCTGCCCTAGCCCCTGCCCTACCCCCTGCCCTACCCCCTGGTCTATCCCCTGCCCTACCCCCTGGCTCTCAGCAGCAATATCCCTGTCTCCCTCACCCACAGGGTCCCCCTCGTTTACCCCCCGGCACACCCCCTGACATACCCCCTGTACCCCCTGACTCTCCAAAGCGCCCTTCTCTCTCACTCCCTCTCTCACTCCCCCACCAGCCTCCTCCTCCCCATCCCCCGCAATAAGCCCCTGCCTGCTCAGCCACCTCAGATGCTCCTGCAGCTGCAGCAGCCGCCTTGTTGCTGCATCCACTTTATCCTGCCGCTCCGGGCTATTGCCAGCCTTAGACGTCCCGGCGGGTCTGCTGAGGGACTTGAGCACTGCTGCGAACCTTGGCCTGAGACAAGAGGAGCTTGAGGGGCCACTCTTGTGAGCCGACTCCGAAACCGATAACCTGGGGCTGAGACATGAAGGGCTGGAAAGGCCGCCTTTTTTAGTCGACTCGGGAACCGATAGCCTGGGGGGGCTGGGACACGAGGGGCTGGATGGGGCAGGCGCAGCACTGCTAGCACTGGTAGAACTAGATGCAGTGGAGTGAGAAGCGGTGCTGCCAGCGCCAGCAAATGCAGCAGCAGCACCCGCAGCACCAGCAGCAGCAACACTAGCAGCAGCAGCAGTTGCACCAGTTTCGCTCCTCTTTCCCTCTCCCCTGAAACCAAGGCACTGTCCCAAAGGGTTCTGGCTACCTGAGCGGCCCTGAGGGGCAGAACCGTGCTTCAGACGGGCAGGCAAAGGGGCAGGAGAAGGACCATGGCCATCTGACAAGGGGTTACTGTTACCACCTGGTGTTGCAACGTGGTTACCACCTTCGCCAGGGCTGCTCGCCAACTGGTTACCACCATTACAATCACTCCTGCTGCTGTCCAAAAGGCTTCGAAAGGACCCGTCAAACGACTCGTCCTCTTCAGTCCGGAATATCCCGCTGTCCCTGCTGTTGCTTAGCTGAGCGCCAGTATTTAACTGAGAGCCAGCGTTCAACTGAGAGCCGGTGTTTATCCGAGAGCTGGCAAAGGCTTCAAGAGGAAAGGAGAGTGAGAAGCCATCAGATAGGTCGAGAATCGGCACTGGAAGCATGAACATACTGTTGCCTTCCGAGCTTGCATCGTCTTCCTCCTGATCCCAATCTGAATCCTCATCTTCCTCTCCCCCCTCTTCGTCCTCCTCCTCCTCCCCCTCCTCCTCCTCGTCCTCCTCTCCTTCGTTCCATTCATTCTCCTCCTCCTTGACCGTACCCCCCTCACGTTCCTCCCCTCCCTCCTCTTCCCAATCCCCTTCCACGCCCCCTTTCCCTTCCTCTTCCCCTTCCGCTTTCTCCCAAACCCCCCTCCCAGGCACGAGATCGGAAAAGCCGACCCCCCTCCCCCCTTAGAGCTGCTGATTCTGCTGCCAATGCTCACACTCCTTTCGTCGTACTCGCTAAGAGCATCCTCAAGAGCGTCATAAGCCGCAGGTGAAAACATCCACCCAGACGGCGTAAGAGAAGCGGAAATGCTGTCACCTGAATCACGCCTTGCTCCCACCCCAACATCAAATGCAAAAGACCCCACCCTTCCAGCACTCTCTCCCTCTCCCTCTCCCTCTCCCACTCCCACTCTTACTCCCACTCCCTCTCCCTTCACTCCCACTCCCACTCCCACTCCCACTCCCTCTCCCTTTCCTCCACACGCAACCCCACCTAAAGCAGCATAGTCATGCTCCATCTGACTCCTGTCCACATCCATACGCGTTACAGCATGCCCCTGGTTCGTGTCAACACCCGCCCTCTTCTCCACCCTATCAGCCAACCCCACAGCCACCTCAAGAGTCGATTCCAAGTCCATGCTCGGAACACCCCACTTGCGACGGGCCGAATCCAGACTCATAGTCAGGACCTGCTCCCTCTCTCCCCTCATCTGACCCATCATGTCACAACCCCCCTGCTCTACCCTATCAGTATCAGCCACCCCCGCACCCGCCTCTGAGGTCGAATCCAGACTCATAGTCACGACCTGCTCCCTCCTTTCTCCTCTCCTCTGGCCCATCCCGTTGCTGTCCTGTGTTGCCCTGCATGCTTCTGACTCACAAACACCCCCCTGCTCCACCCTATCAGCAGCCCCCATAGCTGCCTCTAGAGCGGATTCCAAATCCATTGTGGGAACAGCCCACATGCGAGCGGCTTGACCTGCCTTCCTCCTCACAATCATCCCTGGTCCCACCCCTCCCTCTGCCACCACTTTTGCCGGCGCTCGCATCACCCCACTTCCCGTTCCCCCTGCTCCTCCCCCTCCCCCTTCGCCTCCCCCTGCTCCTCCCCTTTCCCCTTTTTTGCGAGGGTAAATTACCCTGGAGTCTGCGGCGAAACTCCCTATGGCTGCCTCGACCATTGCTGCTGCTGCCAGAATATCCTCATCGGAGCAGAGTGATGATTCTGCAGGAAATACAACGGTTGAGAACGGTACAGGGGCAGATTCCACGTAGCCATCACCTGTTACCCTATGAGGAGGGGAATCTGGATCCGGAAACACAGCCGGGGCATCTGGGCCGTTGAATGCAGCAGGTGCATTCGAATCACGCACAGCAGTTTCAGCACCAACGGTGGTGATTGGCAGCTGATCCGGCACTAACCCCTTCCAGGAAGCACTTTCTGCTGCACTTCCTTCTGCTGCTTCTGCAGTTGAGATGCCTCGCCCGTGCACCCCTTGCCCCCGTTCCCTTTGCCCCACCTGCCCCCATGGCACAGCCTGCACTGCCTGCACGGCTGCCCTCACAGCAGCATGCATGTGGGCCGGTTTCACTCGGATACTATACACCCTCTTCACTGGATTGCCAGCATTAGCAGCAGGGACAGCCGCGTTCCCCACAGTAGCAGCAGCTACATTCCGCACAGTAGCAGCACCACAAGGACTGGCAGCAGGAGCAGATGCAGTAGCAGTAACAATGCCAGCAGCAGCAGCACTAACACTGACAGCAGCAGCAGCACTGGCAGCAGCAGCAACCTGTTGTGCCTTGAGTGCTGCCAGCTCGTCAACATGGCTGCTGAGTCGGTCAAATGCCTCCTCTATCCTGCCCACTACCCTCGCCACCTCCTCCCCTCCCTGTGCTCTTTCTCCTCCTTCCCCTCCCTTCCCCCCTTCCTCTTGCTCCCCATCCCCTGCCTCCCTTCCCTCTCTTCTCACTCCTTTCTCCTCTCCTTCTCCACCCTCTTTTCCTTCTCTCTCTCCTTCATTTTCTCCACCCACTCCTTCCCCTTCTCCACTCACCCCTTCCCCTTCCCCTCCCACCCCTTCCTCCTCTCCTCTCACTCCTTCCCCGTCTCCTTCGCCCCTTTCTACCCCTCCTTCTCCCCCTCCTCGCTCACACAAATCAACAACGCTACTGAATCGACTAAAAGCTGCTTCAATTCTCTCCAAAGTTAACGGCACTTCCTCCACCAACACTTCTCCCTCTCCCTCTCCCCAGCCCTCCCCCAATCCCACTCTCTCCTCCACCATCCCTCCATCCCCTTCCTCTTCCCCTGCCCGACTCTCCAGCTGACTGTGTACCTGACTCAGTATCCCATCCTCACAGTTAGCCTTTTGAGACGTCTCAGAAGTCTGCACTCGGTCTTGCATAGGCCTAGTGTCCTCCAGAGAGTGTGTTCCATGCACTGGTGAGTGTTGCTGTGTGTGCTGTAACAAGTGCAGCTGTGGTGGTGGTGAGTGCTGTGCTTTGTGCACTGGTGAGTGTTGCTGTGTGTGCTGTGGCAGGTACTGTGGTGGTGGTGAGTGCTGTGCTTTGTGCTCTGGTGAGTGCTGTGACACCCCTTGTTGTGACCCGTACCCCTCCCTTCCCCTATAATCACTCGCGCTACTGTCACAATTGCTGCTCCCTAAGCTGTGGCTACTGCTTGTATGAACCCCCGAGCCCTCCCGCCCGATCTTATCCTCTCCCACCCACCGCCCAGCGTATCCAGCTCGGATCTCTGCCAGCCTGGCAGCCAGCTCAGCATCTCTCTCGATGGCCGCACGAGACGGCAGGCCACACGTGGCACGCCACCTGGCGGCCGAGGCCGGGCGGCAGGGGACAGACAGACGACGGGGCTGCTGACCTGGCGGTGACTCAAAAGCGCGTGTATAAGCTGGAGCTGACTCAGCAGCAGGATGCAGCTGGGGGGAATCGACTGTTGTCACCAATTCAGCTGCGATTGTTGCTGCTATTGCTGTTGCGGCAGCTGTAGCTACTGGTGTGGCTGCTGTGGCTGCTGCAACTGCTGAAGCCTCCACTGGTGCCACTGTAGCCTCCATTGCCCCCACTGGCGCGGCTGCTGCTGCAGATTCTGCCCCGCCACTGTACCCCCCGCCAGTGGGAGGCAGCTTCTGCTGTCCTGCCACGCCACACTCATCCCTCAACTCCCTTTCAGCCGAATCTCCAGTCGTTGCAGGAGTCGCTGAAGCATCAAGAGAGGCTGAAGCAAGAGAGGCTGAAGCAAGAGAGGCTGAAGCAAGAGAGGCTGAAGCATCCGCTGAAGCATCCGCTGAAGCGCCCGGGGCGGCCTCACATTTCCCCAAGCTTGCTTCTCCCCTATTGGCCAGCACTGACAGCAAGGCCGAGGGGAGAGTTGCTGACGCCAGCAAGCTCCCAGAAAAGGATTCTGCAGATGCTTCCGTGCGGGGGAGGGACGTGATTGCGTCAGTGCAAGCCAGGGAAGCAGTTGCTTCAGTGCAGGGGAGAGAATCCGCTGCTGTTCGGAACGAGAGTGATGCCAAGGGCTCAGCATGCCCTTCCTGAGACCCATCACCATCACCGCCTCCCCCAGCGCCTCCCCCAGCGCTCTCCCCAGCGCTCCCCCCAGCGCTCTCCCCAGCGCTCTCCCTAGCGCTCCCCCCAGCGCTCTCCCCAGCGCTCTCCCTAGCGCTCCCCCCAGCGCTCTCCCCAGCGCTCTCCCTAGCGCTCCCCCCAGCGCTCTCCCCAGCGCTCTCCCCAGCGCTCTCCCCAGCGCTCCCCCCAGCGCTCTCCCCAGCGCTCTCCCCAGCGCTCCCCCCAGCGCTCTCCCCAGCGCTCTCCCTAGCGCTCCCCCCAGCGCTCTCCCCAGCGCTCTCCCTAGCGCTCCCCCCAGCGCTCTCCCCAGCGCTCTCCCCAGCGCTCCCCCCAGCGCTCCCCCCAGCGCTCTCCCCAGCGCTCTCCCCAGCGCTCCCCCCAGCGTCCCCCTCACCAGCCTGCTGCTCCCCACCCTTGTCAGCCCTGCCTTCCCCTGCCACTGCTGCAGTGTTCGCATCAAACACCCGCTCGTTACAGTCACTCTCGCTACTAGCACAAGCCCTGCCTCCCCTGCTGCCACTAACGCTGCCCCCAGCAACAGCCATGCTACCCGCTTCAACGGAACCCAAACCTCCGCACCTCGTGTTTCCGCCCTCTCCCCCACCCCCTCCACCAACCTTAAAACCGGACTGCACCGTTATAGAGTCATTCAACCCACCTACTATCAATTCAGCGCCATCCCTGCCCCAGCCCTTGTCCCTCCGAAACGCGTTGATATGCATCTGGTTCCGCTTTCATTCAACCCACCTACTATCAATTCAGCGCCATCCCTGCCCCAGCCCTTGTCCCTCCGAAACGCGTTGATATGCATCTGGTTCCGCTTCCCCACTTGCCTGAACTTATCCGTAAAACCCGCCTGCTCCCCCCCGTTTGCCCCGCCCCTCCCCACCATATCAAACGATAAGCCGTAATCACTGTAGCTCGCCATGTCCACAGACCCATCATCCCCTAACTCGCAATCCTCCTTTAATCCGGTGCCTGCTCCGTTTTCCCTTGCCTCCCGCGCCTCGCTAAAAGCTCCTTCATTATTTTCACTCTGTCTGCCACTGCCACTCAGACGATTGGAGTTGCTGTGCTCCGTTATAGAGTCGAGCAGTTGACCTTCTGACGAGGCAGACCGGCTCCTCTCCCTCTCCTTAACCCTTTTAATCGCGTTGATATGCATCTGGTTCCGCTTCCCCACTTGCCTGAACTTATCCGTGAAACCCACCTGCTCCTCCCCGTTTGCTCCGCCCTTCCCAACCATATCAAACGACAAGCCATAATCACTGTAGCTCGCCATGTCCACGTGTCCATCATCCCCTAAATCACAATCCTCCTTTAATCCGGTACCTGCTCCAGTTTCCCCTGCCTCCCGCGCCTCGCTAGAAGCTCCTTCGTTATATTCACTCTGTCTGCCACTGCCACTCAGACGATTGGAGTTCCTGTGCTCCGTTATAGAGTCGAGCAGTTGACCTTCTGACGAGGCAGACCGGCTCCTCTCCCTCTCCTTAACCCTTTTAATCGCGTTGATATGCATCTGGTTACGCTTTCCCACTTGCCTGAACTTATCTGTGAAGCCCACCTGCTCCTCCCCGTTTGCTCCGCCCTTCCCAACCATATCAAACGAAAGGCCATAATCACTGTAGCTCGCCATATCCACAGACCCATCATCCCCTAAATCACAATCCTCCTCTAATCCGGTACCTGCTCCGGTTTCTCCTGCCTCCCGCGCCTCGCTAAAAGCTCCTTCGTTATTCTCGCTCTGTCTGCCGCTTTCATGGTTGGAGTTGCTGTGCTCCGCTATAGAGTCGAGCAATTGACCTTCTAACGAGCCAGACCGACTCCTCTCCTTGGCCCTTCTAATCGCGTTGATATGCATCTGGTTCCGCTTCCCCACTTGCCTGAACTTATCCGTAAAACCCACTTGCTCCTCTCCGCTTGCCCCCCCCTTCCCCACCATATCAAACGATAGGCCATAATCACTGTAGCTCGCCATATCCACACTTCCATCTACAGTACCGTCTAAAATATCATCTCCTTCATAAAAGGGGGTATACATACCCGTTACAAGCGCACTCGACGGAGGCAGACTACCAGAAATCTCGAGCGCGGCAGACTCGAGATCCGCAATTCGCGTCAGGCGATTGCGTAAGTCGCACGATTCCCCCCTCTCCTGCCAACTCTCGGCTTCCGTGACTATACTAAGCGCGCGCGTTAAGTTTATAAGCCTCGGCATCACATCATCCTCGCTATAAGCTTCCGACGATGCCTCTAAAACGCCGCTGTCTCCTGCCTTTTCGGTCCCTCTCGCACTTCCCGCGGATTTCAGTCCCGACAAAAAGAACGTCCCGCCTTTCCCGTGGGTTACCACATCGACGGTTCGCCGGATCCATTTCGCGCCTTTCTTCCCGCCTCGCAGGCTGATTTGCTTCAGGCGGTGCAGAGACAGAACCTGCTTCGCCGCGCCAGTAAAACCAGCGGACCCAGATAACGTCTCCGACTCGTGTTGCAACCCCTGTAAGTGTGGCCGCGAACCTGGTATCGTTGCTCCGTTACCATCCGGATGAACCGAAGACTGCGCGTCAACGTCATGACAATCGGAAGATTCCGGTCCGTCAGCTTGCTGCGATTCGTAGACGGAATCTTCTGGTAAGGCGTCGAGTTGCGAGGAGTATGCAGAACCGTCGATTTCATGAGCAGTTTCCGGCGAAGGTAGCGCCGCGTCGCTCGCCAAGGCGCGTCCGGCGCTGTCGACTATTGCCTCTTCCACGGACTGGTACTTAGAATCGTAGAGAAGGACGTACGCGTCTCCGCAGTCTACTAAAACTAGCGAGTCCTCGTTCGACATTTGTCCTTTATTCTCGGGATTCATGAACTAGGATGAGCTAAATTGGAGTTAGAAACCGCGGCTACGCAACGCGAGAAACGAGTGAACTTGTTTCTAAGCGGTTCCTAAAACGAGTCAGAACCTCTGGTGTAGATGGCAAAATTTTGCTGCTCTCCATTCGTCCTGGAAGAATGAAACAAAGCGAAGGCAGGAACTAATTTTGGAGACTTTGACGTGCTACGAACATGAATGATGGTTCTGCTCGAGTCATGGATGTCCAGTGCTTTGAAATACGACTCCCCACATACGGTTCCATGAGGTTCCTCGGGTTTTGGCACGGTAATATCTGCTCGCCGTTTCGGAACGCAACAAACCGAACTGTAACGAGATGCACGCAGGACACCCTTTGAGTGGGGAGATGGATGTTGTTGACAGGCGGACAAGTCGAGAAGTCGGACTGATGAAACAGAAGACCGGGGGAGGCGGAAAGCGGAGAGGCGGAGGGAATCGGGGAAACGCGGCATTCCAGAGTGACGACGGGTTGGAGATAGGGGGAGGTCTTGGGTGTGGGGAAGATTGGCGGCAGCCATCACCAAAAAGATCGACGGAGCCTTCCTTCCCGTGTCGGGGGAGGGGGACGGTGGTGGATTGGGTGCAGCAAAATCCCTTCTGGCGCAAGTTGTGTGCTGGTGTCGCAGCACGCAGACGTGGGCGCGGAATGAAAGCTGGAGAAAAGCGCTGATGCAGGCAGGTGGCGGAGAATAGTTGGTCAGCCAGTGGCCCCACCACCACCATTGGTGCGCCTCCCGCATGGCTTGTCGGTGCGAAAGGTGAACAGCAGCTCGGGGGAGGCGGGAAAGACAAGGCAGGAGCTTCCGTCAACCGATGCTCCAGCATCACACGGCAAGGAAAAACACGTGGAGCGTAGAATGTAGTTTTAAGGAAGAAGTCTTTTTAACATCCATGAAGTCTGTACATCGTTTTACTGTAAGCAATCCATCTTTAAAGAGTACAGCGAATCCCAATGCCGCGAAATTTGCAGCTTTGAATTATCGAGTTCGTTTTCCCGCCAAACTGCTTTTCTGCCACTCTCTGCGTATCCTCCAGGCATGAAGGATTCAAGTTTCGCTTTCTTCAGTTGCTTCATTCTTGCTTGCTCAACAAGTTTTATTCATCAGTTAGAACTGAGTGACGCTGGGAAGTGAAGACACCAAATGCGTGTTTCCTTCTCGAGCTCTTCAGCCGTGTGCCTAAATTCCAGGTGTGAGAGCTAGACGACTTTCTGGTTATTGATATAGTCGAATAGATTAGTCTTTGTGCACAGCATTATGACATTCAGTAGAGCGTGACCTTAGATTCCAATCCATCGGGTCAAATTTAGATTCGCGTTCCAGCCAACGTCACGATTGTTAGGCGTCACTATACCTTCGCCCAATGGATTTCAACGTAACTTCGCGAAAACGAGCCGCACCCTCCGTCGCACAGGGTCCCGGCGCGGTCGGTGCTGACGGTCGCGGCGTAGGTCCTTCGGGATGGAAATCCTCCGCAGGAAGCGGCGGAGTTTCAGCGTGCCAGTTGTCGATGTACGACGAGGCGCCGGTGGGGGAAGAGGTGGCCATGGAGCAATTCGAGGAGTTCGCGTTGGACCGGCTCCGGGGTGAGCTAGGATTCGAAAATATGGCTTAGGTATTGGAAAAACAAATCGGGGAGAGCTGCCATATGCAGAATTCGAAGCGTGCAGTATAGAACTGAACGGCTGAATGGACGGTCCGAGAATCTTTTGGTAGCGCTGATTCCGGCGCCATTCTGTTTCTCCACTGGCGAAAATGGTTTAAATTCACCTTGGGAGGTGTTGTCCTGTAATGATGCTTTCGGGGGTGTCTTTCACTGCGAAAGGCTAATGGACTCTTCATGCGATAGGTTTTTATGTGCGTTGGGCTCAAGGTGACCGACGGCGCCTTGTCTTGCAGCGGCGTATAACGCGTACAACGCGGAACTGAAGCGAGCCTTATTTTTCCGTGTGCGCAGTGCTCAAGGCCATCGACGACGCCAAGGCGCGCGGAACAAAGGTGGACGAGCTCGACAGCATGGTATGTGCGTCCTACCTTTGCAAGGAAGGCGGAAACGTCCAGACATGGCAGGAACGTGCATAATGGCATTGAACAGGGTGAGAAGGATGTCATCATGCCGTTTCTTTCGTTCCAAATGATGGTTCTTCCTGTTTTTCGTGACAATATGGTACTTTTATCTTTCGGTGACATCAGACAGGCTCAGAATGGGGCGTTGCTATTTACGTGCACTACGTTTTGTTTCGCAGGTATCTGACATATGGCGGAAGTACATGCGAGCTGGATGCTCGCTGGCTGACGCTCGTCGCAAGGACGTCATATCGCACTACATCCTGCGACTCGCCTACTGTCGCACGTGAGCCTTTTGAGACGCCTCAGAACCCGCCTATTGTCGCACATGAGTTGTTAGAGATATTTCAAACATCCCCTACTGTCGACTAAGGGTTTGCAAACCTTCCTTTTTTGCAAACATCCCCTGCTTGTATCCTTGTGTTCCTTTACAAATTCTCGCCAAATTTCAGGAAAAAAAACAAAAATCCACTCATCCTGATTCCGTCCTCTCGTCCTCTCCTCCACTAACGCAGGGAGTGCGAGAGAAGCTAACTCAAGTTGCCAGGTCCCTCAACCTACCTGTCCCTAATGGTAATCTACCTTGAGTCAGCTCAGACTTTTTGCTAACGAGTTATTGCCAGTCAAACACTGTTCGTACCTTCCTCTGGTAATTCTGACACCAAGGATTTGCACCTTCAGCCGTTGCTTGCCGCCCATCTCAGTCATTACTGGTTTTGTTTTTGCACGATGTTTTCTAGCACCGACGTCCAACCTGCCCCTTTTCAAACCTGCCTTTTTTTTCCATCCCGCCCTTTTTCCAAACTGCCCGTTGTCAACCTTTCCATTTCATCTTGGCGACCTTCATCACACGACTGCTCCAGTTGACAGTGTCTTCTACAAGGTATGTCCATTCGTTGTGAAATTCTGCACGCACGTATGCAAGGTAAATTTGTGAGGTAATCTGTGAGGGCGTGACTGCTCCAGTTGACAGTGTCTTCTACAAGGTACATCCATCTGTTTTAACGGAAACTCGTTTTAGTGCATACTTGCTCGTTTGGTCGTTTGTGCACGCAACTGACATGCTCGCTGGCAGGTACAGGGAGGCAGTAACATGGAAGCTTCATCATCTACCCCCCCATCCACCATCCCTTATCTTCCCCTCCACGGCAGGTTCCATTTGAGGAAGTCCCTGATTTGGTGGCTTCTCGCAGGGTCTATCTCGAAAAGGGCTTTGCTTTTGTCCCTAGAGACCAGGTACGGCTAAACCCTTCAATGATCGAAAAGGGCTTTGCCTTAGTCCTCAGCGGCCGGAAATGCTATTGCGTGTCCTTTAATATACTGAAATCATGTGTTCTCCCCTAGCTCCCTTGGCCGCAATTTGTTTCCCTCATGGCAGTCCTGCAATTTCTTCATCTTGCTTCTATCCCTTCTCTCCCCTTCGTTCCATTGCATGTCACTCCATGCGTGTGCCAGCTGGCGGCGATTGTGGTGGGTCAGTTTAGAGCCAAGCTGTCCAAAGCACTCGTGGCGACCAACAGGTTGATTCTTCACTCACATCCTATTTGTACTTGCGTTTCAATAATACTTAACTCACATCATCCCATGTCATGGATCCATAAATTGATGTTCCATGGCTCAACAATCTTTCCATTTGGTTGATGCTTCATGTCTCATGAATATATCCTGATACTAATGTTTCCCTTCTCATTAATATGTTCATTAATTCAAAGTTTCCTCATTAGTGTTTCCCCATTTCCACTTTGTCCGTTTCCATTACTTTTTCCATTCTGCCACGTCCCAGGAAGTGGCTTGCTCACATACAGGAAGACGAGCAGGATCGCTTGACACCGGTGATTGAGGCGCTCAGCACACGCTATCTAGGTCCCGACTTCTCCCAGGTAGTAATACACCTGTATGAGAATACTTTTTTCAGGTAGTAAACCTGTATAAAAAGGCTTGGCTTCTCCCAGGTGAAAATTCATTTGTATGAGAAAAGCTTCTCCCGGGTCTTACACCTGTATGAAAAGACTCCTACCGGCCCCACGCCCCCTTTCTTCCCCCTCAACCCCCACTCCCTTCCCCCACTTTTCTGTCAACTGTTCTGCCAGCCTGGCGAGACTGCTGAGGTGTCGCTCCGTGATTTGGACGTCGTTGCGCGGCAGTCTTTCCCGCTCTGCATGCGACACCTCTTCTTCAAGGTACCCGTGCGCGCATGTGTCACTTGCCTCGTGTCTTGCTAATGTGTGCCCTGTGCCCCATCGCTCACGTTGTGTGCCCCATGCCCCATGTGCCACGCCCCATGCCCCGTGCTCGCACAACAACTATCACCAGTTGAGGGAGGAGCACCATCTGCGGCACAGGGAGGGCAGATTGCAGTCGGGCCGATTTCTCATTTCCTTTGCATCTTTTCCATGCCCCATCCTCGTGCGTGCTCTTCTATGCCCCAACCCCTTGCGTGCTCGGTAACCATTTCCAGTTGAGGGAGGAGCATCATCTGCGGCATGGGGGCAGAATGCAGCTAGGGCTGTTTCTCAAGGTACCGTGTGCAACGGGCTTGATGCGGATCGAAAGCAGCTGACCTCCTCTGCTTCTCTTTTTCTATAAAGCATGCCGACTGTGCTCTCGTTCCACGGATCACTCCCGTGCTCCTTCGTGCTCCTTCGTGCTCCCACGTTGCATGCATTTGCATCCCTTACCAGCAATTCTCCCGATGCCGTCCCGCTTGCATTCTTCGTCCTCTGTATCTTCACCATTTCATTGAACCTCTCCCATTTCGCCTTCCCTGCTCTTCCTGGATTCCCTTCCACCTCACCTCATGCTTCCTAGCAGGGCATCGGGCTGAGATTGGAGAATGCACTCACATTATGTCTGCTCCTTCTGTTTCTTTACTATTCCACCCCACCTTCATGCACTTCCTCTATCCCCTCCCCTCATCTTTCGTCCTCGCAGGGCATCGGGCTGAGATTGGAGGATGCACTCACATTCTGGCGCTCTGAGTTCTCCAGAAAGGTATGTCCGCTCAGCCCTGCACTCTTGTGGCAACTAACAAATTGTTCTATTTTGTGGTACCTTACCAAGCATCGAGCTGAGGTCGGAGGATGCACTCGCCTTGTGGCACCTATCCTTGCAGACTACACTCCATCCACATAAATACCCATACTTGGATGCCGCTTTTGCTTTCTTTTTGCATTATTGCTATCACAGATGGGTGTGGATCGGTTTGACAAGGAGTATGCATATTCCATTCGGCACAACTATGGCAAGGAGGAGGGCAAGCGCACGGACTACACCCCCTTCACATACACACACATACTTTTCAGCCCTTTGCATTCTTTTGATGTTATAACTATCACAGATGGGTGTGGAGCGGTTTGACAAGGAGTATGCGTATGCCATCCGGCACAACTATGGCAAGGAGGGCAAGCGCACCGACTACACCCCCTTCTCCTGCGTGAAAGTCATCATGAGCACACCAGGCGTGGGAGATCACCACGGGTGTCCCTTCAAGCACCTTCAAGCACTTCAGGTGTGTATCTCTCACAAGCACACAGTAGTGTGCTCAGTGTTCTAAGCAGGGCAAGCGCACAGACTACACTCCCTTCTCCTGTGTGAAGGTCATCATGAGCACACCGGGCGTGGGTGACCACCACGGGTGTCCCTTCAAGCACTTCAGGTGTGTATTCCCTTACAAGCACAGCAGTTTGCGTAATGCGCTAGTCAGAGCAAGCGCACGGACTACACCCCCTTCTCCTGCGTCAAGGTCATCATGACTCATGAGCACACCGGGTCATCATGAGCACACCGGGTGATCACCACGGCTGCCCCTTCAAACACTTCAGGTGTGTTCCATCTGATTTAATATTAGTTTTTTCAGTGCTCAAAGGCAGGGCAAGCGCACGGGCTGCATTCCTTTCTCCTGCGTCGATGACATTATGAGCACACCGGGCGTGGCTTGGGGGATCACCATGGCTGCCCCTTCAAGCACTTCAGGTCTGTATTCTCTTACAAGGAAAGCACTTCACTTAGTGCAAGGAGGGCAAGCACACGGACTACACTCCTTTCTCCTGCGTGAGGGTCAGCATGAGCACACTTCAGGTGTGTGTGAGCTGGATGACGTAAGGTATGGTAAATTGGATGTGAGGATCTTTATTCAGTGCTTCGGAGGTGTAATCTTCCGCAGCAGTTGTCGATTCCCCTTCAGCTTGTGCTTTCGCAGCGAGGACAACTTTGGAACTGCCCTTTCTTAGACGACTGAAAGGAGTTTTCATAAGCCTTAAAAAAATGTTCTCGCCCTCTTGCATACCCGTACCTTGCGCAGCGAGGACAACTTGAGAGCTGCCCTTTCTCGCATGGGGGTGACTTCAGGGGCAGCCGTGGACGGGATTATGCAGAAGACACGGCAGCAGCACTACCAGGTAGGTTACCACATCTTTGCAGTAAGCTCGTTAAGTTTGTGCACAGTAACTGAGATGCATGGATTCGTGCAAAACAATCCAGCCAAAATCTCGTGTTCACGGGGCACATAAGTCACAGACCCTTTGTACTCCTAATTTTGTCTTGGTTGCTTGATTTGCCTATCGCAGATTTCCTGCGCTTTAACATTTGAGGCATCGCAAGGAGCTCCATGTCCCACGGGGATCACACACCCGAATCAATACTTCATGCTCAGCAGACAGGTTATCGAGGTATGCCCATGAGTTCTTTTATTTTATTTTCTTTTTTTCTCCCCCCCCAATTTCCGAGCTTTCCAAATTAAGTGCACTCTTGTTGTACGAATGTGAATTCAGGGACGAACACAACCATCTCTTCCACAAGGACAACAACCACGGCAACCAGAGTCAAATGCTAATAATCCTAGTGAAAGGTCGGGTGCAGCTGGTAGCAACATTGGAAGGGAGGGGACAACGGATCCGAGTTCCTTACAACATGCGGCTGGAGGGGATTCGAGGCCCCAGCTAGTTATTGGAGAGATGGATGTTGACACCTGAAAGGGGAACATAGCTAGATTTTTTACTAATGGCATGTCAGTGTATGATAGCCTATGTACACAAGTAAGAAGGTATATATGATGGTAGTGTGTACATGTTTACCTCAGGTGTCACCGAAATTTATATAATTTGTTAATTCAGTCAGGCTCGAGGCTCGACCTAGAGCTTATCGAAAACGAGTACTTTTGTTCAACTTCTTTCTCGCTGGCCATCCCTGATTCATTCCTGATGCACTTACGCATAATCGTTCGGTTCAGAGCGCTCCCGAATTGAGCTGAACGATTATGATCAAATCGCACCGCATATACTTACACCGCACAGAAAGATGATCGAATCGTATCCAAACGAGCTGTACCGAAAACCAGCAAGTCACGAGATATTTTTTTTTGTAGGTAGCTTGATCTCGAGAACTACGAAGTCACTTCGGCTTCTGTAGGCTGTATGGTTCTGCTGCAGCCAGATCAACATCAGACCTTGAATCGCAGCTTGGATTGGCATCATTGAGCATTCTTCGGGCGAAATTAGTTGGAGTTCTACTTATTTGAGTCCTTCAGTAATCGTTGCTGGAAGGCGATTAAGAAGGGCTCGCCATCATGGGGAAGGCGGAGATTATATCGAACGTCTTGCTAGCCGGTAGGACCTTCTTTGATGCCTGCAGTCTTTCGTGCGTTTCCGTGCATCTTTACTTGACATCCTTCTGAATGATTTTCACAAGTCAATCCGATCGAGATCCGAAGCATTACTCATTGTTTAATTACGTCCATCCTTCATGGAATTAGTATTTAGAGACATTCTGGATCCGTACTTCCATTCGAGTTCCATCTTCATCTATTAACGAAATTTCAGTTGCTTAACCTTTAAGCTTCTGTGACTATGCTTTCAAGCTGAACAGCAGCTCAGTAAATATTTGGTATTTCCCTTTTCCCTGTCCATTCTGACGATGACAGGACTATCCGTGGCTCCGCTCTTCGTTAAAATCAACCCCAACCTTAATGTCGTCGCCATGGCTTCGCTAACCGTGTTCGCTGGCTGTTACCGATCCGTCAAGCCGGCCGCTCCAGCTGTGAGTAGACCATTCGAGTCGTGCGGCTTTAAAATCGCCAGCCTTGATTGCTGGTCGTTTTTTATCGTCTAAGCTGAACAAACTAGGAATGACCTCATTTCGCATGTCCTCACCACCGTCCGCTATCCCTACTACCTCCGTCGTTCTCTTCCTCATTCTCTATCGTAGACACGAGATCACTTCGATTTCACTTCAAAGTATTCCACCTTTCCACTTCGATCCGTGCAGGATACGATGTCGAAGGAGCACGCCATGCGATTCCCGTCATCAGCCGTTTTCACACTTCCCACTTCCCTCACCTCCCCCCTCCCCGTTCCTGCTCCTTCCCTTCCCCCTTTCGCCTCCCATGCGTGCAGGAGACGATGTCAAAGGAGCACGCCATGCGCTTCCCTATCATCGGCAGCTGTGTGCTCTTCTCGCTCTTCCTGCTCTTCAAGTTCCTCCCCAAGGACCTGGTCAACATGGTGCTCAGCGCTTACTTCGTCTTCCTGGGAGTCATGGCCATCGGGTAAGCCCAGGTCCAGTATGCTGGCGTCTGGAAAGTTGACCACTGCGTTGACTAAAAACAACCTTTGTTTCGACTCACAAGACGTTCAGTTACTCAAGTTCCTCCCCAAGGACCTCGTCAACCTGGTGCTCAGTGCTTACTTCGTCTTCCTGGGAGTCATGGCCATCGGGTAAGGGGGAAGAGGAGAGGAAGGGGGGAAGATGGGGAGAGAGGGGGGGGTGGCGTTGACAAGGGGCTCCTATGTTCCTCCCCAAGGACCTCGTCAACATGGTGCTCAACGCTTACTTCGTCTTCCTGGGAGCCATGGCATACTGGCGAATGAGAAATGACTTGCGTTGACTCAAAAGCGATTTCTTCGTTGACTGAAAGTACACCGTCACACCCCGCGAGCTAGTGATGTTCCTTGCCATGGACCTGGTTAACGTGGTGCTTATCGCGTGTTTTGTATTTCCTGTTGATGTTTTAGTTGTGGGATATGCTGACCCTTCAGCACCTGAATGGTTCCAACCATCCAACATACCCGGTGCCTCCGCTTTGAACGAATCTGTTCTCTTTGTGGCACGTAAATTGGATGAGATTGGACCAAGACACGGCATGCAGAAGCTGACAGTTTTGAAATGTGAAGGGACCTATTCGTCTAGGATCAGATTCACCTCGTTGTGGTCCTCTCACTTACGTTTATGCCTTGCGTTACCCACCTCCCAAACTGCCATCCACTCGCAACTTGTTCACACTCTGTGTGCTTCATGCAACCCCCCAATTGTTCTTCTGGCAGGGCCACAATTCTTCCCCTTGTGGCGCGATTCGTGCCTGCAAAGTGGAATGAGGATATTTTCTACTGGAAAGCACCCTATTTTAAAGGTATTTATATTTCTTCCCGTTAGCAAAATCGCCTGTACACATTCTGGCAGCTGAACATACAGCACCAGATTACCAAAGTAACTGCTTTCAGCATGATTGCAGCTATTGGAATATCTGCTCCGACCTTGATCGACTCAGAAATTGCTCTGTTCCCGACCTCTCTTCCCTCCCAGATTTTGAAACTGAGCTGATGATGGCTCATGCGGTGGCTGGCCATTCTTCACCACTCCTCCCCCCATCCTTCACTCTACCCCCTTACCACATCTCTCCCTTCTCCCTCAACCTCTCTCCCCCTCCCCTCATCCCTCTCCCTACCTCCCTCCGCCCCCAGATTTCGAGATAGAGCTGACGATGGCGCAGGTGGTGGCGGGCATTCCGAACTCGCCCTTTTGTGTGTGGTATGTTACGCGCAAGCACTGGTTCGCCAACAACACCTTCTCTCTCCTCTCGTTTCTCTCACTAACCCTCCGCACCCAGATTTTGAGATAGAGCTGACGATGGCGCAGGTGGTGGCGGGCATTCCCAGCTCCGCCTTCTGCGTGTGGTGTGTCACGCGCAAGCTCTGGTTCGCCAACAGTGCCTCACCCCCTTCCCGTCTCTCTCACTGTCACCCCCCTCCCCAGATTTTGAGATAGAGCTGACGATGGCGCAGGTGGTGGCGGGAATTCCCAGTGCGGCCTTCTGTGTGTGGTACGTCACGCGCAAGCACTGGTTCGCCAACAACGCCCTCGGCCTCGCCTTCTCGCTGCAGGGCATCGAGATGCTCTCCCTCGGCTCCTTCACCATCGGCGCCATTCTGCTGGTGAGGTGGGGAGGTGGGTTCATTGTCAAGCCGAGTTGGTGGGTGGTTCATTGATTCCAAGCCCACAGGTTTGCAGGCCCACCAAAGGTTTACAGAGCATGGAGATGCTCTTCCTCGGCTCCTTCACGGTCGGCGCCATTCTGCTGGTGAGGTGGGGGTGGGAAATGATTCAATAGTCAAGCCTGAATGGTGGTCGTTTGGTGGGTGGTTCTGAAGCCACAGCTTGCCAGGTCTACCGAATTGAGATGCTCTTTCTCGAAAGAGCTGGTACGGAGTTGAGATGCTGTTCTGGTAGATTCCCATTCTTGGTTCACTCAGCTACCTGTCTGTAACCATCCCAGATGAGTCATGCTGGTGCCAGTCTACTCGTTTGCCCCATAACCATCCTCTAATCTTCCCCATACCCCACACCCCCCACCCAATCGCTTTCCCTGTCCAATCTTTCTCCCCCCCAGACTGGTCTTTTCTTCTACGACATCTTCTGGGTCTTCTTCACTCCGGTTATGGTCTGCTATGGCCTCATTCTCTGTGCCCAAATTTCACCTCCTCCCGTCCATCCCTTTCCCCCCACTCCCCAACCCCCCCACTACCTGCCTCCCCCAGACTGGTCTTTTCTTCTACGACATCTTCTGGGTCTTCTTCACTCCGGTTATGGTTTCTGTTGCCAAGTCATTTGATGCGCCCATCAAGGTACGCAGAAACAACAAGCACAAGGTTTGCAAGGTAGTCAAAACCTTGAGCATATTAGCTGCAAGGCTTGCAGAAAAGGATGTAAGGTATGCAGAGCAGAGCCATCACTTTTGACATGAAGCCTAGTTTTGAGTCGACTCAAAACCAAAAAAAGATGCAAGGTATGCAGAGCAGAGCCATCACTTTTGACATGAACATGAAGCCTGGCGTTCCAGCTGCTTGAAGACACGCCACTGGTTTGTTTCTTATTCTGCCTGTTGTAGCTCACTTAACACCCTCCCACTTTCCTTTATGCATTCTCACACTCCTAGTGCTCTCAACGCCTTCACTTGTTTTTCCCAAATTTGCTGCAGCTGCTGTTCCCAACTGGTGACCTCGCAAGACCTTTCTCCCTGCTGGGACTGGGCGACATTGTCATCCCTGGTATGCTAGCTATTCCCGCTCCTTCTCTTACCTGCTACTCCTGTGAGCAATGTATGATAATTTACCTCCAGCTCCCCGCTGTCATCTGTGTCCTGTATATGCTCTGTGTTTACCCTGTTCCGCTGTATATCATTGACTTCATTGAAATATCATTGCCTCTCTCTGTGTACCACACAACCAACCCTCATGCAATGAGCACCCACACTTCACACTGCAAGTATCTTTGAAGATTCTCAGAAATCACATTCCACCCTTCTCCACCCCTCTCTGTGCCACTCACCCCCCTCTGCACCCACTCTACCCACCTAGGGCTCTTCAGTGGACTCTCAATATTATCACATTCCACCCCTCTGTTTGCCACTCAACCCCCTCTTCATCTGCACTTCCCAATGCAGGCATTTTCGTGGCCCTTGCTCTAAGGTTTGACGTCTCAAGAGGCACTGGGCCGCGTTACTTTGTCTCCACCTTTGCTGGTTACATGGCTGGCATCATCACCACCATCTTCGTTATGAACTACTTCCAAGCTGCTCAGGTGTGTGTGTATGCATGCAGAAGTGAGAAGTTGGTTGTTTCTTCAACATCATAGAAAGCTGGAAGTTCTGATTTCTGTATTCTCGCATGTGCTGGTCGTGTGTTTTCTGTGGGTTCTCTCTCTGTGGTGCAGCCTGCCCTGCTTTATATTGTTCCCGGAGTCATGGGTTTTCTAGGTGTACACGGCGCAATCCGAGGAGAACTTAAGGAGGTATGGTTTCATTACTTCATTTCTTTGCAATATATTGACTTTTTGGGTGGGGGGGTTGGAATTTAACATGGGGATGTTCAACTAAATGTTGGTCTGTGTGTTGTGTGCAGCTATTGGCTTATGATGAGTCTGGGGATGGTGACGATAAGGATGGTGATCATGATGGTGAGGTGACCAAGGATGGAGAGAAGTCTTCAAGCACACCAGCCGCGTCCACAGAGAAGGCTGGGAAAGCCGATTAATGAGTTATTGTCATATCAAAGGTGTACAATATTTCTGATCATCTCATTTCTATGATTTATGAAAATATAATTCAAAATTGTTATGTTTAACCATGGAAGATTCATCTGTACCATGGCTAGCCTGACAATTTCATCAGACGGCACGCGCAACTTGCGGTTATATCGAGGGTTCCAGGAGGGATCTGGAATTCCCAAGGAGCACAAGTACAGTAGCGCCCTTGGCAATCTTCTGGAAGGTCTTTCAGTTCTGACCTAGTTTTTCAGGGAATATCTATCTTCCGCAGACCAGAGTTGCTGGCTGAGGAACGGGTCCAGAGCAACTGAGCCTCCCTTCTTTTACGTTTACTCTCCTTCCAGCTTTTCCGTTTCTACGGGTGTGAGAGGCCTGAGTATCGTTGTCTCTCATACCGTCCACGAAAGATTTTGTTTTCCGATACGTTGGCTGATTTTGAGAGTCGCGTGCGTACGAGCGCCGCGTCGCGATGGACGCGATTCGGAAGCAGCTTGACGCGCTGATGGGTGCCAACAGGAACGGCGACGTGGAGGAGACAAACAAGAATTACTACGACCGGGATGTTTGTCGCGCGTTCTTGTGTGGCCTCTGTCCGCACGATCTGTTTACGTTAACGGTTAGTTATAAGTTATTTGCCTGAAGAACCTAAGATCTATTACGACATGGACTTGCGCCGCGCGTTCTTCTTCGGGCTCTTACCGCACGATCTGTTCCCGTTGAGTTAATCGTTTTCCTTTTGTATACTTCTGCAATTTATGACCAGTCTTTCAGGATCCATTTCTTACCTTCGTTCCCCCATCTCTGCCCTTCCGCATTCATATCGCCTCCGTCTTTTACCTTTTTTTTATCGTTTCGTTTTTCGTTTCTAGAAAATGGATCTTGGGCCCTGCTCCAGGGAGCATTCACTCCGCCTGCGAAAAGAGTAAGTGATTGTGTTCATTCTAGACCCACTAAAGTGGTTTGTCTTGGCGAGATTTTTTGTTTTGAAGAAGTTTTATTCAATCAGAGCAGGATTCCAAGTTAGCTGTTCACGGAAAGGGCCTGTGCACGAGAAGAAATATCACGAGAACATTTTGTCAGGCTTTTTCCTTTTGTTTTTTTGCATGTTCAACACTTCAACCTTCTTGCGCTGTGCTCTTAACGCGTACAGATACAAAGAAGCGAAGGTCAAGGGTCTGGTGGACTACGAGCGAGAGCTGGAAGGCATCTTGGAGAATCTGATTGCATGATTCATTTTAATGAAACCATCCGTTTGTGTTCTTAACGCGTACAGGTACGAGGAAGCGAAGGCGAAGGGTCTGGTGGACTACGAACGAGAGCTGGAGGGCATTTTGGAGAAGCTGATCGTGGAGTGCGATCGCAAGATCCAACGGTCGTTCAAGCGCTTGGAGGACGAGGAGGGCGCGGCTGCTCTGAACGCCGTTAAAGTGTCCGAAGTCACTGATGTGAGCTGATGGTGGTTATGTGGGAAGTGGGAGAGGGATAGGGAGCGGGAGAGAGAACTGGTGATGATTTTGATTGCAAGGTTTGAGACGGCTTTAAGGATGAGTGAGAGCAGTGCTGAACGCCGTTACAGTGTCCGAAGTCACTGATGTGAGCTGATGGTGGTTGGGTGGAAGGAAATAGGGGGAGGGAAAAGGAGAGGGGGAGGGAAAGGGAGAAGGGGAGGGAAAGCGAGAGGGGGAGGGAAAGGGAACGGGAGGGAGCGGATGAGGGCTGCGCTGAACTTTGTGAAAGTGTCTGAAGTCATTGATGTAAGCTTATGGTGGCTCTGAGGGAGAGGGAGAGGGAGAGGGAGAGGGAGAGGGAGAGGGACAGGGACAAGGAATTTGCGAATATCTGGTCCGGACTGGAACATTCTAGACGGCTCAAATAGATGTTAGCAACATTGAACGCTGTGTCGGAAGTTACTGATGCTATCTTGCTTGTCTCCTCGTTTTTGTACTTCCGTTTGACATGTCTGCGTGTGACGCATGGTTGCATGTGGTTGCATGTGGTTGCATGTGGTTGCACGTGGTTGCATGTGGTTGCACGTGGTTGCATGTGGTTGCATGTGGTTGCATGTCGTAGCATGTGGCTCAAGATGCTTCTTATACTGATTAACCTGCACTTTGTGTGTTTGTATGTTTCTCATACTGCAGTCACCAGAGTCAATAGAGCTGACAAAGAAGATCTATCAGAAAATGGCGGAGGTCGATCAGCTGGGTAAGCAAGTGTTTTTCCTCTTTTTTTTTTGCCAGAGTCGCTTCTACGTAACTGAGCTGTTTTTCCCCGATTGGAGTTGACAGAAAGTTGTATGTTGTCTCGTTATAATTTTTACCTTCACGTTTCCATTTGGCCTTCGCCGTTCTCATTCTCCTTCTCTTTCCCCTTTCTCCTGTATCCTTCGCTTTTTCTCTGCAGAGATGGAGAACAAGATGGACGACAAGATTCGGGCCATGGAGGAACTAGAGAAGCTCAAGCAGGAGCGAGCGGACAAACAGGTGAGCACACACACACGCACGCACACACACACACACACACACACACACACACACGCACACACACACACACACACACACACACACACGGCACCTTCACCATAGCGTGTTTTGAGTCCAAAAACAAGTTGAGAAGCTAAAGCAGGAGCGAACGGACAAGATTTAGTGATTACATGTTTTGGATTTAGGGAGTGAGGGACACCCTATATACCCAGCTGTTATTATTTTGCCTTTTTTTCGATTCGGTATCTCTGTTTCGTTACTCGTTATATTATAATAATAATGTAAAAAAAAAAATGCAGTGCAGTGGCGTGGCAGCACCCATACTCAACTAACCCCTTCGCGCTTCTTTCTTTTCATTTCCTGCTACACCTGTTGTTCAACCCGTCAGGCCCAATTTATTCTTGACGCGTTCAACAAATCGTCTTTCCGGCCCTTCTGCCCCTGGGGGACCAACGATGGCAACCCTAATTTCACATCTTCAGCCCCTTTTCCCCCTCCGCTGCCTCTTCTCTTCTCTGCTGATCCTCTCTCAGGCCCAATCCACTCTCGGCGCGTTCAACAAGGACCGCCTCTCCGGCCCGCCCGCTCCTGGAGGACCGGCAGTGGCATGGCAGCCTTGTGATCCACCTATACGTCGTCAGCTCCCTCTCCCCCCACCGCTGCCTTTCCTTCTCCCTGCTGATCCTCTCTCAGGCCCAATCCATTCTTGACGCGTTCAACAAGGATTGTCTCTCCGGCCCTCCAGCCCCTGGAGGACCAACGGTGGCAGCACCCATGCTGAACCAACCCCTGGGCGCTTCTTCCTTTTAATCCCTTGTGTACCTTCCCTCAACCCGTCAGGCCCAATCCATTCTCGACGCGTTCAACAAGGATCGTCTCTCCGGCCCGCCAGCCCCTGGAGGGCCGGCAGTGGCATGGCAGCCCTGACTTCCCATCTTCAGCTCCCTTTGTCCTCCTCCGCTAACTTTTATTTTCCCTGGTATTGCCTTCTCAGGCCGCATCCATCCTTGACGCGTTCAACAAGGATCGCCTCTCCGGCCCGCCAGCCCCTGGGGGGCCGGCGGTGGCAGCACCCATGCTGAACCAGCCGGACAGCAAGACGCAGGAGATGATAAAGGAGAAGCTAAGGCGCGCTGAGCAAGCTGGTGAGCGCTCTTCCTTTCTTTGGCTGTGTCAGGTTGTGGAGGTTGGGAAGGTTATAGGGCTGGAGGGTGGCAGCACCGGTGCTGAACCAGCCGGACAGCAAGGCACAGGAGATGATCAAAGAGAAGCTAAGGCGGGCGGAGCAAGCCGGTGAGTGCTGCGTGTCTCTGTGTGAGTGTGTTGTCTTGAGAAGAGGCTGAGGGGGTTATCGGGTGGGGCTAGTGTCTAGTATTATCCTGAACCAGTTGGACAGCAAGACGCAGGAGATGATCAAAGAGAATCTCCGACGGGCGGTGAGTGCTGTGTGGCTGTTCACGGTTACCAGTCTCGTTATTGCTTGAAAGACTTCTAGCATTGGGGAGGCAAGGAGGACTACATTGCACTCGCAGCACCTGAATCCTCCCATCCCAGGGCAGGCACCACACTCAACTCGTTTTGTGTCTTCAGTTGAGCACGCCTAACCATTGCTCACCTTTCCTTATCCCCACCCTTGACTCATCCGACGCCCCCTCTCACACCCATTCAACTCCCCTTGTTTTCCTCTTCCCTCCCCTGCCTTCCCTCCCCTCCTCCGAATCCTCCTCTTTGCTTCTCTGTCTCCTCTCTCTCCCTCCCCCGCCTCCTCCTCTCCCCTCCTCTGCCTCTTTGTATTTGCAGGAGAGGAGGGACGAGTGGACGAAGCTCAGAAGCTCATGGAGGAGGCGGATGCGCTTAAGAAGGTGGGTGGAAGGGTGGAGTGGGGTGCGATGCGGTTGGGTGGGGTCTTTGGGTGGTTGGGTGGGGTGCAGTGCGGTTGGGTGGGGTAGCTGGGTTGGGAGGGGCGCGTGGAGGAGGCTCAGAAGCTCTTGGAGGAGGCAGATGCGCTCAAGAAGGTTGGTGGGTGATGGGATGGGTGGGTGGGTGAATGATGGGGTGGTTGGGTGGGTGGGGTGACAAGGGGAGTGGTGTGACAGCTGTTGTAATTCCAGCTCCGTAGATTCCATTGCTCTCTCACAGGTTACTCACGTGCCTTTCTCTTCCTTGAATCTTTCTCTCATGCAGCTTGCCATGGCACCCAAGCCTGACCCGATTGCAAGCCTTGGCTTCCAGATTGTGAGTCCTTCCCCCTTCCATCATACTGTCTTTCTCCTGTCATTCAATCTCCCTCGAATTATCGTGCTCTTCCCTTGCTCCCCGGTTTCTCTTGTACTAACTCTCTGGTTGTGACTCGCTCTTCCATCTTGTACCCCTCCCCGCATCATTCTGTGAAGTGTGAATGATCACGTTTGCTGGGAGATTTGCAAGGACTGTTTCTGGCAATATCGGAGTTACTCAGTGTGTTTCTAAAAGCTCCTTGCACACTTCATTCCCTCCTCCTCCTCACCTGCGTGCTCTATGTGGTCTGCCAGGCGGATCAGAAGCTGCGGGTGTGCGACATCTGCGGGGCGTTCCTCAGTATCTTTGACAGGTGCTGCTTCTGTGGGCGCTCTAAGAATCACCTCTGTTTGCCCTTCTTTCTTTCTCGCCCCCTCCCTCCCTCGCCTGCTTGCTCTGTGTGGCATGGCAGGCGGATCAGAAGCTACGGGTGTGCGACATCTGCGGGGCGTTCCTCAGTATTTTTGACAGGTGCGTCCGAAATCTACCCTGCATGCAATGATAAGCGATGTGTGCAGTCTCACTCTGTGCATCTGGAGTGGAGTGTATCGAGTGGTGTCTACTCAAAACCGCGTGAGAGAAGTCTAGTTTTGAGGCGCCTCAAAACTAGACATCTGGAGTGGAGTGTGTCGAGTGGTGTCTACTCAAAATGAAACTGCTCGATATCATATGCTTAGTGGGTCTGTCTCCTCATTGTTCTTTTATTTATTTATATCCTTCTTTCTCGCCATGCACACACACCTTTCCACACACAAACAGCGACAGGCGGCTGGCTGACCACTTTGGGGGGAAGCTGCATCTGGGTTACCTGTTCATTCGCGACAAGATCAATGACATTCGGGTGAGTGCAGTTGCATGTGCACATTGTAGTACCCTGCGTGTCATGTTATGAAGCACAGCACACCACTTTGGGGGGAAGCTGCATCTGGGCTATCTATTCATGCGCGACAAGATCAACGACATTCGGGTGAGTGCATGTGCACATCTGAAACACATTGTTCGGGTGTCTGCACATCGAATTATGCTGCACATCGAATTATGCTGCACATCGAATTATGCTGCACATCGAATAATGCTGCACATCGAATAATGCTGCACATCGAATAATGCTGCACATCGAATAATGCTGCACATCGAATAATGCTGCACATCGAATTATGCTGCACATCGAATTATGCTGCACATCGAATTATGCTGCACATCGAATTATGCTGCACATTGAATTATGCTGCACATCGAATAATGCTGCACAACACTAAAGCTACATCTGGGCTATCTCTTGAATCGTGACAAGATCAACGACATTCGGGTGAGTGCAGTTGCATGTGCACATTCTACTATGCTGCACGGTGCACCATAATATAGTCCCTGCCTTGAGATGTCTATTAAAATGAGGTTGGTTGAGCCCCTCGTGAGCCTCTGACCACGCTACTCTCTGTTCCCGTTTCTACCCTGTCTATTTCTTTACTTCCGCTTTCGTGTTTTTGCTCCTTATGAATCTCTTCTTTACTTTCATTGTTCATTCACATTCGACCCCACTCGTTCTGGTGGTGTTGTCCCTTGTTAACCGAGAAGCTCTATCACAGTCAATGTTTACATTCATTTTGAAAAATGCCCTTTATGTTGGTTCTGGGTGCAGGAGAAGAGGAGGAAGAAGGATGAGCTGCGGTGAGTCCTCCATGTGATGGGAACATGGGTTATCTTATCTTCGAGATCTTGCTACTGAACATGGGAACATGGGTTATCCTTTTTTTTTTCAGACAAATCTGCAAGTGGACATGGCCTTTGTCACCCACACATCTGATGTTGAGAAATGCACATAGATTAAATTCTCATGCTCCTCCTCATGCTTCCCTTCCCCTCATTACCTCTTCCTCCTGTTTCTCTTCCTCTTCATACTCCTCATGCTCTTCCTCATGCTCTTCCTCGTTCTACCTCCAGGCCCCGGTCTGAGGAGCGCAAGGAGCGGGTTGACGATCGAGACAAGGACAAGGAGAGAGAGAGGGTCAAGGATGGGGACAAGGATCGTGACAGAGACAGAGACAGGGAGAAGGAGAGGGACAGAGACAGGGACAGGGATAGGTACAGGGAGAGGGAGAGGGATAGAGACAGGGAGAGGGATAGGGATCGGGACAGGGATCGTGAGAGGGACAGGGACAGGGGGAGGGAGAGGGACCGAGATGATGACTGGGCACGGGGCAGGGACAGGGACCGGCGCGGGAGGGACTACGACCGCGACCGCCGGCACAGGTGAGCTGGTTGATGCATGGTGCAGGGGTTGAGATTGTGAGAGGGGCAGGGACAGGGGGAGGGAGAGGCACAGGGCAGGGACAGGGACAGGCGTGGAACGGACTACGACCGCAACCGTCGGCACAGGTGAGCACAAGTCTGCTCGTTTTTTCTTAAGTTGAGCCGGGGTTGAGCGGGTGGGGTGCATGTGACTGACCTGGGGTGCATGTGCCATACCCATCCCCATCCCCATCCCCATCCCCATCCCCATCCCCATCCCCATCCCCATCCCCATCCCCATCCCCATCCCCATGCCCATGCCCATTCCAACCTTGGACAGATCCCGCTCACGCTCGCGATCCCGCTCTCGTGACCGCCCCTCGAGGCGCTCAGATCGCTACTGACGCTCCCGTTTGGAAAGCAACCATGATCTCTCGTTGCAATTATGATGCAACGTTCAAACGCTCCCTTCGGCGCGCCTTGAGGCGTGTTAGTGCTGCACTCATCTTGCATCATGACCTCTCCCCCAGACGCACAGATTGCTCAGACTGCAGTCACTCTAGAAAATTCGAAGTTTTCTTCTCGATTTGAACTAACACCTGAATCCTGCAATAGCTAGACTCTAGCAGCTGGGTTTTGAGTGTGGTTTGGTGGTCTCATTGGATTGGTGGTGATGGCTTGGTGGTCCTATGGGTTGACGAGGGGCTAATCGCTACGTGCTGCTGAGAGAATAGGACTTCCAGCACTTACAGATTGCTTAGTGTAGTATGCCATCTTTTCACATCACATATACCATCTGGAGTTTCTAAGATACCGGTATTTGTTTTTGTGTACCACACCTGTAGTTTAGCATACGCGTATGTTCGTAAAGACCGAGGCCCAAGTTGTTCATGTTTTGAAAGCAAGGGTGCACATTCCTGGGTGTGGCTTTTGGGTGTAATGTTAGTGCACACCCTCTGGCGCTTGCTGATTCGAGGGCGTATTTTGCAGGGGGTGTAAGGCTGGTGCGAGGGATTGAAACAAGGCAGGCGATGCCTACCTATTTCGGTTGAGTTTTTGGCTGGGGGAATACACCGCGGAAGGGCGGAAAGGGCGGAAATCAATCGCGGAAGTGAGAAGCAAGCGGGCATGAAGTGAGTCGATCAACCAAGCGAGTGATAAACCAGCGAAAGCTTCAACACCTAAGCGTAGAAACATCACAACTCAAGATATGGCAGCTAAGCAAGCACTTTCTAAGCGCCACAGCGACATCGCCCGCACGTAGGAGGTTCGTTCTTCCACGTGTACATGGTAGTGCCTTTCTACGCACGTGAATGGCGTCATCGCGGCCTGCGCGTGACGTCGTCGCCTGAACGGCGCGTCGATTTCCTGTCCTCGCTGCCTCCTCGTCCTTTCGCCACGTCACATCCTCCACCCCGAATCGCCGTAACCTATCCTCTACAGCCTCTCGCCTCCCCGCCTATCTCGCCTCCCCGGTGCTTCGTGTCCTGGCCGGGCGACGCCTCGCCAGCTCGTCGGCGCGTCGTCGCCAGATTGTCGCTGACTCGCCGCCACGCCTCGATTGGTGCCTCATCTTCGCCGCCACATCGCCGCCCAGCCGCCTCTTTGCCGTCACACAGCCGCCTCGCTACCTCGCCTCCTCATCGCCTATACATTGCTGACCCGCTGCTAACTCTCCTCAATATCTGCATTTAGCGAAATGCTTGCCGCCCCAGTGCTCCAGCGCCTAACTCCTTAGCTCGTCTGAAATCGCTAAACTTGCCGCCACCTGTTCCCGATCCCTACTCGCATGCCATCCGGAAAATACACCACCATGCCGTCGTGGCACGCGCAGATCATCCACACCTTTCTCGGTGAGCTTCCCGAGCTTAGGTGTTTCCATAGAAATCTGTTGCCGTCCGTTTCCTCTGAACTAGTTCTACCGCGTGTCTAGTCCCTGCTATGGGCGTATCGTCCTTAGCCGCCCCACCTCCCACATCGATGTCTCGAGCTCCTCCTATGCACCCCTGCCTCACGCGTTCAGTTCCCCACGCGCCGCCCCTACCCTCCCCTGCCTCCTTCCCCCTCACCCCGCCCTCTCTCCCCTCCCCGCCTTCCCCTCTCCCCATGCCCGTGTTCGCCACGCTCTCGCAGGTCGCGTCGCGCCTCTTTCTTGTCCGGGCCGTGCACTACCCCGCTCCGCAGGTGCACTTTACTGGGTCTCAGGTGTTCCATACACTGCACCAGGTGGTCAAAGCATGTGCATCAGGTGCTTTACCATGTTCCCGAGGGGGACATGCGCCTAACATGTTCTCTCATCCCAATGTCCCCTCTCTCATCCCGGCCCTCCTTCTCTCGTCCCCTCCTTCCTTCTCTCATCCCCTCCTCCCATCGCTCCTCCCCTCCCTCCTTCTCCCATCCCCGCCTCCTCTCGCTCCTCCCCTCCGTCCTTCCCTCATCCCAATGACCCCTCTCTCCCCCCTCCCTCCTTCTCCCATCCCCGCCTCCCCTCGCTTCTCTCCTCCGTCTTTCTCTCATCCCCTCCTCCTCACTCTCATCCCCTCCCTCCTTCTCTCATCCCTGCCTCCCCTCGCTCCTCCCATCTCACCATCTCTCATCCCGTCCTCCACTCTCCCATTCCCACCCTCCTTCTCTCATCCCCGCCTACCCTCGCTCCTCCCCTCCGTCCTTCTCTCATCCCGTCCTCCCCTCTATCATCCCATCCCTCCTTCTCTCATCCCCTCCCTCCTTCTCTCATCCCCCCCCTCCTTCTCTCATCCCCGCCTCCTTCTCTCATCCCCGCCTCCCCTCGCTCCTCCCATCTTACCATCTCCCATCCCGTCCTCCCATCCCCCATTCCCCCCCCTCCTTCTCTCATACCCGCCTCCCCTCGCTCCTCCGCTCCGTCCTTCTCTCATCCCGTCCCTCCTTCACTCATCCCCTCCTTCCCTCTCCCATCCCCTCCTCCCCTCTCCCATCCCCTCCTCCCCTCTCCCATCCCCTCCTCCCCTCTCCCATCCCCTCCTCCCCTCTCCCATCCCCTCCTCCCCTCTCCCATCCCCTCCTCCCCTCTCCCATCCCCTCCTCCCCTCTCCCATCCCCTCCTCCCCTCTCCCATCCCCCTCCTCCCCTCTCCCATCCCCTCCTCCCCTCTCCCATCCCCTCCTCCCCTCTCCCATCCCCTCCTCCCCTCTCCCATCCCCTCCTCCCCTCTCCCATCCCCTCCTCCCCTCTCCCATCCCCTCCTCCCCTCTCCCATCCCCTCCTCCCCTCTCCCATCCCCTCCTCCCCTCTCCCATCCCCTCCTCCCCTCTCCCATCCCCTCCTCCCCTCTCCCATCCCCTCCTCCCCTCTCCCATCCCCTCCTCCCCTCTCCCATCCCCTCCTCCCCTCTCCCATCCCCTCCTCCCCTCTCCCATCCCCTCCTCCCCTCTCCCATCCCCTCCTCCCCTCTCCCATCCCCTCCTCCCCTCTCCCATCCCCTCCTCCCCTCTCCCATCCCCTCCTCCCCTCTCCCATCCCCTCCTCCCCTCTCCCATCCCCTCCTCCCCTCTCCCATCCCCTCCTCCCCTCTCCCATCCCCTCCTCCCCTCTCCCATCCCCTCCTCCCCTCTCCCATCCCCTCCTCCCCTCTCCCATCCCCTCCTCCCCTCTCCCATCCCCTCCTCCCCTCTCCCATCCCCTCCTCCCCTCTCCCATCCCCTCCTCCCCTCTCCCATCCCCTCCTCCCCTCTCCCATCCCCTCCTCCCCTCTCCCATCCCCTCCTCCCCTCTCCCATCCCCTCCTCCCCTCTCCCATCCCCTCCTCCCCTCTCCCATCCCCTCCTCCCTCTCCCATCCCCTCCTCCCCTCTCCCATCCCCTCCTCCCCTCTCCCATCCCCTCCTCCCCTCTCCCATCCCCTCCTCCCCTCTCCCATCCCCTCCTCCCCTCTCCCATCCCCTCCTCCCCTCTCCCATCCCCTCCTCCCCTCTCCCATCCCCTCCTCCCCTCTCCCATCCCCTCCTCCCCTCTCTCATTTCCTCCTCCCCTGTCTCTTCCCCTCCTCCCCTCTCTCATCCCCGCCTCCCCTCCATCGTCCGTTCCGCTACTCTCTCAGCTCCAACAACCCAACCTCCTTTCCACGCTTCAGCCATTACTCCACCACGGGCCACCCTTACTACCTCGTTCCTCTCTCCTGTACCGTCACCTCCTTGCCACCTTCACTATCCCAAAACCATCTTCGACACCCCCTCCCCTCCCCCTCCACCCCCTCCTCAGGACCTCGACAACAACTCCTTTTATCCCCTCAAGTTCACGCCCAACCGTATTACGGCGGTGCGGCCCTTCTTGCCCGGGTCCAAGCAGTCACAGAGTCGAGAAGCCCGGCCTATACAGAATTCAGTTAAATGAGCCATCTCCCTATTATAGCCGTTGCAATGATCTTGCAACAATGTATGCCTCTTACCACGCTGCCCAGTACGTTGGGCTGCAAACAAGTGGTAAACCCTTATGTGTGGAGAGCGTACCGTCGCTCTTTCTTTCCCACTTTGGGGACCTCAATTATGGTACTAGTCTGGCAAGATTACGGACCACACGGTTGGCGTTGAAAGAGAAAAGAGAATACTAACTTTCCCTTGTGGGGAAGGCAGCCCCCCCTAATGTGTTCAATGACACGGATGAACATGTCAGGTGCCACGTTCCGATGCTAGTGATGTTGCAGGTACATTTCTGCACCACCTATGCATAGAGGCCCTCAGCTGGCCCATGCTCCCTGGTGAAATGAATAGTGAACTTCTATTACAATGGCCAACCCTACTATTACCACCGAGTGTGTGTGGTTGACAGCCCAGTCCAACAGAGTGCAAAGGCTATGAATGATGATCACTGATTGCTCTTCGCCGGCGTCTGAATGAGTGGTGGGGACGTGAATGCATGTCCTGGGGCGCAAGGCAGAGGTGCGGCCGAGTGCACGGCAGATTGGCGCAGTGACCCAAACACTGTAGGTCAAAGAGATGGCACGGGTGGAGAGGGAAGTGAGGATAGAGTGAGCAGGGGAAAATTGGGGTTACTTACGACAGCGTGAGGGAGTGGGCAGGGTACAAAGAAGGCAAGGTGTGTCCGTGAGCAAAGGACAGATAGTGAAAGGTGACATTTGGATGTGCACCAACCCCAGACTGGGGATGGATAGAGAGCAGTGAGAGGAGAGGGGGGCGCAATCGAGGGCGGTGGTCTCCCATTCGTGCATTACGCGAGTGTCTCGCTATCGTCATTAGCAGAAGCAGGGGGGAGAAGGAGGGGACGCAGGGGGGAGACGGATGGGAAGCAGGGGGGAGAAGGAGGGGAAGCAGGGGGAGAAGGAGGGGAAGCAGGGGGGAGACGGAGGGGACGCAGGGGGGAGAAGGAGGGAACGCAGGGGGGAGACGGAAGGGAAGAAGGGGGGAGACGGATGGGAAGCAGGGGGGAGACGGAGGGGACGCAGGGGGGAGACGCCGGGGAAGCAGGGGGGAGACGGAGGGGAAGCAGGGGGGAGACGGAGGGGAAGCAGGGGGGAGACGGAGGGGAAGCAGGGGGGAGACGGAGGGGACGCAGGGGGGAGAAGGAGGGGAAGCAGGGGGGGAGAAGGAGGGGAAGCAGGGGGGATACGGAGGGGACTCAGGGGGGAGAAGGAGGGGAAGCAGGGGGGAGACGGAGGGGAAGAAGGGGGGAGACGGATGGGAAGCAGGGGGGAGACGCCGGGGAAGAAGGGGGGAGACGGAGGGGAAGCAGGGGGGAGACGCCGGGGAAGCAGGGGGGAAAGGACGGGGCTGCTGCTAATAAACCAGCACGGAGGGGAGGGCGCATGGGTTACGCAGGGGAACCAGGGGGGAGAAGGACTTTAGGGTTGCAAGGGGGGAAAGGACGGGACTGCTGCTAATAAACCAGCACGGAGGGGAGAGCGCATGGGTGACGGAGGGGAGCGATTCATAGGGGGGGCCTTGAATGAGGGAGCGAGTGTGACGGCGGGATGCGTCGCATGCTCGACGGGAGAGCGAACACGGGCGAAGGAGGGGAGTGCGCGTGGGCGACGGGAGGAAGTGAGCGTGGGCGACGGAGGTAGCTGCACGTGTGCGATGGACAGTGCAAGAAGGCGACGGAAGGGAAGGCATCGTGGAACAAGGGAGTGTGTCAGCGGGGGCAATGGAGGGGGGTGGGCGCCAGCGACGGAGGGGAGTGCGCGAGTGCGATGGGAGCGGAGTGAGCGCGGACGACGGAGGGGAGTGTGCGTAGGCGACGGGAGAGAGTAAGCGTGGCGGACGGACCTGCTTCGCGCGTAGTGGGCGGCGTCGTGGGGGGCGGGGATAGTACGCGATTTCCCTGTTCGTCTCTCGCAATTTGTGTGCGCGGTAGTCTCTCCGCCTGTTCGCGCAAGGCGCGGTCTGCGAGCGCCGACGCGGAGAAAAGGGCTGCTAAAGGCGCAATGCGGTGTACGACAAGCGGAAGCGCCTTTTGGGGAGCGAAGTGATTCACGGACGGGCGCGATGATAGCGATGGGCAGGCGTGGTAGCGAAGTTATGCAGAGCTAAACTGTGCTCCTTCTGCTGTCCATTATATTTTCAGGTGAACCATGTGCTAATCGTATGTGCGGGGGAATATGTGTGCTGTGGTTCACGCGCGACATACTGTTGGTTCACAAACTGCTGGGTGTGAATCAAGTTCCCAACTCCCTGTAAGGTTGTCGCAACTGACGACGGGGGAGAGAACAGAGCGCGCAAGTCCGCCCACACTGAACTTTGGTTCGCATCGGACCCCCAAGCACAAACAGGGTAACCACCCAAGGCAAGTGATAAACCTTTGGGTCTCATCCCCCCAAAGTGCACCCTTGCTTTGAAAGGTTAACCGAGGGGCAGTTTAGTGTTGTGACGAGAGCTTGTATTTCATGAAATTCGTATTTTTCGCCACACAGCGATTCCAGTGGTGGGTGCTAGATTGTCCCACTTAGCAAGTGCAGCTCTTTCAAGTTTACAAACTTCACAGCATCAAGTTTTAAAAACTTGACCAGCGCGATGTGCAACTTGGGACTTGGGGTTCATACGATATAAGCTTGACTGAGGTTCAGTGATGTTGAACCCAGCGTGCAGCTGGAATTCCTTACAAATTTGCATTCTGGCCAAGCCCGGCTAAATCACAAGCATGCATTGAGCAGTCCACAAGAAGGCACTGCTAAAGCGTCTGACAGCCTCAAATCAGCTTGCCACTCTGTTAGCTCCTCTATTTTCTCTACACATAAACACCAAACCACGCGTCTCTGCTCAACTCTACAACGCACAGAAAGAATCCTTCATAAGCAAGTCAGAAAAGCGCGAGACCAGCAGCAGCTGCCAGCGCAAGCACACTGAAAACCCCCCTATAAGCCAGCAGCATCCGTCCAGCCTCCTTAGGGGGAGGAGCCGACGACGTAGAGCTTGTCGCAGAGGAATTAGCAGCAGAGCCACTAGAAGAGCCACTAGAAGAGCCACCAGCAGAGCCATTAGCAGAGCCACTAGAGGAGCCACCGGCCCCACTTGGTGCCTTTGGGCAGGTGGGGTCTGCAATGGTTCGGCCAATAAAAGGCTTATATTCGGGGTGCATGGTGACGTTGAGCTGTGAGATGGGGCACTCTTTCGTGGCGGGGAGCGAGTCGCAGCACACGTTGGTGTCGGGGAGCTTCAGCGGGCCGTTGTAACACTTGTCGGTGCCTTCAAGAACCTGGGAGGGAGGTAGTGGGGAGAGAGGGAGAGAGTCGAGAGAGGAGTGAGGGAAAAACGGGAGCGAGTCGCAGCACACGTTGCTTCAGCGGGCCGTTATAGCACTTCACAAACCCTCTGTTCGCACATAAGAGAGGGAGTGGGCAGAGGGTCAGAGAGTGGGAGTGGGCACACATTTCGCACCAACATAAAGTATAAGTGGTGCAGAGTGGTAATGAGCTTACCCTAGAGAACAGGACGGTACAGTTGGCACCGTCAAAAGCCAGCCTTAGATGCTTCTCAAATGCACTTATTAGGTGCCTGCAGGAGCGACCAGCTCGGTGCAGAGCAGTAAAGATAGCTTACCGGAGTGAACAGCATGGTGTGGACCAGTATAAAGAGCTTAATGATGTGACCAGCACAGTGCAGGGCGGTGCAAAGCGCTTACCGGCGTGACCACCACTGTGTAGTTGATAGCATCGAAGGCCTGGCCGACCCTCCCGAACAGGGTCGTCATAAGCTTCTCCCCCGAGTTAAAGTACTGAGAAATGGCGCCTTGAAACCCGGGTACTGTGGAAATGGAGGGATTTGGAGGTGATGAGGTTCAAGAGAAAGAGGTGAATTTTAGGTTCCGCAACACAAGTACTGCGAACAGGTAAGCAGGTTACATCTCTTTCGCAGCAGACAGTGTTTAACGGGTTACATTACTTACGCGGCAGGTCCTTGCACTTTTCGTACACCTTGTCGGCGAAAGGAGCGCAGACGCGCATTTCGCCGACTATCCCGCGCGGAAGCTCCAAGTATTTCCCCGAATCTGAGAGACAGTTAGAAAATCAGGCGCGGAAACGTTGAGAATTAGGAATGGAGTAGCTTGGAGAAATGGAGAACTCAAAGAAACGGAGCGTTGGCGAAGGAAAGTTGCAAAGGTTCAAGTTAACGTGTTAAGGTCTACCGAAGGAGCTACTCATCTTCTCGGGATGGTCCTGACGTTCTCTGAATCTCACGAACGAGGATACTGAAATCACTTTTGGGAACTCTCAGAAGCCTTCAACAGCGCACCTGGATTGCAGCCCGTGGCGCAGATCATCTGCTCGAGAAGGTCCTGACACTCCCTGAAGTTGACGAATGACGAGCATAGCTGCACGCACAATCAACGAGCAGATTGCAGTTTTTAGTCGCCTCAGATCAAGCATTCTTGCAGGAACGCCACGCGCATCAGGGTGAATTTCATTTTAATTGGATCGTAGCGATAGCGTATGGGTAGTAAACACGTGACAGCCCGATTGCACTAAGAATTCATCCTCAGCTTACCTGGACGTCTCTGTTGCCGATGATCGTGTTTTGAGTTTGACTTCGTTCTCAGCTTCGTTCTCAACACGGAACGACTTCGTTCTCGGCTTACCTGAATGTCTCTGGCGCCGAGGAGATTCGAAAGGCGAGGATCTACTGTAGAGATGAGCGTTGTAACGTTCGCGCTGACTTCGGCGAGCGCGTACCGTCTATCGGAGCAGTCCTTGCAGCATGACATTTCAGCGGCGTCGAGGCATCGCGAGGCCGATACTTTTGGTTTTGTCGGAGGGAGGCCAGTGAACGGACATAGAGGATACTTTTCAGCAACGGTGACCATTGCGAGAAGAGCCATGGCGAGGAACAAAGTAGCGAGCTTAGCTTTCCCCATGTCGACGTGGCCTAATAAATCCAAGGTTAGCTGAGTCAGCTAGGAGCAGTCAAGCTTCTTTGACTGAGAACTAGGCTTCACCACTCAGTGTGGCCAGGATATGCAACTATCCAGATGATATAAACTGGATAACTCCTAGCTGATCCTGGAAATCTGCGTCAGCTGTACAGGAAAGGCTTGCACACCCAAGAAATGAGACTATGAGCGGGTGGGGACGAATGACGAGCAGGAGGAGCGTGGGAGCAGAAGTAGCTGCTGAGCCCTTGTGATGACGATTCTGCGGCATTCCCAAGCGTGATGGGACACGGGACGCGACACTGTCGAGGCCCCAGGCAGGAGTCAGGAAAATTGGGTTCTTGGGGAGTTTCCCTGAGTGTCAGGCAGAGGAACACGGAAGCTCCGCCATAATGGTCCTCGAGTGGAACTGCTCCTGCCCTGAAAAACAAAACAAACAGACAAAAATCGGTCGGGCTGAAATTCGGCCCAAATTTCCGACCACTTCATTCGGTGAAATCGTACTGTCGAACAATGGTGTTCTTTTTTGCGAAATCGAAGGTGATTTTGAGCCTGACTCAGGACTTGGCGGCAGAACGGTGCAACCCTTTGCTGCACGGCGATCGGTGGGGAGGGGACCGTCGCGCTTCGGCAAATCATTCTTGATAGAAGCTGTATGACGTCCAATGCAAACAAGTGTTACAATTTCGATATTGCATTCCCCGTTCCACAAGCTGTCAGAAACACCGAAGCCGTCGCGTTTTTTTTCGAAAGCCGAGACGCGCCTGGCTTTGAGCGGTTCGATTTCCGAAGCAAAATCCACCACGAACATCGCCCCCACCAGAACCTGACCCCGAAATGCAAGGCGGGCCGCGAGTTGAATAAATTGGTCGTGTAAACCTCCATCCGTCCCTACCCTAGTCAAGTGGTATTTCTCTTCCCCCCGTCCCCTCTTTCTCCCTTTCGTGCTCTCCCCTTCTCCGCATTCTTGTCGAAATCGGGACGCTGTTTCATTCGCTATCGCTATTTGCCAGTAGAAGTTCACCATTTGCTTAGAAATAAGCTTCGGTCAGTAGCTATTGCATTCTGCTCGAGAGCTTCCGTGTATGTATTCCAGTGGGCATTTTGAGCTCCAATCGAGCGCGTGAGCTACGGGAGCCATCACAGATAGACTGAATCCCAGCAGATGATAGGGACCATCACATTTATCGATCCACGTGGCCCTTAGTTAATACACTCATAGTCGAACGTGTCCCTCAACCTCTCGTTACTTCCCGCGAATTAAGTAACTCTTTTAGCTAACAGACACTCAAGATGGGGAAGTCACCACTGCCTGACACACGGACCCGGCAATCCACCCAAATATCGTTATCCTCACGTCTCCTGTTCTCCTTCCTCCTCCTCTCTCTCGCCCTCATAGCACCAGTCTCAGCAGAAGACAAGCCAAACTTTCCGCTATGCCCGTACACCAAGCAGCCACCTACCAAGTCCAACTTAACATTCACGCGGTGCGTGGGAGCCACCAAGTACACGTGCTGCCCGGACTGCTACGACCTGAAACTCGCGCTGCTCGCCGTCAGCGCAAAGGGCTCCGGCATCCTTAATCAGATCTCGTCCGGCCTCGGCCGCGTGCTCGTCGGAAAGGACATTCAGGTGAGCGCTCCGAAGGACGTCGCAATTGGAAATTCTCAATGAGCGCGAGGCCATCAGCGCAAAGGGCTCCGGCATCCTGAATCAAATCTCTTCAGGACTGGGCCGCGTGATCGTCGGAAAGGACATTCAGGTGAGTCTTGGGGGTTAAATCTCCCAATACCAAAATAGGCTCCTTGGGTCGTCGATTGAGACGTCTCAAAAGACTACTTCTGAGACTAAGGCCAAAAGCAGGCCGTCGGTGCCAAGGGATCCGGCATTCAGGACATCCAGGTGAGCGCTTCGATAGAACGGGACCTTTTTGAGAACCTGAACCTCATTTTCGAAGGTTCGTGCAATCACTCCACAGAAAATAGAGTTTGGGGGGGGATAAGGCATACCCACCCGCGTCCCCCTCCCCCAGTCTCCCACTTCCCCATCCTCCCCCGACATTGCCGCGATTTTGCCTGTTGCCACTCACTCTCTCCCTCTCTTCATCTCTCCTCTTATCACGTTAGCCTTTTACCAACTTGCCCTTCCATCACCTCAAAGTCGCCCCCGTCCCCTCTCTCCTTCCCCCTCCCAACTTTCTCCCTTCCCCCTTCACCCTTCCCCCTACCCCTTTCCCCCTTCCCCCTTCCCCCTCCCTATTCCCCTTTCCACCTTCTCCCTTCCCCCTCCCCCCAGCTCTGCTCCATCTTCGCCAGTAACTCCGCGTGCCAGCTGCACCTCGATCGAATCGTGACGCTTGAGTCGCTCGAAAGTCTCATCCCTTCCCCCTTCCCCTTCCCCCCCCTCCCCTCCCGCCTTCCCCCTCGTCTCGTCCCCCCAGCTCTGCTCCATCTTCGCCGGTAACTCTGCGTGTCAACTGCACCTCGAACAAGTCGTCTGCGCCAACGGTTGCGACCCAGGTGCGACTGCGTGCGACCCAGGTGTAACTTCCTGCGATCCAAGCGCGACTAGTCGCGATCACCGGACGAATCATGCTGGCTACTTGTTTACGTCTGCTTGCTTACGTCTCGGCAGACCACCTTTCTTCTTTTCTTCCGGGCAGACCAGGCTCGCATTTTTCTCAGTGCATCCTAACCTGGGAAACAATCCATTTCCTCACCTGCCCGTGCTTGCAGAGTCGGGAAACTACCTGCAAATTGTAGACCGAAACACCAAGGGTATCCTGTCCGTGTGCTCTGACTACTCCTCTGTCGTCTACGAAAGCTGCAAGGACCTCCCACGTGAGTTTAACCGCTCTCAACCTCTTTGCACCGCTCTCAACCCCTTTGCAACGCTCTCAACCTCTTAGCACCACTACGATTAATTAAACACCAAGGGCATCCTGTCCGTGTGCTCTGACTACTCCTCTGTCGTCTACGAGAGCTGCAAGGACCTTCCACGTGAGTTGCACCGCTCTCAACCTCTTTGCACTCCCGCAACTCTTCTGTTACTCCCCGAGATTCCTATAGTGCTCTCACCATCCCTTTGGTGGTGGGTTAAACATGCATTCCAATCGAACTTCCTTCCCTCCTCACACATCCCATCGTGCAATCATCAGTCCCCGGGTTTGGAACAATGGCGAGTTGTTTCCCCGCTAAGGAGTTCTTCATGAGCAAGCTCTTAGGCCCTGCACTTGTTGTCATCAATACCTATGGATACCCTCCCCTCCTCACATTCCCCATCCTGCAATCACCAGTGCCCGGCTTTGGAACCATGGCGGATTTCTTCCCCACTAAAGAGCTCTTCATGACAAAGCTCTTTGGAGCAGTTATCGGGCTAATTGGCAAGCTCAACTACACTGTCAAGATCAAACCGGTGAGCCTCACTAGATGTGGTAACATGTCGAGGGAGCATCGCTCTTTGGAGCGGTCATCGGGCTGATCGGCAAGCTCAACTACACCGTCAAGATCAAACCGGTAAGTTCTCCGAATGGTAGTGCTGACATTTAAGAAGCAGCCTCAGTCAACTCTTTGGAGCGGTCATCGGGCTGATCGGCAAGCTCAACTACACCGTCAAGATCAAACCGGTAAGTTCTCCGAATGGTAGTGCTGACATTTAAGAAGCAGCCTCAGTCAACTCTTTGGAGCGATCATCGGGCTGATCGGCAAGCTCAGCTACACTGTCAAAATTAAACCGGTGAGCTCTTCAGCTTGTTGATAGTCTCTGTCACTCCTAAGCTGGTTGTGGTAACATGTTGAGGAAACGGGCTGATCGGCAAGCTCAGCTACACCATCAACATCAAACCAGTGAGCCCTTGAACTCTTGTTGCTTAACTGACAGCAGATTATCTCCTCACACACTCTCTCCCGTGATGGACGTAAACCCCACACCTATCCCCCTTACAACACTAATCGATAACATTGCACTGCTTGCACCCATTCCACACCTTTCCTCGTATACAGAACAACGAAGCATGCTACAACGGACCAAAGGCCCTCCCAGCAACGACCCTGTGCTGCGACCCACTCAAAGTCCCCCGAACGTGCCCTCGCGGCACCATCAGCTTCAAAGAAAACCCCGAGTTCCGCCCGTTTGTGGGGCGCCACATCGACAGCAAGGGCTGCACTGAGAACCCGTCGCTTGCCATGCTCGGATCGACTCCTGATGCGGGGGCTGCAGGGAAGAAAGGCGCTGCTGGTGGTGGTGGGTGTGGGAGGGGGGCCGTGTTGGGGCTTGTACTGAGCTGGGTGGGAGTGTGGCTGGCGTGGGGAGGGTTGTGATCTGAGGCATATATTAGTTTGTTTCTGTTGGGACACGGCTTTGGCTCATGGGAGTTCATGGTATGATTATGGTAACTGCTAGTTAGGAGCTGTAGGTGAGGTTGATTCAGCCAGCAACACCATTGTTGCTCTAGGTACCATACCGTAAAATGCCTGATTAAAGAGGTTGATGACTCATCGTTTGTACTCGGAACACTACTTTTACCAAGGTGCCTTTAGCAGGGTACTTCGTGCTAGTGTTTTGAGATGTCTCGAAACACTACTTTTACCAAGGTGCCTTTAGCAGGGTACTTCGTGCTAGTGTTTTGAGATGTCTCGAAACACTACTTTTACCAAGGTGCCTTTAGCAGGGTACTTCGTGCTAGTGTTTTGAGATGTCTCGAAACACTACTTTTACCAAGGTGCCTTTAGCAGGGTACTTCGTGCTAGTGTTTTGAGATGTCTCGAAACACTACTTTTACCAAGTTAGCAGGGGACTTTGTGCTAGCCTGCTAAAAATAGTATTTCCTTGAAGGACCAACCTAGGCATGCACCATAACGGTACCAATAACAAAACAATAATAATAAGAACAATATTAAAAGGAATAGTAATAATACTAATAATAATAGTAATGATTGCAATGGGTGAGAAGAGTGGAAGAAGCAGCAGCTGCCAGTGCAAACATTTTGAATCCCACCATCCCAGAAACTGAACTTGCTAATTTTTGAATTTGATTCGGCTGATGAAGAACATCTAAATTCCAAACTTTTTTACACGAGAAGCGTGGAAGAAGCAGCAGCTGCCAGCGCAAACAGGCTGAATCCCACCATCCCAGAAACTAAACTGGTGCGATCTGCTGACTCGGGCAGGGGGGGGTGGTAAAGCGCTCACAGCAGGGGAATCAGCAGCACTGGACATGCTTTGGGCGGCCGGACAGGTGGGATCGGCAATGGTTCGGCCGGTGCTCCATCTGAACTGAATTAATGAACTCATTACATGACAAGTAGGACAGAAGCAGCAACCGCCAGCAGAAACAGGCTGAAACCCACCCCACAAGCCTGAGCTCTCACGGCCAGCTTCGGCATGGGAGGAGATGGCGAGCCCACAGCGGGGGAATCTGCAGCACTGGCTCTGCTTTGGGCGGTCGGACAGGAGGTATCGGCAATGGTCCGGCCAATGATGAACCGTCTGGATTAGGATTACATGACAAGTAGGAAAGAAGCAGCAGCTGCCAGCGGATACAGGCTGAATCCCACCACCCCAGAAACTAGGCTGGTACGTTCGGCTGACTTGGGTGGGGGAGGAGATGGAGGCGAGCCCATAGAGGAAGAATCAGCAGCACTGGCTCTGCTTTGCGCGGTCGGACAGGAGGGATCGGCAATGGTCCGGCCGATGAAAGGCAGGGTCTGCGGGTGCATGGAGACGTTGAGCTTTGGGATGGGGCAGTCGGGGGTGACGGGGAGCGGGTCGCAGCACGCGTTGATTTCAGGGAGCTGCTTCGGGCCGTTGTAACACTTGTCGGTGCCCTCGCTTGCCTGGGAGAGAGAGAGGGGAGAGGGAAAGGGGAAAGAGGGAGCAGGGGGGGGCGTCAGGGAAACATTGGAGCGGGTCGCAGCAAACGTTGATCTCAGGGAGTTGCTTTGGGCCGTTGTAACACTTGTCGGTACCCTCGCTTGGCTGAGAGAGAGAGGGAGAGCAGGGAGAGAGGGAGAGGGGAGAGAGGGAGAGGGGAGAGAGGGAGAGGAGAGAGAGGGTGCAGAGAGTGGGTGTGGGGTCACCAATGGTCCGGGCGATGGAAGGCAGGTACTCCGGATGCACAGAGACCATGAGATTGCCACGCGAGTCATGGCTCCTGTATGGGGCTCTCTTGGATGCACAGAGCCATTGCGTTTTGCAAGGGGACGCAGCACACGTTGATAACGGGGAGCTTTGTCGGGCCGTTGTAGCACTGGTAGGTGCCCTCACTTGCCTGAGAGAATGGTTGTGGGAAGAGAAAAAAAGGAACAGGTATAAGGTAAGATTGCATGCACTTAGCAGTATTCCTGTAAGCATAAAAGCTAACTGGAGCGACCAGCATGGTCTAGTGCGGTGCTAAAAGCTTAAAAGGTGACCAGCAAGGTGCAGAGTTGTATAGAAAGCTTACCAGAGTGACCAGTGCGGTGCAATGCGGTGCAAAGAGCTCACCGAAGAGACCTGAACCTGAACAGAGTAGTTGAGGGCATTGAAAGCCTGCCCAACCCTCCCAGACATGACTGTGACCTGCTTCTCTGCATCACCAGCACAGGGCAGTGTCCAGTGCGGTGCAGTGCTGTGCAAAGAGCTTACCGGGGAGACCTGCACAGTGTAGTTGAGGGCATTGAAAGCGTGGCCGACCCTCACAAACATGATTGCGATCAGCTTCTCTGCGTGACCAGCACAGTGCGGTGTCCAGTACGGTGCAGTGCGGTACCAAGAGCTTACTGGGGAGACTTGTACGGTGTAGTTGAGAGCATTGAAAGCGTGGCCGACCCTCCCAAACATGATTGTGATGAGCTTCTCTGCCGAGTTGAAGTACCGTGAAATGGTGCCCTGAAACCCGGGCACTGTGGGGTTGGGGAGCAGCGGGAATGGGAGCAACGGAAGCGGGGAGCGGCAAGAGTGGGGAGCAGCAAGAGTGGGGAGCAGCAAGAGTGGGGAGCAACAAGAGTGGGGAGCAGCAAGAGTGGGGAGCAGCAAGAGTGGGGAGCAACAAGAGTGGGGAGCAGCGGGAGGAGGTTTGGTTTGAGGCGCCACAACACACAAGCTTTGCCCACCCTCCCTCCCAAACATGATAGTGATCAGCTTCTCAGCCGAGTTGAAGTACGGTGAAATGGTGCCCTGAAACCCAGGAACTGTGGGAGTAGAGAGCCAAGGGAACGGGTGAGAAAGACAGACGAGGAGTGTGTCTTCATAAGCTTCTCTGCCGAGTTGAAGTACCGCGAAATGGTGCCCTGAAACCCGGGCACTGTGGGGGTGGGGAGCAGTGGAAGAGGGGAGCAGCAAGAGTGGGGAGCAGCAAGAGTGGGGGAGCAGCGGGAGGAGGTTTTGTTTGAGGCGCCTCAACACACAAGCTTGGCCCACCCTCCCAAACATGACTGTGATCAGCTGCTCTGCCGAGTTGAAGTACCGCGAAATGGTGCCCTGAAACCCGGGTACTGTGGGAGTGGGGAGTAGCGGGAGTGGGGAGCAGCGGGAGGAGATTTGGTTTGAGGCGCCTCAACACACCAGCTTGGCCCACCCTTCCAAACACGATTGTGATCAGCTTCTCAGCCGAGTTGAAGTAATGCGAAATGGTGCCCTGAAACCCTGGTGCTGCAAAGAGTGGGGAATCGTGGGAGGAGTTTTGTTTTGAGGCGCCTCAACACACCAGCTTGGCAAACCCCCCCAAAAATGATTGTGATCAGCTGCTCTGCCCAGTTGAAATAGTGAGAAATGGAGCCTTGACTTGAAACCCGGGTACTGCAGGAGTGGGGAAGTGTGGGAGGGAGGAGTTTTGAGGCTCTTCAAAACTAGTTCGGCCGACCCTCCCAAACATGAATGCGATCAGCTCAGCTTCCCTGCTTATCTGCAGTAATGCGAAATGGAGCCTTGAAACCCGGGTACCTCGGGGTTTTGGGAATCGTGAAAGGTTTTTGGAGTTGAGACGTCTCAAAGACTATGATAGTGATCAGCTTCTCAGGTGAGCTGCAGTAATGTGAAATGGCGGCCTGAAACCTAATCACTGCAGGAGTGGGGATTTGGGGTGGTAAGGTTCAAGAGAATCAGGTATGTTTCTAAGGTGCTGCAGCAGAAGTATTGCAATTTGGTGCCTTGAATCCCAGGTGCTGCAGGAGAGGGGAATAAACGAAGGGGGATTCGGTGGAGTGGGCATTCAGGGGGGTGGTGGGGCGACGGACGAGGATGCATGATGGAAGAAGGTGCAAGGGGACAAATCGAGATAGCGACATGGATACGTGGTTACCAGGTTACATCACGTACGCGGCACATCCTTGCAATTGTCATACAGCTCCTGTGCGTAAGATGCGCAAACAACTTTCGAGGCCCCTCGAAAATCGTAGCTTACGCGACACATCCTGGCCTAGTGGTTACCAGGTTACATCACTTACGCGCCACGTCCTTGCATTTGTCGTAAAAGCTCCTAGACCTACGCAAAACGTACCAACTTCTGAGGAGCCTCAAAAGCCGGGGTTCATCACTTGCATTTGTCGTACAGCTCCTGTGCATTAGGCTTGCAAACGATTGTTGCCATGTTACGTACAGCTCCTGTGCGTAAGGCTTGTAAACAATTGTTGAGGCTCCTCGCCTCGCTTGCTAACACAGCTTATGCGGCACCCTGCCGAGTGGTTACCATGTTACATCACTTACGCGCCACATCCTTGCATTTGTCGTACAGCTCCTGAGCATAAGGCTGGCAAACACGCATCAAGCCCGTCTCCCCTGGTGGCAGCTCCAAATATTTGCCGGAATCTGCAAGGCAGTTTCAAGCAACCAGACGTAGAGAACCGAGGAACAGGAGACGTTGAAGAACAGGAAAACAAGTAGCTTGAAGTGGTAAGCTTCAAGGATGGAGCTTCTATAGGAATGAAGAACCTGGAATGGAAAACTTCAAAGAAATGGCGAACTTTAGAAATGGAGAATTAAAAGGACTTGGCATGTGAGCTACGCCGCCAATACTCCTTCACACTCCTTAAAGCTCGGTAATTATAATTTTCAGAAACGACCTGCAATACTCCCTGGCACTCCTTGCAGCGGGGTTTATACGATTTTCAAAACGACCGCCAATACTCCCTGGCACTCCTGAAAGCTCAGTTCTTATCAATTTCGAAGTCTACCTGCAGGACCCCCTGACACTTTTGAAGCTCGGTGACTATAATTTTCAGAAACGACCGGCAAGACCCTCCGGCAGTTCTCAAAGCTAAAAAACGAAATGCAAGACTCCCTGACGCTCCTTAAAGCTCACGAATGAGGTGGTGACTTGTGGAATCGACTCAAGAGCTAGTCCCTCCGGCATCGGCTAAAGAGCTAGTCCCACTGGCTCACATAGAGTGCGGCCTGTAGCAGAGGTTGCCTCGGGAGCTAGTCTCTCCGGCTCACCTGAATTGCAGCCTATAGCGTAGAATTCTCTGCTCGAGAATGTCCAGACCAGACCAGACACTCCCTGAAGCTCACTTACGATGATATTGAAATCGCTTCAGATAAATTCTCAAGTCTCCGGCTCACCTGGGTTGCAGCCTGTAGCGCAGATCATCTGCTCAAGAATGTCCACATACTCCCTGAAGTTCACAAACGACAGCACTGGAGATATTTTTAAAAGTCTACAGCTTACCTGGAGTGCAGCCTGTAACGCAGCAGACCATCGGTTCGAGAATGTCCAGACACTTCCAGAAGCTGACAAACAACGGCATTGGACTTGAGTCACGTTGAGAGTTTCTGGAGTCCAAGCCTCACCTGGGTTGCAGCCCGTAGCGCATATCATTTGCTCGAGAACGTCCAGACACTCCCTGTGGCTCACGAACGACGAGCATATCTGCATGCAAAATAAGCAACATATTGCGGAAAAAAAAAAAGAGGAAACGGCACAAGTGCTTGAAGCAACATACCCTCGTAAAGTTCTCAAAAGTGCTTGCATACATATTTCAAGGGTAAGGTTTCGGCTTACCTGAACGTCTCCTGTAAGGAGTTTCAAAAGGCGAGAGTCTACTGTAGAAATGAGCGTTGTAACGTTCGCGCTGACTTCCAAAAGCGCGTATCGTCTATCGGAGCAGTCGTTACAGCATGTCATTTCGGCAGCGTCGAGGCATCGCGAGAACGTTACATTCGGCTTCGTCGGAGGGAGGCCGGTAAACGGACATAGAGGATAGTTTTGAGCACGGCTAGCTGCTACGAGTAGACCTACTATGGTGAGGGTGAGAGGGCAAGTGAAGGCCTTTACTTTCGCCATTCCAATTCCTAAAGACGTACGAAATGGAGAGACTGGAGTTCTTTGGCTGAAATGACGGATTGCTAAACCACTAGTGCGAGTCACCAGCCTGAACATTAATAAATGAAATGTAAATCAAAACTCCAGTTTCACTCCCTCGTAATTTCGACTCAAGAAACACGTAATCTAGTCGCCAAAGAAGAGCTCGAGAATGCGAGAAATGTTCTGGTTGGGGTTGGGGGGCTGACAAGGCAGGCCGCGTGGTCCAGTCCACTCACGTCCCAGCAGCGGAGAGAGAAGCTTCGATAATCGAGACGACTTGCACAAAGCTGGTGATAGTGGGAAGGGAAGGGAAGGGAGAGAGAAGAAGACGAGTGTGATTATTGGGCTTGCGGTGCAGCCACTTGTTTCGAGGGAATGGGGGAGTGAGGTGACTGGCGGTTCGATCGAGGCGATCAGGCTTTACGTTTTGCTTATCCAAACTAGTGGTCAGGCTGAAGAACTCTGAACTCCCTCTCACCGCAACGTACCGTTTGGGCTAAGGCAACAAGTTCTTTTGGCCTCAGTCAAGATTTTATGTGACAGTACAGTAATGTGGAGGATCCTGGACACATGTAGCTGAGATTCAGGTGGATTTGTGGTACAGTGTAACGATCATTGGTACATTTGGGTGGTCAACTCTGTTGTAATATCATATTTTCCATTCTAGTTCCAAGATTCCCATTATAAGCTTAATACCATGTTATCACCCGGATCTGGTGTCAGAAGCACCTAAACGGGGACTCAAATTACTGTACCTTCGTGATTCCGTCTCAATGAGGAAACCTCCTCCGCCACAGCTGGGAAAACTTGTAGGACGTGCTCTTCACCTCTGAATGGTGCATAATATGCATATACCTAGCCAAAACATGTATTCAATCCTTTTCCGCCTCAGCCTGGTCCACGACTTTTGGTCTGAATCTGATTCTGCAACATTAAGCGCTCACGAGACCACACATCTCCAGTGCCTTGCTCAAAGCCCCTTCCTCCGCCTCCCTTAGCTGCCGAGCCAACTGCAGTTCCTTCTCACACGCCTTAGCTCCCGCCGAACGTGCGTCCAAGCCTCCGCCCAAGCCTAAACCAGCGGGTGCAGGTGATGCTGCTGTGGCCCCTGCCTGGAGCTCCTGTAGCTTGCGTTGGCAGATACTGCTGAGCAGGTCAGCTTGGGCCTTGGACAGTGTTACATCTGCGCTGCTGGCTGGTTTGCTCGCGGGTTCAGAATGTCCGTTTGCTGTTGCTGGACGAAGAGAGACAAGGAGAGGAGAGGAAAAGACAGCATTGAAATAGTGCTGGTATGCATGTACAACGACAAAATACAGCTATCTCTTTGGTACCGTATCCGCTACAATCCATCCACCCCTCACCATCCCTGCTCCACCATTCATGCTGTCATGCTTATCCTTGCCAATCTCTCTCACCCCAACCCTTCATGTTCGTTCACCTTCTTCCTTTCCACGTGCCTCAGCAATTCAGCCGTCTTGGCGTGTCCAGCAATGGCCGCTCACAAGTCCTCGGTGATCTGCGCCTCATCGCTCATCTCTCACGGATTCCCTTCCTCCCCCCCTCCATGCTCTACCCCTCATGATTGGACCATATTCACATGCTCACCCTCCCCCCCCCCTGTGCGCTCACCTTTATCCTTTCCATGTGCCTCCAGCAGTTCGGCTGTCTCCTTGGCACGTGCAGCAATGGCCCCTCGCAGGTCCTCTGTAATCTGCGCCTCATCCGTGGTGGTCGCCACTCTAAGCCACGTGGCCAGCTCAGGGGATGGCTTGCCAGTCCAGAAGAGGTCCAGATAGGTGGAGGGCGGTAGCTCCAGCCACTTGAGGAGTGCAAGCTGGGTTGGGAGAATGAGTAAAAGGGGGGGAGAGAGTGGGGCAGTGGAGTGAGGATGAGGAAAAATGAACGAGCCACACAGACATCTCAGGTAAAACATGCCGTTTCAAAGGTGCCATATCAGCTGTGTCATACCAACCAGCCTGTCAGATGTTGTACCCACCTTCCTCCGAACGTGGCACCTCTGTGAGTCAAACTTTCTTGCATACTGTCATCCTGCCACCTGCCATACCTTCTTATTGTAGAGTGGGTCGGAGGGCGACAGCTCCAGTGGTATGCTGTTGGCAGGCAGACGAGGGGCAGAGACAGACAGGGAGGGGCAGACACAGGAGGAGTGGCAGGCAGGTAAGGAGGGGCAGGCAGGTAAGAAGGGGCAGACAGGTAAGAAGGGGCAGGCAGGTAAGAAGCAGCAGGCAGGTAAGGAGGGGCAATCATCGGCAGTGAATGTGGGACGCGGCGGAATGAAGGCACCAGGGAGTGGGGGCCAGCAGGGGAGTGGGGGGGCAGCAGGGGGCAGCATTCTCACCGGAAGCGGTCTCTGTCGTTGGAGGTGGGGATGAAGCCCGAGTAGAGCAGCATGATGGTGTTGGGGCGGTAGCCGTACGACAGGTACACCTGGGGAATGGGCGATGGATGGGTGGGTGATAGCAGCATAGTCGGGCGGTAGGAGGATGGGTTTGGTTAGGTCTTAGGAAGGTGGTGTTTGGTTGGTGTTGGGGCGGTAGCCGTACGACAGGTACACCTGTGGAATGGGCGATGGATGGTGGGTGGTTGGGTGACAGGAGGGTGGTGATTGGTTGGTGTTGGGGCGGTAGCCGTACGACAGGTACACCTGGTGAGTGGGCGATGGATGGGTGGGTGGGTAGGTGACAGGAGCGTGGTGATTGATTGATGTTGGGGTGATAGCCGTACGAGAGGTACACCTGGGGAATGGGTTGTGGTCATGGTGAGTGGGTGTTGGATGGGTGGTTGGGTGATAGGAGGGTGGTGTTTCGTTGATGTTAGGGTGATAGCCGTATGAGAAGTACACCTGATGGGTCGTGCTTGAGGTTATGTATGGGTGGTTTTAAGGTGGTGTTGGCCGAAGTTATGTTGATGGTATGTTCCCACTGAGTGCCACGTGTTGTCTCTTTACAGTCCCACCCACCTGACAATAACACCTGTAGACTCGCACCACACCTGGTATTAACCCCAAAGCGTTTCTCTTGGTACCCTCCTTAAAAGCCCCTCCACATAGGGTCTTCAAATACAATCACACACCAACAAATATAGTCTCATTCAGTTAAAATCACACTCACCTGCTCGCCGGCCTTGAAGTTGCGCTTGGCAGCGACCTCCATCACGTTGCTCCCAACGCCAAACGTACTCGTTATAGGGCCCTCCTGTACAAGCACACAACAATCAGAACCACATAGCGGTTGAACATGTCTATAAGGGAAAGGTAACCATCACTTGGCAAACAGGCCACTATAGAAAGTTATCCTTCGTACCTCATGGTTGAACATGTCTATAAAGGGGATGAGCGCCATCACTTGGCGAACAGGCCCAGCAGCAGCTGCTGCTGCAGTTGACGCGCCGGCAGCATCAGCAGCAGGGGCAGCACTGGCGTCAGCACTACCAGCAGCAGCATCGCCAGCGGCAGCATCACCACCAGCAGCAGCGCTAGCAGCAGCAGCAGCCTCAGCAGCGGCGGTTGCAGCAGCAGTGGCAGCAGCTTCAGCAGGGGTGCCTGCAACGCCTGCAGCAGCAGCACTGGGGTTCTTTTTCACTGCTGTCTCTAGTGCCTCTGCTGTTACTGGCACCTGCGTCTGCCTCATCATCACCATCTGTGCAAGGAGCAGCAGGGAGGGAAAGAAAACAGAGGATAAAATGAAGATTAACGAAGGGACATCGGAGGTGGTTAGACTCTGATTGAAAAAGTGAAAACCAACGCGACGTGGCCTCTACCCCAACGAGTCACCGACCAAGGATTGGATCACTCATCATTGCCAAAAAATAATAGGTATCAAACCAAGTATATACTCACAGAGACAGCCCATCAAAACTCTGCATAGCATTGCCACTCATTACACGCGGTCTTGAGGGCAAGGGGAAAGCCATGCAAAGTGCACTCCACACTCCATTCCAACAGAACACTCCACACACTGCCATGTACTCACAGAGACAGCCCATCGGAACTCGGCATAGCAGAACCACTCCCTGGACGCGGTCTTGAGGGGGGCTGCAATGACTCCCAACTGCCTAAGCACCGTGCGCATGTGGCAATACTGCTTGGCCACCGTGCGCAGCATTCGGTGGTACTCTGGCAGAGCCTGCGAGGGTTGATAGGGAATCGGGAATACAAGAGAGAGTCTACTATTCATGATCAAACTCAAAAGGGCCAGCACCATGCGCTATAGTGGTGCTGCTTGGCGACCGTTCACAGCATTTGGTGGTACTCAGGTAGACACTTAACCATGCTTGGCTATCGTGGGCAGCATTCAGTGGTACCCGGGTGGGCCGTGCATACATGAGTGTGAGAGTTGCATTGATGCTGTTTGGGTTATGGTGTGCAGCACAGGCATACAGCATGACGTACTAGAGGGGCAAGAGGCTGTGTGGCATACCGTGGTTCCTTGCAGGAGCGAGACGGTCTCGAGACTGTGACACCATGCACGTGGGGGCACACAGTGACAGACAAGTAGTCCGGGGAGAGACGGGGACGGGGTGGGAAAAGGGAGAGAGGGAGAGGAAGGGGGTTATGGGTAAAGGGACAGTGGAAGGTATTGCTTCAGAACATTAAACCCATGACACACCTCAGGCCAAAACATCCAAAATCATGCGTTCCCAATAGACGTTTGAGCTTGTTTAAAAGCAGCACGAATTATTATAGCCCGCCATTTGAAAGCAGCAGGGATCCCTTTTCGCCCGGAATTCATCTGTGTAGCTGACCTGAAGGCGAGGGGCAGGATGATGTCGTCAGGGGAGGCGTCCTGGTTGAACTCGGACAGACAGTGCTGGCCTGGCAGCGACTTGATGTACCCCAACCACTTGGACGGGGAGCCTGCCGGACGATGCTGCAGTATAGGAAAGAGGGGTATTGGTGCATGAGGTGAGGTTTTATGTGAGACATGTGACAAAAAAACAAAAATCTCTTTGTACGCGTGATACTTGCAGTCTGAGAAAGAGTGTGGAACTGTCTGTTTCCATGCGCATGGGAGTGAGTGCATCCGAGAGGGAGTGCTGGACTGACCTTTTCGAAGAGCAGGTGCATGGCGAGGATGAGGGAGGGCACGGCCCGGAACCAGACGTCCGTGGAATGAATCAGCCCCACGTCCTTCTGCTCGTGCAGTAAGAAAACACACGAAGACATGGAGGTAAGGGAGGAAACAGAGGGAGAAACAGGACCACAAAACGGATGGAAACATGTGCACACTTTCCGGTTGCGAGAATTGTTTCCGTCTTCCATATTACCCCGTGGTACCCACATTCTTGTGGAGTCTAAGACTGATGGGCACTTACAACTGATTGGACGGCAGTAAGCTGAGTCATCATGAGATCGGACGGGAACGAGGCAACGAGCTCCCCCTCGTTAAAGTCACGCGTTGCCACCACCCCAGGACCCTCGGGCAGACTCCCGTCGAGCTTGACCCCGTCAACCTGACACGTCACAATGTCCGCCATTAGGGAAAGTGAAGAGCAGCCAATCAGGAGATTTTGTGGAGGAGTCCCAGAACATGTTAAATAGACGCAATGTGGTTGGTTGGCCGAAGTGGTAGCATCCGTTCCCAGTTTATCCTAAGCAAACAGACCTCAGACTGGCTACATGGTTCCGCTACTGGTGATGTCAACAGAAATAACCGTTCCAGGTCATTCTGCACCGCATAGTCGTTAAAATTCATCGTCAACAGCACTAGCCTTAGCAGGTCATGGTCAACTACTGCAGTCGATTCATTCGGGACCCACCGTCACGTTGTTCTGCTCGAGCCACTCCTGCAAGTACTTCATGCGAGTAGCTGCATCGGCTGGTGGCTCCGTGGAAAGGCGTCCCTTCTCGTGCTTCTGAATCTGAAGGGTGAGCAAGCAAGGGCGAGAAGAGCAGAAGGTTTCATTGGCGAGAGAAACGATTAAAGGGTAAAGGGATGTCTAGACATTTTTTTTGGGTGGAAGAACGACGGATTTAGACTCTAAATGGTACGTAATGTCAAAACTTGACCCTGCATTTTCTGTTCATCGAGTGCATTTACGTGTCACTTGCGCTATCAAATGTGACTGCACCCAGCTGTGCGTACTACTCTCGCAGCCTATATGCGAGCTCACCTGCGACAGGATCCTATGGATCGCGGTGATGCTGTCCATGTGTTCGGACGGGGAGAGCTTGTGGTACTCGATGGGCTTCTCCACGCGATTGAACAGGTCCGTGGCCATGCCATCCAGAAGCGCTGCTCATTTGTTGTAGAATTAGCGCGGAATGAGACACGGAAAGACATGGGTAATCAACGCGCCTTAGTCTCATGAATAGGCTCTCAGTATCAATGCTATGCAGGTCAACAACCAGAAGACGGGCAGTATTCTCCATAAGAGCTCAATGTACGAGTAATCTGACGGCAAGTTATCGTTTCCTTACCCGTCTTTTCCTTCTTCTTATCGTTCGACTTCGACATCGTGACTCGCTACTGTCTGTCGAAGAAAACTGGTGGAAAGACAACGAGAAGGAACAGGCAAGTCCGTCCGTTTCGGACCAAACAGATACTAAATTACTACGAATACACCGACCCAGTAGTCTTTCGGTTCAAGCCCTAAGGACTTCCCGTCAGTGACCAGGCTAGGAGCCACTGTCCTTGAATGACGCGGATGTTGTGGCAAATGGACCAGACCAGGTCAGGGATTTCTTGGGAGTGACGAGGTTGTCCTGTGAGAACACGCACGGCGGCGACCAGCCAGCAGCGCTGAGGAGGGAGAAAATTCTCAGCATGCCAAACCTTGAAATTGTTGAGCCGATCAGATTCCCAGGAGCGCGAAGCGAAATTCGGGTGGATAAACCAGCACCAATCGCAAGCTGGGAACAGGGAACGCTGGCATGGAAAATTGGATGACGTGGAGTGTACAAGGGTGGGATTCCGTCCTTCGACTGAAAATTGACGAATGGGAACTGAGCGGTGTGATCCGAATCACACTTGTTGTCAGCGAAGGATGCGACTCCACAATTTCCATGCATTCCTGAAATCTTATGCTGCAATACAGTATACAGAATAACGGATGCCGCAGTGTACACTCTTCCCGATACGTAATGGTCTACCAAATCTGCAGAAAAAACAGGACCACAGCCAGAAGACTCGTAACGTACTCTGGGAGTCCAAGACTTCCATTCATCCATAGGCGGTCCGCACCGTTTCCGAACCATAAGCACCGTACTGTAACTAGGTTTCCCGTAATGTGCTTGCGTGATAGTTGCATGTAGATGAATATGTTTCCAACGAGAGCACGGGATGTGCCACATGCTTAGTCGTTAGGTGGAGCTGCTGCACTGGCACTTGAGAAGCTCTGTCAGCTCATCGAGTATACTGTTGCTTGTTCTGAAATTTACTCCGAGGAATACAGCGAGACGGAGGAAGGGAGCAGATTCAGCCGCCGCCATGCCCCTGGTTACATCGTTACGTGTAGCAATGCCTCACCTCGCCATGCCGCCCGCTGCTCTGCCGTTAAACGAAGCGCACGGCGAAGGAGCCTCGTTAATGGAACACTCCATAGAGGAACACCACGTGCATGTATCTCAGCCTCGGGAGTCGCCGTTACAGGATCAGCAGCTGCAGGAACCCAATGTTCACGAACGACCGTTACAGGAACGACGGTTACAGGAACGACGACTACAAGAACGATGGCTCCAGGAACGTCGATTACAGGAATATGGGTTACAGGAACACGCGTTACAGGAGCACCCATCACGTAGACTGTTCGCTATGGAGGCAGAACCAGTAAGAAACGCCATGCTTTTATCAGGGTCGGCAGCAGCAGCGGCAGCGGAAGCAGGAGCTACCACAAGACCAGCATCACCAGAAGCAGCAGCACTGCCAGCAGCAGCAGTAGCAACCGCAGCACCAATAGCGCCAGCACCCCTTGCAGCGCAAGAAATCATTCCTTCTTGGCTTGACTGTCAAACCCCAGAGCAGGTCATTCTCCTTCTACAGAAACAGCTTATATCAGAGCGGAATTCTCTCAAAATCCACGTGGAAAAACTCCTGCAGGAAGTGCGTGAATCCCTAAACGCGCAGCAGCGATTCTGGGCGGCGGAAGTGGCGCGCTTGGAGGCGCAAGTGGCGGAGACCGGGCGGCAGATGGAGCAGATGCGGACGGAAAGACGGGCGGCGGAGAGGGAAGCGGAGCGGAGGGGGAGGGAGGTGCGGAGGCTCGAAGAGCGGGTGGAGAGTGGGGAGAGGGAGAGGCGGGTTCTGATGGGGGAGGTAGAACTGGTGAAGGCGCAACTGCGAAAGGTGAGAGTGATGGTGGGGGAAGAGGGAGGGGTGGTGAACCGTGGGCAAGAGAGGATCGAGGGTGAGGGGGTGGGAAGAGAGAGTGTGGATGGTTTGGGGGGTGGAGAGGAGTGGGGAAGCGAGTTAGCAGCAATTGACGGGTTTGGTCAAAGGGTGGGGGTAGGCGGGGAGAAGAAGAGGGCGAAAAATGAGGAGAGGAAGCGTGGGAGGGAGGAGGATGAGGAGAAAAAGCATAGGGGGGCGGGAAATGAGGAGGTTAGGTACAGGAAGGCAGGGAATCAGGAGGGGAGGCTTGGGACGGAGGATGAGGTGGATAGGGGCAGAAGGGAGGAGAATGAGGAGGATAGGCATAGGAGGGCGGGGAATGAGGAAGCCAGGTCGCAGAGGGTTAACAGCTGCTTTTCGGTTTTGGGACGTTTCACGGCTGTGGAGAATTCGAAGGAGGAGGGTAGTAGAGGCGGCAGCAGCGGTGGGGTGGAGCGGGAGCAACCGAGTGATTACTGTCCACAACAGAGTGCCCAAAGCAGCTCTCGCAGTGAAGGCAGAGGCGGAAGCAGCAGCAGCAGTAGGGTTGAGCGCGAGCATCTGAGGGATCACCTGTGGCAGCACGCTGCTGAGAGCAGCTCTTGCAATGCAGGCAGAGGCGGCGGCAGCAGCAGCAGCGGCAGCAGCAGCAGCAGCAGCAGCAGCAGCAGCAGCGGCGGGGTGCAGCAGGAGCTGTTAATTGATTATCACAATCGGCAGAGCACTGAGAGCAGCTCTTGCAGTGCAGGCAGGGGGAGTAGCGGCGGTGTGGAGCAGGAGCATCGGAGTCTTTATCACAAGCAGCAGACTGCCGATAGCAGCTCCTGCAATGCAGGCAGAGGCAGTAGTAGCAGCAGCAGGGTGGAGCAGGAGCAGCGGAGTGCGTGCCTTGATTCAATGCCACGCGATGCTGGGAAGCCCAATCCCTATCAGGGTTCGAATGAGTCCTCCACGTCTTGTGGAGGACTTGGTTCGAATGAGTCCTCCACAGTAGATCGTGGTGCGCATGCGAGAGAAAAAGCGCTCGATTCGCATGGGAGCATATTAGAACACAATACGCCTGGAGACGCCTCTGAGGCACCTGAGGCACCTGGGGCATCTGGGGCACCTGGGGCACCTGGGGCGCTTTTGGCACCTGAGGGACCTGAGCCACCATTGGCATCTGGGATACCTGAAGCACCTGAATCCAGGAGCACCATTCTTGATACTTCTCGGGATAGCGCTGCCATTCTGAGAGCGCATTTGGCAGCACTAGCAGCGGAGAGGGCGCATGCAGTGAGGGAGGGCGGTGCAGCAGAAGCAGCCGTGGCAGGGCTGTCCCGCCAGCTGGCGGTCCAGCTGGCACGCTTGGATAGGGTGAGCAGATCGCTTGTGGGGGTTGGGGAGTGGGGCGGCACCCCGGTGGTTGCGGCAGGATTTGATATGCGGGCGGCAGAAGGAATGGAGGGAGATGTGTGGAGAGAGGGGGAGGAGGGTGTTGAAAGGCATAGGCAGGAGCAGCAGCATCATCAGCAGCAGGAGCAGCAACCGCTGCAGAAGCAATGGCAGCAGGAATGGGAAGCAGCGCAGAAGCTACACCATGAGCAGTTGAAGGGGCACCAGGCAACACCGGAGCTGGAACAGTGGCAGGCGGCACGAGGATTGGCAGAAGACAGCCAAACAGCAGCTGGAAAACCACCTGACCAGGAGAAGGCTTTTTCAACAGTGCCTCAAGAGGACCCACTTGAAAAATCACCTGAAAAATCACCTGTAGGAGACCCAGCTACGTTGGTGGGGGGTGTGAGTGTGCATAGACTGACAGCGTGGCATCATGGCAGGGAGGCGTGTGAGCTCAGGGAGATGGCTCTTAGAGGATCAACGGCTGTGATGCATTCCCAGAGGAGATGGGGCTTGATAGACGGCTCTGAGTTGCCACGAGGAAGCACCGATAGTGCAGGGCGTGTTGGTGCTTCAGATGATGCTTCAGGTGCTGCTTCAGGTGCTTCTTCAGATGCTCGTGATGCAGATGGCAACGCCATAAAGCCTTCCGTTGGTGCAAGGGAAAGCACCTCCACTGCCCGTGATGCCACACATGCACCAACAATCAACCCTTATGCTGCCAATGCCCTGGCAGTCACTGGTACATCTGATTCTCCTCATTCTCCTAAGATCTTGCCAACCAATGCACCGCAATCGCTCACAGCCTCCCGCTCTCCCCACACCTCCTGCACTCCTCATCCCTCTCCTACTCCTCTCTCTTCCACCCCTGCTCACTCTCCCACCCCTGCTCACTCTCCCACCCCTGCTCTCTCTTCCACCCTCCTTCTCTCTCCCACCTCCACTCCTCCTCTCTCTCCCACCTCCCTCTCCCCTCGCACTCCACCCTCTCAAGACTCCAATGGCTCCCCTCCTCTCTTCCACAGCTCCTCCTCCCACCTCCTCCCACCCGCTCCTCCTCTTTTCCCCACCCCCACCACTCCGTCCGCCTTTCTCTCCCAGCTCTTCGCATTTGGTCCCATCCGTCACGCGCCCCTCTCTTCCCTTCCACAGCCCCCTGTCCATTCCACCTCCTCTGATCCCTCTTTTCCACTCTCTGCCTTCAATGCCCCTCTGTTGCACCCCCCTCTCTCACACCGTCCCCTGGCGCACCCGGCTCCCCTGCGCCGCCTCCGGTCGGCTGGTCTTCCAGCTAGAGCCAAAGGTAGGCGCCAGGGAGCATGGGGGGCGGTGGAGAGGGTGCAAGGGGGAATGGGATATGGTGGGGCAGACGAGTCAGCAGCTGCAGAAGGAGCAGGAGGAGGAGCAGGAGGAGGAGCAGGAGGAGGAGGAGCAGAAGCCATGGCACAAGCATCAAGGAAAGTCGAGCGTCAGAGATCCGGTCTAGAACCGTCTGAGGAAGTAGCACGTCAGAGATCTGGTCCGGAAGCATCCGAGAGATTAGAGCGCCAGAAATCCAACCAGGAAGCATGTGAGAGAGTAAGTCCGGGGATGGTTGAGGAGCGGAGAGCAGCCGTACAGGAGACCCGGGCCATCCTCCATGCCCTACGAGCCAAGTGGTCCAATTCTGCTGCCCCTTCTCCCGCTCGCCCTGCTGCCACCGCTGCTGCTCCTCCTGCTACTGCTTCCCCTGGTTCCCATCCTCATGCAACTGCTGCTGCTCCAGCTGCTCGTTCTCCTGCTGCTGCCGCTGGTGCCGTTGCTGTGTTGCAATCCGCGTCTTCACCAACAGTCTCGACTGCCTCGCCAGCCCCAAAGTCCCCGTTACAAGTACTCTCACAAAGAGGAGAATGGGTAGGAGCACTGGTGGTGAGAGGAGGAGAGCAGGGAACACTGCTGGTACCAGAGCAGCCTTTAGTGAAGCAGGGAAGTGTGACACTAGCAGGTGGAATCAGGGGAGCTGCACAGCTGGAGGTTTTTGATTGGCTGTCTGAGCTGGCGGATGACTCTCTGTCAGATGAAGAGGAGCAAGTATTCTAGTTACCAGTACAGGCATACTGTAGATAGCATCTACTATGTATATTTTGCTGCCGTTGTTGTACCGTAAGCTCCCGGATATAAGACCTCCCGGAATACAAGACCCCCGGGTCTGTAATACGGGGGTGGGTCTTTAATTTTGGCAGGTTTTCACTATACCCCCCCCCCCTAGAGGGGTAAACATTACAAGACCCCCCCTAAACTTGTGCACTAGTGTTTTTAAAGGCATTTTGATGCATTCTCATGTGTTTTTTTAGAATGATAAGGGTGTGAACACAGATTCAGGCCTACTACCACACTGGGTTGACGGTTCATGAAAACAGTAGCAATATGGGGGAAAAAAACAGCCAGATTTCAATTAGGAGGTCACAAGCAGATTTCATTGTGATGTACCTATATCGCGAATACTCACATCCGCGGACCTATCGAGGATAAAAACAAAATAGCAAGCATCCAGATCAATGAGGCATTTGAATACACATTTAAAATACACGTCCATATCATAAGACCCGGGTACTATACAATCTTTACCCTTTAACAAGACCCCCCCATTTTTTTAAATGAATTTTACATAAGACCCTAGGGTCTTATATCCGGGAGCTTACGGTATAACATGTACACTACAACCCTTGTATACCTTGCGATGCTACTGATTAGGCGTTGTTGTAAGAATACTCTTCTAACAAACACCACCACAAATTCGAACACACCGCAAAACAACACACTAGTAGAGGGAATATATTGATATGGGTAGCAACAGCCACTCTACCATCCTAGTACACTCGCAGCTCCGATTGCAAATTGCAACACAACCACCAGCAAACCAGGGATAAGGGCAATTGTAGTATTCAATAACTAAGCACCAGCGCCACTACTAGGTTGGGTTGGACTGGGTTGGGTCAGGTTGGGCTGGGTGCAAGGCCATCTTAGCAGCAGCTTCAGGTCAATCAGAAATTTGGAGCCTAAGGAAGGTTAGGGGGGCGTGCTAGCCCCAGTGGGTGGGTGGATGGATGTGGGGAGGAGATGGATGGAAGGGTGGCTTGAAAAAAAACAGGCATCTTAGAATAAAGTTCTGCTGGAGATAGCGAGGCTGCTGGAAGGTTAGTGAGGAGCGGTTAGCCTGGGTGGATGGGTGTGAGGATGGGTGTTAGAACGGGTGCTTGGATGCGTTGTTGGATAGGTAGGAGGATGAGATATTGGATGGGTGGGTGGAAGTGGGTTGTGGGTTAGCTCAGCAGGATCTTAGGGATAGCAGTCGATTGGAAGCTTCTCAGAAGTCGCTCCTGGAAGTTAGACCAGTGGGTTTCGCCGCGGAGAAGGAACGGAACCTGGCGGTCCAAAGAACGCTCGAGACCCATTCGCACTCGCACCTGCACTTGGCATCAATGCTCGCACTTGCTTGTGCTTGCACTACCAGTTAGACTGGTGGGTTTCGACGCGGAGAGGAAACGGAACCTGGCGGTCCAAAGAACTCTCGAGACCCACTTGCACTCGCACTGATGCTTGTGCTTGCACTGCCAACAGCACTGGCACCGCTGGCACTCCCGATGATGCTGTTGGCGTGGCTGGCTCCAACCCCCCCTGCAGCGCTGCTGTTGCTGCTCGACCGAGACATCTGCTTGCGCTTCTCCTCTGCAAAGCAAAGAGGAGGGTGGGAAGGAGGCAAGCTTTAAGTGCAGCAAACGACTCAGCATTCAATTGCTGCTGGACCGCAACCTTTGCTCCTGCTACTCCTCGGCAATAGACGGGATGGTGGGAAGGGATGATCACTTGTAAACGACGACGCCACTTGCCTTGACTTGCAGAAATAACAAAAATAATTGCTCAGAAGTTGTTTTTTCTCCTAGTATACAGACCCACCTCGCTGCAGTGCCAGCTCCTACTGTAGCTCTGCCTTGCAATGTAGTAAGTGAAAATCCGAATACTAATCCTTTGTGTGTGTTAAGTTTGTTTGTAATCCTGTAACATATACCCACCTCTTTGCAGCGCCAGCTCCTGCTGTAGCTCTGCCTCCCACTGCTGTCGCTTCAGGTCCCCCGATTGGCCAACAAAGCTGCAGATGACGTCAGCAGAGGACAGACCACAGGATCGAGTCAGCAAGAACTTAGCAAGTAGTCTGAAAACAAGAGAGTGACAGGCTGTCACAACCTAGATTGCTACAACCAAACAATGCTGTCACGTAGCAGACCCAAGACATTGTGTCCCTCACTTTCTTTCAACTAAACATCAGTACTTACTTGTAGCAAGGCCAAGACGTTCCCCCAATACGCACCTGTCAGTGCTGTCATGTAGCAACGCCAAGACGTTCCCTCCAGAAGGGTAAAGCCCCCCTCCTCCTCCACTCGCAAACAGGCTCCCTCCCGACCCACTCCTCCCCACCGACACCCCGCCTCCACCACTCAAAACCCTCCCAACTCCTCCTAACCCCACTGCTGACCCTCCACTCCCCCCTCCTAACCCTCCTCCCATCCCCCCAATCCCTCCTCCACTACCTCCCCCTCCAACCGAAGCCCTGCTGCTGTTCACACTCCCTCTTCCCCCTCTGTGTAGCACCCCACTCCCCTGCCTCCCAAACCTCCCCTCCTGCCCAAAACCTTCAAAGCTGCCCGGGTGCTGCCGCCCGGAAAAGTCGCCCTCGCTACCGTTCACCCAGCTGCCCGACTTGCTGCTGACAATCCCGGGCGGCCGAGGGGAAAGAGTCGGCACCCTCCCCGACCCACCTTCCCCTCTGCTCTCACTCTCACTCCTCTCACTTCCCGATGCTCTCTGTTCACTCCCGTGAGAGGGGGTGCGGGTAACCCTATGGCCTTCCCCTGCTTTCCCTGAGAGTGGCCCTTCGAAGCTGTGATAGGAGGGGGATGAGACGGGTCCAGGCACGGAGATAGCGGATTGGCTGATGGAGTGGATGATTCGGGAGGGCAGGTGGTGGGATCGGCGGGCAGAGGAGGAGGAAGAAGGGGAGGCGGAGCGGCGGGAGGGGGAGGGGAGGGAGGGGGAGGGGCTTTGAGTGGCAGTGGAGGGAGAAGAGAGGGCCACTGCAGGTCCTGCTGCTGCTGCCATTGCCGCTGCTGGAGTTGGTGTTGCTGATGTTGCTGCTGCTGCTGCTGTAGCGGCCGTTGCTCCTGTCACTGCTGCTGCTGCTGCTGCTGCACCTGGTTGCATGCGGGCAGAGGGGGACAGATCCCGTGGGAGCACAAAGCTCTCTTTCAGAATCCGCTTCTTGCGAGCAGGAGAGGACTCGCGATGGCGACGGGGAGAGGGGGAGAGCCCAGCAGGTCGACTGGGTATGGTGGCCTGCCCTGGCGTGTTGTGACCCTGCTTCAGCATTGCAGGGGAGGAAGGCCTACCGATGTTCTCACCACCCACTGCTCCCTGCTGCTCTCCCTGCTGCACTCCCTGCTGAATTTCCTGCCGCTCCGCCTGCTGTTCTGCTTGCTGCTGCACTGCCAGCACACCATCCGGCTCGTCCACCCCCCCGTGCCCGTGTGACATGGCTAGAGACAAGTCTAGCTGGGGCAGAGATTGTCTCAGCTCCTCGGCTGCTCTCAGCTCCTCGGCTGCTCTCAGCCCCTCTGCTGCCCTAACCTGCTCTGCTGCTCTCAACTCCTCCGCTTCTCTCAGCCCTTCCACTGGCAGCTTCTGCTGCCCTTCCTTCCTCTCTTTCCCTTCCTTCCTCTCTTTCCCTTGCTTCCTCTCCTGCCCTTGCTTCAACTCCTGCCCGCCTGCACTCCCACGGCTGACCATCACAGCTACACGGTCCTCCCCTCCCCTCTCCTGCCCCTCCCTCCCTCCACCAGCCCTTCCCCCCTCCCATCCCCCCTCCCATCCCTCCTCCTTCTCCACCTCCCCACTCTCCCCCTCGTCCCCTCTCTCCTTCCCCCTTCCCTCTCCCTCCCCCTCTCCCCGTTCTGCCCTCTCTCCCACCGCTCTACTGCTTGTCCCACCCACTGAATCACTGCACAAATCCTCCCGGGAGGCACTATCCGCGCCCACGTGTTCTCTCAGAGGGCCTGTGACCTCGTCCTCAGTGCAAGCAGAAGACTCGCCCCCGTGCCCACGTGCTGCCGTCACGTACGACCCCAGTGGGTCGTTGTGCGATGGCTCCTCCATCGGGTTGAAATCGCTCTGGGGGGGAGAGGAAAATGGGAGAGGGAGGGTATGGACGGATGGAGGCAGGAGGGTCGTTGGGAGAGGGGAGAGGGGAGAGGGGAGAGGGGAGAGGGGAGAGGGGAGAGGGGAGAGGGGAGAGGGGAGAGGGGAGAGGGGAGAGGGGAGAGGGGAGAGGGGAGAGGGGAGAGGGGAGAGGGGAGAGGGGAGAGGGGAGAGGGGAGAGGGGAGAGGGGAGAGGGGAGAGGGGAGAGGGGAGAGGGAGAGGGGGAGAGGGGAGAGGGGAGAGGGGAGAGGGGAGAGGGAGAGGGGAGAGGGGAGAGGGGAGACGCGTCAAGCGAAAAAAAAGGGAGAGAGAATTAAGAAGAAGAAGAAGAAAAAATGGCGGTCTGATTCTACTCTAGAAACTCACCCGAAACGAGAGGTCGGAAAGCTCCGAGAAGGTTCCGGGCTGCCATGCCGTGCTGGTCACTGACATGAGATTCGCCCGTGACATGCGCACCCCCTCGCCTTCCTTCCCCTCCTCTCCCCTCCCCTGCTGCTCCTCATGCCTCTGCTCCTTCCCCTGTCCCTGCCTCTGCCCCTGCCAATCGTGTCTGTGCCCTTGTTCCCCAGCGTCCCTTGAGTGGGTAAGATCAGTCAGATTATGGGAGAAGGAAGCAGAAGAAGCAGGGTCCGGCGAGTCACTGTCCAAAGGCTTCTGTAAGGTGTCATGGGGAGTGGTTTCTGTTAGGCGAGAGTTATGCGTGCTCTGGGGTGTTAGGCGTGAGGTGGGGGTGGTCAGGTGGTGTGTTAGGCGAGAAGTAGGCGTGTCAGTATTATCAGCCAGGCGGGGGCTTGTGGGAGCGTGTTGGTGATGGTGAGGGGAGGCAAGAGACGGCCTCCCAGGGAGCGTGTCATGCCAGTAGTCTGGAGGGCTGGTGGGGGAGAGAGGTGCCTGGAATGGTTGGTGGGTGTAGAGGGGTGGGGCATATGGTTGGTGGGTGTAGAGGGGGGTGGGGATAGATGGCAGAGAGGGAGGGGAGAGGGATGGGGAGAGAGGGGGAGAAAGAAGGGGAGGAAAAAGTATGTGATTGATGTGGCGATGATAGCGAGGTGAAGACTGGGGGACGAACGATTTGGCAGCAGTACAGGCGAATACTGGGTTGTCACAGCAACCACCCTGGTTTGACACAGGATGACACTGACACCGACACTGACTCTGACACCGACACCGACACTGACACAGAGATCGACACCGACACGGACCTCTCTTAAGCCATTGACGGTGGAATCAGCAGCTGTAGCAGCAGCATTGGCTGCTGTTGCAGCAGCGGCAGCAGTGGCACCTGGCCCCTGCAACCTCCCACGAGCAGTGGGAGAGAGAGCGGTGCCTGCTGCTACAGGTGCGGGCATGCCTGCCTTCACAGGTGCCTCTGCTGCTGCTTCTGCTGTTCCTCCTCCAGCTACTGCTGCTGCCTTAACCGCTGCTGCTGTTGTTGTTGTTGCTGTTGTGGCAGTGGAGCGAGCGGGGGTAGTCGGAGTGTCAGACATGGTCGAAGGCATGTCTGACAGAAAGGGGTGCTGCGGTAATTAGCAAAGGAACAGGGGAAGGAAGTGGGAGAGGGGAGAGAGACGAGGGGGAGAGGAGCAAAAGGGAGTTCAGAGGGGGGGGGAGCAAGGAAGAGATGAGAGAACGAGGAGCAAGAAACCGATAAGAAGGTCATACGATGAGAGGAGTCGAAGGACGTGGGACAGAGGAAAAGAAGGGTTATTCAACATAGGCTGGGAGAAGCGGAAAGTTACCAGGGGGTTTCCTGACTGCCCAACTGTATTTTGAAGGGAAAAAAGAAAAAAAAAGAAAAGAAAAAAGGAATAAAGCATGCCCATCCTATTTTTTTTTAGGGAACGTGCTTACCTTAAGAAGTTCAGCTGCACTTGGGCGCTTGTTTGGATCACTGAGTGGCACACACAGGGGTACACACGGGTACACACGGTTACACACGGTAACACACGGTTAGACACGGGTACACACGGTTACAGAATGAAATGAAGGAAATGAGGAGGGTGAAACTGAAAGCAGACGAGGACGAGGCTCTTGCAGAGAGAGACAGAGAGAGAAGATGGGTGAGAGGACCCCTCCCTCATAGAACAAAATGGCTACAAGTAAACTTACAACCCTCGCATGATACGAATTCCAAAACCTCCCAAAAAGCCATCACAGTTATGCGCACTGGAAGAGAGAGCAGCAGAGAAGGAGAGGGCGCACCAGGAGAGGACAGAGAAAGGGAGGGGAGGTGTACCGGTGAAAGCAGCGCAGCAGAAAATCCTTTGCGTCGGCAGATAGGTGGTCGGGGATAAGAGGAGGACCCTTGGACTGTGCTATGTGGAACAGCGCTGACACCTGCGTAATGAGGGGCCATAAGAGGGTGGGGGAAATTCGGGATGAACTGAGGGGGTCCTTCTGAGAATTCTCAGAAGTAACATCAACATAGCTGGCTCCAACATCTGCGCAATGAGCGGCGGGGACCCTTGGACTGCGCTATGTGGAAGCGAGCTGACAATTGCAGGGGCGAAGGAGGGGATATGGGGTGGGCCAGATGTCCATGGCGGGAGAGGAGAGGGGAAAAGATGCACGAGGAGCAACAATCACTGGAGTGTGTGATGTGGAAGGAAGGCAGTGAGGCCTGCTGCACAATGGATGAAGAGTCTAGGACTTGGGAGGGTGCCAAGGAAAAAGGGACGTGAAGAGAAGGGCGTGATGAGGACGTTGAGGGAAGGAGGATGGTACCTGGGAGAGGAGGATGGTACCTGGGAGAGGAACTCGCTCCAAGGTGGCTTGCCTGTTGCCATCTCGATGACTGTGCACGCCACACTCCAGATGTCCGCCGGCCTGCAATGCAAGTGAGTGGGAGAGAGAACGGTTGAGAGGGGTGGGAAGGGATGGACAAGTTGTGAGCTCAGACCCTGTTGCCTGAGTTTCTGTGGCCTGTTGGTGAGACAGAAGTAAGGTTTTCTTTACGGATCATAAACCTGCCAACCAAGCCCCTTGTTACGAACTAAACTGATTGGGCAGCCCACCTGCCGTGGCCCGTCTGTTTGATGACCTCTGGCGCCATCCAGTAGGGAGTGCCCTTCATGGACTTGTGCCCACTCATCGTCGCCAGATCTGCCAGCTTCCTCGACGCCCCAAAGTCAGCCAGCTTGATGCAACCCCTGTTGTCCACCAGAATGTTGGCGCCCTGGGGGAGAAAAAGGGAGGGTGTGGGGAGGATGAGTGGAGAGAACAGGGGGAGGGGATGGGGAGAAGCGGGTGCCTTGTGGATGGATGGACGCCCCAAAGTCCGCCAGCTTGATGCACCCCCTGTTGTCCACCAATATGTTGGCGCCCTGGTAAGGGGGGAGGTGGGGGGGGAAGAAGGAGCGGCGGCACCGGAAGATCTGAGAGTTGCCCCGACTTTTATAACCATCTAGCTTGATGCACCCCCTGTTGTCCACCAGAATGGTGGCGCCCTGTGTGTTGGGGAGAACAAGGGGAGGGGACGAGGGAAAAGGGGGCGAACGGGCGGGTCCGTTGTGCATCGGCTTCAAAGTCCGCTAGCTTGATGCACCCCCTGTTGTCCACCAGAATGTTTGTCCCTGAAGGAGGGAAGGAGGGGAGGGAGGGAGGACAGCACATAGTGACAATCATGTGAATATCATGGTGCATAACGTGATTCTAGTGAGGTAAATAACTGACGTTTCAACACCCTTTGTTGCGAATCTCACCTTGATATTGCGGTGCATGATGTGATTATATAGTGAGTGAAGGTAAAAACTTTGCGGCATACCGAAACTCACTGCTACAAACCCTCACCTTGATGTCGCGGTGCATGATGTGATTATAATGAAGGTAGCTCAGGCCAGTCATCAGCTGCCGCGTGTACATCCGGATGACCTGCCAGGATATGTACACATGAAGTGAAAAATAGAATAAATAACAGATCACTGGAAACAAAAACAAAAGAGGCGATGAAAGTCAAGGGTTCCAATCTTGGGGTGCGAGAAAAGGACAATGGAAAACAAGAACCAAGAAACAGCACACCCTCCAGGAACAACGCGTCTTTTCAGCTGCGTCAACCAGCCCCACCTTTTCCGTGAAGCATCCAAACTTGTTGAGCAGCGAGGCGATGGACCCCCCAGGGACGAACTCCAGGAAGATGTTTAGCGCCTCCTCCTCCCTCGCCGTGCCCAAATAGCGCTGCGACGCGACACATCATGAGGAGAGAAGCATGTGTCGAATCAGGTGTCATTTGACGATCCGAGTGCAGTCTCTTGGAACAACACATTCTGCTGACTCTTGCAAGCAGGCTAATGCTGGCGACAGTGCTGGCGACAGGATAGTTAAAGTACCTGGTTTTTGCGTGTCTCACCACGATGTTTGGGTGCGAGAGGTTCCTCAGTACTGCCACCTCCGCCTCCAGTCCCTTGATGTACTCCTACACATTTGCACACACACACACAGAGAGAAGAGAAGAGCACTTAGATTCGAGAAGACTATCGTGGGTTGCAAGAGGTTTTCGAGTACTGGGGTGACTTTTGAGTCGACTCAAAAGGTGACTTTTGACTTTTGAGTCGACTCAAAAGTCGTCTTCTAGAAGACTATCGTGGGTTGCAAGAGGTTTTCGAGTACTGGCACCTCTGCCTCCAGTCCCTTCATGTTATCCTGCATTGTTGCGCATGAGGGAGACGAATAGAGCACTTCTTGCTAGGGAAACTATATCGCTAAGAGACCTATCGCCACGGTGTTGGGGTGAGAGGTGAGAAGCAGACATACAGCCAAGGTTTTGCTGGATATTGCCCCCCAGACGCTGCACACCCAGACAGCCACACAGCCACACCCCCAGCTCCTGCCCCTCTCACCTGCGCCTTGTCTTTGGTGGTGGAGGCGGACAGGATGAGCACCTGCTTCACGGCCAGCATTCCCTTTCACGCGTGCATGCTCAGGCGGCCAAAGCACAACCAGACACCCAGAAACGCAGGGAACCAGTCACACCCCCCCTCCCCCCCCTCCTCACCTGCGCCTTGTCCTTGGTGGTGGAGGCGGACGGGATGAGCACCTGCTTCACGGCCAGCAGCTCGCCCGACTCCAGGTTCAGCCCCATGTACACGCACCCGTACGCGCCCGCTCCTATCAGCTCGCCCCCGCCTATCAGCTCGCCCCCTTTCACGCAGGCATTTTCATGCAGGCCAAAGCACACCCAGACACCCAGACAGCCAGGCAGTCACCCCCAATTCCCCCACTCTTCCCCCCCCCACCGTCCCCCCTCCCCCCTTTCCTCACCTGCGCCTTGTCCTTGGTGGTGGAGGCGGACGGGATGAGCACCTGCTTCACGGCCAGCAGCTCGCCCGACTCCAGATTCAGCCCCATGTACACGCACCCGTACGCGCCCGCTCCTATCAGCTCGCCCTTGCGCCACCGAATCGGCTTGCCCTCGTCCACGGGCGGCCGGCTCACCCACGCGTCTGCTGGGTTCCCAGCAGCCGTGTCTGGAAAGAACTCTGGTACAGGGAGCTTGGTCACTTCTGCGGGTCCTGGGACTTTTCCCATCGCGCTTGCTGGTACTAGTGGTGGTGGTGTAGACGCTGCTGCTGCAGCTGCTGCTGGTGCAGCTGTGGCTGTGGCTGCTGCTGTTCCTACGGCGCCTGCTGTGCTTGCTCCTCCTGTTGCTGATTCTGGTTCCTTGGTTGGACCTGCGTCTGCCACTCCTGCTCTTCCTGCTGCTTCCCCTGCTCCTCCCACTGCTACTGCTGCTCCTGCTCCTGCTGTTCCTTCTCGTGCCGCACGGCTATTGCCAGATTCACCCTCCATACGCTCTTCCCCCGCCCAACCCCCCCCTGCATTCACCACAGCTGCGCCCTTCCCGCGAGAAGAACCGCCCTTCGCCTGACTGACCACCTCTCCAGGGCCCTCCGGGTCTCCTCTTATCCCCCCCTCTCGGGCTACCCCTCTGGCGGTGCCTTTTCCATGGGGTGACTCTAACGGGGGCTCGGGTGGCCATCTGGTGGGTTCAGGGGAGCGTGCTTGGGGGGGACGCGGCGACGTTTGCTGCTGCTGTTGGTAGTGCTGGGGTGACTTGGACTGCTGCTGCTGCTGGTGGCGGTGCTGTGGTGAGGGGGATGTTGGGTTCGACTCCGATGCTTGCGCAGCTCCCTTCGCAGACAGAAGCAAAGTAGGAGGGGGGTGGGAGGAGGGGGGGGGACGGAGAGGGGGGAGGCGGAGGAGGGGGAAGAGGGGAGGGGGGAAGGGAAGAGGAAGCATGAAGAATGCGCATACGAGAGTTGATAAGAGAGTACCAGACCTACCATGGAGTCACGTTCAGGGACAATGCGGCGCAACAAACCAACATCCGTTCCAAGACATTCAGTACGGGCGATGGAAGGGAACGAAGAAATAGCAGAATGGCTATGCCTGTGGTTCCGTTGCTGGACCTATGGAGGAATCTCCACCCTCACCGTAGCATCGCCATCTCGATCCAGGGGGGCCCCCTTCGCCGCTGAGTTATGAACGCCGTTAGGCGTGACGTCATCCGGCCACTTCTGCATGACGTCATCTGCTCCCCTGCCCGGATCGACTCCAACAGATGGTGTCGTGACGTCATCCGTTCTCGTCGTGACGTCATCCGTTCGGCGGTAGTAGTGCTTGGGTGAGACGGGGGGAAGGCACGCGGTAGCCGCGGCTTCCGACCGAGTGCGCGCGGGGCGAGTGGGTCGAGGCCTGATCGGAGCTTCATCTTCGCCTTTCTGCAAAGATGGCGTGGAAAGAGGGGATCAGGAAGTTGTGAATGCGTGTAAGGGGGATTGAATCGAAGAAGATCACGAACCTGCGAATTCACGATCCACGCGAGTATGGAAAGAGGGATCCGTGACTGCTGCATAGACGACGCATCGCGTACCTCATGTACTCGATTTGAAAAACGACCACATTTTGGGTCGATTACAGAGTCATCTCTGTCTCGTCTCTCTTGCACTCATTTCTGGGAAGCTAACACTCCTGACATGCACAAGCGAATCTAGCCTAAACTGGGATGTCTTGTTGCATGAGATCCTCTAAGCAGTGATTCTGACATACCAACTAGAATCCTTGGCTCCTATTCTTCATCGAATCACCGTGCGAGGGACTGACGAAACGAAGCGGCATTGAACGGACCTGATCCGAAGCGATCGGTTGCGACGGGTGGTGGTTCTTGCTGGTTCCCAGACAGCCTCCCATGGACGCAGCTGCTAGAGTAGCTCCACCCCAAATCGCTCAGGATCGAAACGCGAAAGCTGGGTGAAGCTACCAAGAACATTCTAGAGATTAAATCGGCTAATGTGTTAGGTCAGGAGGAACGAATCTGTCTGAACTTGCGACTCCGTTCTATGTGAGTGTCCTGGATCTAACTGGAGAGGATCGGGTTAACAGGGTTAGCGATTGTTGAGATGGGACCGTTAGGAACTGAAGCTATACGCAAGCGGTATCTTTCTTGCTAAGACATCCGAGTCAGCAAGTCGCTGAGGTGTGAGGGCCGGCATGAGGCCGACATCATTCTGATGTCAGAATCTCGAAATGCTTCGAACGGAAAACGTCTGAAGCGAAGCCATCAGGCAGCAGACTGAATCGCACAAACTAGTGGTACGAGCTGCTGAGAGCAGCAGCATCATTCCCGTTCAAACCACGGAATAGCACAAGCATGTTAGCATGACTACCAAACAAAAGATGTCCTTGTCATGGAGAATACATAATCTCACTCAAGATCGACGATTTGGTACATCTGCACTGTAATTGAAGTTGATGGCCTTCGGTGCCTCCCCACACATGGCATATGCTATGATGGGTGAATGGTAGGGGAAGTCCATCATGGAAGCTTTGTGACGTGGTGTAGTGAGAAATAAGCAATTTGAAGTACGGCGAACTACGGTTTGAGAGATTGCAATTTTGGTCAACTTCTAACCATGGAATAATCGTAATGTCGTTGTGTTGAGGAGTCGTCGACTACTGTACAGTACAGTACCATCCTGACAGCATGCGACCTGGTTCTCTGCCAACGTTCGTTTTGGCGAACGGCTATCAGACACGCGACTATCGCAAGTGTCTGAAATGTGCGCGCCCAATCCAGACTTTTTTTCTTTCGGTTCGTTGGGAATGTTTTTCGGGTGACCCTTCAGATTCAGGGCTGGGACTAAAAGTCGTGCGGTGGAAGTTACGACGAGGTCCACCGTCAAATTTTCTGGGAGAATCAAAACTGGTCATGTTTGTCTCGTTACTGTACGTACTGTTTGCAAGGAATCTTTTCGCAAACTCAAAATGCAGACAAACACAACTCCAACAACATGTTGTGATATATAAATCACACTAACTTGCTGCAGAGCATGTATGCAGGAAACTCGTGGACTTGCCTGGGAAAGGAGTTAAATCAGTTCGTCCTTGCAAAGTGAAGCCCATGAGGAAACTGCGACATCCTGTGTGCAGGCAAAGTGGGAAACTCGTATTGGCGGCCTTTGGAAACCCAACCAAGCCCGACGACTTTGTCCGCCTAAAACAGGGTGTTTGATTCAGGAAAACACATCTCAAGGGCGAGCTCTATAGCTGTCATGATTCATGACTTCAGCTGAAGCAAGTTGCTTTTGCGAGCTGGACTACACTCTTTATGTTACAGTACTGTAGTCGCGAACTCGATTTGGCGGAGGCTCCGTGGGTCAGGCCCGCATGGGGGGAAAGGGGGCACCCAGCCATTGTACGAGCTTGTGATGGAGGTACCGTAGTACGGCCATATCAAATTTGTTACACAAATTCTAGTACAATTGTTCAACATAGGTACACAAAACATTGAAGGGGTTTCAAATACCGCATTTGACATCATGTTTTGCATTGGCCTCATGATCTCCATGCGCCGCAAACAGCATTGACACTTGAGGCGAACCCATCTTGAGGCAACGAGCATTGAACGAACAGGAACGGACACGAGTTGTGAGCCTTCAGATTATGTGGTTAGTGATCAAGGGGCTGCTGATTTCTGCTGAACGAAACGACTGCTGCAGGTACTTGCTCCTTCAGCAGAAGCCCCAGCAGCAGCAGCACCAGCAGGGTCCGAACTCCACATTAACAGCAACAGCAGTTGCAGCCGAGAAGTTAGCAGCAGGATCAAATCAACAAGCCGACCTCTCAGTGCACCGAATAACCCCCCATATCCATCGAGTATCTTCCGTTTCGCGCCATACCCCCTCCTGCCCCCCCCACGCCGCCTCCCCCAGCCCCTCCTCGCCCCATGCCTCCTCCTCCCATCATATCCATCCCACCTCCCCCCATCATATCCATCTGGCCGCCTCCCCCCCCATAGTAATCTCCAGGGGGACCCATGTCTGCCGGCCCGTTGCCATACGCATATGCATCCTGGGCGTGTGTTGCTGGATAGGTCCCCATTCTGATGGTGGTGGTGGTGGGGGGTGGAATGAGGTGTGCAGGATAGGTGCATGCATGTGTACGGCTGTTGATATGACAGACATGAAACACATGTGCTCACCTCTTATGTATGCAGAGTGCAATAAGGAAGCAACATGTACCATGGCAAAGGCATCCTCCACATGCAACATGTACCATGGCAAAGGCATCCTCCACATGCAACATGTACCATGGCACATGCATCGTGGTAAACTCTGCCGCACCATACCTGGAATAGGCTGCACTGGGATCGTGAGGCGAGGGGGGCCCTGCTGCTGCCATGGTTGCTGCTGCTGACCCGGCCCGTGCTAGTGCTGGTGGGGGGGAAGGCGGCAGGGGTAGAAGAATGGGACGAGGAGTGAGAACGGTTGAGGGGGCACAAAGGGGGATGGGGCAAGGGGCGGATGTGGAGTGAGAGGAGTTGCAAGAGAAGGGACCGCAAGGAGAGGGGCCGTAAAAGGGAGGGACGCAAGGGGAGGGTTTACAAGAGAGGAAGACAAGGAGGGAACGGGAAAACGGGACAAGAGGGGGAGGGAGATTAAAGAAGGGGGAGAGCAAAGAGGGAAGAAGCACATTCAAGAGCTACATTTCACCTGCTGCAGATTTGCGGGATGAAGGTGCTGCCATGTGCGGTGACGTGTCCATCTGCATGTCCTGATGGGGCACGAGGGGCAAGACGATGGCGCAATGCGATGATGTGATGATGATGAAAAGAGTTAGGGTTTTCCGGGTTTCGGGTTTGGAATGCATAAGTCATCATCGGACGGAGAGAAGGAAACAAACGTGAGATTATTCTTCAATAGAGGACAGAGAAATCGGGGAGGACTTGAGGAGATAAAAGCAAACCAGACGGTAGGAAATGAGAGGTTGGAGATAAAATCACACGGAGGACAGGGTGATGGAAGGGGGGTGAGGGGTTGGGGGGGGGAGCACATTGTAGCATGAGGGGGAGGACGAGAGAGGGGGGAGGGGAGGTAGGGTGGTGGGTGGGGAGCGAAGGAAGAAGGGAGTACCATGGGGGCAGCTCCTGTAGCATTGGACCGCGAAGAAGAGGCGTTTGAGTGCCGCGATATGCCTGCCAAGGAAGAGGGGAAGATGATGAGGTAGGTAGGAACATTGACTGATTGAGCACCAGCAAAAACGACCTGTGAGGCGCCTCGAAAGAGAAGTCATTAGAGTGCTGCGATATGCCTGTGAGGGAGGAGAGGAGATTCATGAGGGAGTCACTGACTCCAATCACGCCACCCTCACCACTCTTGAGGCGCCTCAAAAGACACCACCCTCACCACTCACCCAGTAATTGGCTGCCATATCTTTGCAGCGAAGCCAACCGCCCTCCTCCCCCTCCTCCCCCTCCCCCACCGTCCCCAACAGGCTGCTGATTCCTCGCGCTCACGCTCTTGGATGCAATCTTCCTCCCCAGGAACCCCATACCCTGCGACGACTTCCCTCCCCCTCCCCCTCCCCCTCCGCCTCCGCCTCCCCCCAACCCACCCCCCCCTCCATCCATATGCATCGGATCCGGTCTGCCCGAAAAGTTTTCCGGCAGGCCCGCCGGCCCGGCATAGCCCCCATCTTGAAAAGACTGCATGGCCCGGGGCGACACTATGCTATACTCTTGCCCTTGCCCCATCCCCTGCCCTTGCCCCTGCCCTTGTCCCATTCCCTGCTGCGGCTGCTGCAACGGGGGAGGCGCGCGGGCACGCATGCGAGCCTGTGCCTGCTCCTGCCCTCCTGCTTGCGACTCCAGCAGCTGCTGCTGCTGCATCATCTGCTGCATCATCTGCTGCTGCTGGAACAGCTGCTGGGCTTGGGACCTCGACCGGGGAGTCATAGCCTCCAAGCCTGCCCCTGACAGTTGGGACTGCAGTTGCTGCTGCTGCTGGTACTGGGACTGAACTTGCTGCTGCTGCTGTTGGCGGGATCGGGGGGTTAGCGGGTCAAGGCCTACACCTGAAAGCTGCGTCTGCAGCGGCTTCTGCTGCTGCTGCTGCTGCTGGTAGTACTGGGCACGGGCGCGAGGGGTTAGAGCTTCCAGTGCAGCGGCGTTCACCCCAGAAAGCTGTGTTTGCAGCGTCAGTGGTTGCTTCTGCATCTGCATGTACGGCTGCTGCTGCTGCTGCAGTTGCTGTTGCTGCATCTGGGCTCTAGACCTAGGAGTCATTGCTTCTAGCCCAGTCCCAGCCAGGTCAGTTCCAACGTCCAGAGGCTGCTGGTACTGCTGCTGCAGCTGCTGCTGCAACTGCTGCGCATACTGCTGCCCCTGTCCCCGCCCTCTCGAGCCTTGCTGTTGCTCCGCGCCCATTCCCCCCACCACCGCTCCCACCTGCTTCCCCATCTGCTGCCCCACCTGTGGCTGCCCGTACTGCCCTGAAGCTCTCCTTGCTCCCTGCTGCTCCACCCCACTCACCCCTGATAGTTGCCTCTGCAGCTGCTGCTGCTGCTGCTGCAGTTGCTGCTGCTGCAACTGTTGCTGCTGCTGCAACTGCTGCTGCTGCTGCAATTGCTGCTGCTGCTGCAACTGTTGCTGTTGTTGCAACTGCTGCTGCTGCTGCTGCAGCTGCAGCTGCTTCTGAGCCAGAGCACCCGCCCTCGCCCCCACACTATCCTGGCCCGCATACCCCCCCTGCTGCTGCAGCAGGTGCGGCTGCAGCGGCTGCTTCTGCTGCTGCTGCTGCTGAACCACCTGCCCCTGCTGCGGCATATACCCCCCTCCCCCTCCCCCTGCGCCCATCCCCCCCCCTGCTGGCCCCATTGCCCCGCTCCCCCCTGACTGCCCCGGCGCCCCTTCCCACTCATCCAGGTGCTCGTCAAGATGGCTGTACGGCTTGCTGGCGGCTTGAGGCACGGAGGGGAGGTGCGGCGATGTGACAGGGTGCGTGCGGCTGGAATTGGTGGGGTTCGGCTTGGGTGACGGCATCACTGGGGGGACCTGGATTCCGCTCTGAAGGGAGGGGGAGGGGAGGAAGGGGAGGGGGGGAGGGGGGGGGATGGGTGGGAGGGAGGGAGTGGGGCGGGCCGGGGAGGAGGCAGGGCAAGTGAAAATCAATCAAACATCACTAGGTGCTCATCCAAGTGCTCGTCTAGGTGGCTGTACGGCGTGCTGGCGGCTTGGGGGAGAGAGGGGAGGTGGGGCGGCGTGACGGGGTGGGTGCGGCTGGAATTGGTGGGGTTCGGCTTGGGTGACGGCATCACTGGTGGGACATGGATTCCGCTCTGAAGGGAGGGGGAGGGAAAAGGGGAAGGAGGGGGAGTGGGGGGAGCGGAGCGAGGGGGGGGAGGGAAGGACAGGGGAGGTGGCGTGGCAGGGCAAGAAAAGATTAAAGAAGCATGACATGAGAGGAGTGGGGATGGGAGGTGGGGAAAAGGAGGTGAATGGGAGGTGCGGCGATGTGACGGGGTGGGTGCGGCTGGAATTGGTGGGGTTCGGCTTGGGTGACGGCATCACTGGGGGGACCTGGATTCCGCTCTGAAGGGAGGGGGAGGGAAATGTGAAAGGGGGGGAGAGGGAGGAGAGGAGGTAGGGCAAGAAATAACAGAAGGAACATGAGAGAAGCAGGGATGGGAGGCGCAGAGATGGGGGGTGGGAGGATGGGAGATGGGGGGATGGGAGGTGGGAGGATGGGGGTGGGGGGATGGGAGGTGGGGGGATGGGAGGTGGGGTAATGGGATGGGAGGTGGGGTAATGGGATGGGAGTGCACAGCAGTGGGTCGTCTGGCCGAGTCCCAGGAGCAAACAGCATCATATAGAGCCCATCATTCCCTCCTACCTCCCCTTGTTACCCACTCCCCCCTTGTGACACACTCCTCTTTTGTTCCCCACCCGGGAGGCCCCCCTCTTGTAACCCACCAGGAAGAAGGGGTGTTGCAGCGACTGTGCGGCAGTGGGTCGCCTGGCGGGGTCCCAGGAGCAGAGCAGCGTCATGAGGTCAAGGGCCTCAGGTGACGCTGACGGGATGAGCTTTGACAAGGGGATGGGCGAGTACTGGTGTTGCGAGGGGATGGGGGGGGGAGGGATGGGGAGGGGGGAGTTGGAGAGGGGAAAGAAGCGGGGCATGTTGAAGCAGAGCAGCGTCATGAGATCAAGGGCCTCAGGTGACGCTGATGGGATGAGCCTCGACAAGGGGATGGGCGAGTACTGGTGTTGGTGGGGGAAGTGGGGGGGGGAGAGGGGAAACGAAGCATGTTGAGGCATCCAGGTTCCATGCCCTAACCAGGTCGTAATCAGGGGCCAGTGCCCCACCCACCCACTCGCCCCCCTGCCCGCCCACCCGCCCACCCGCCCACCCACCCATTCGCCTGCCCGCCCACCCATTCGCCTGCCCACCCACCCAATCACCCACGCACCTCAGGAAATCGGAAGTTCATGGCAGCGGCGAGCTTGAGGCCCTGCGGCCACGTGTGCACAGTGGGTGTCCAATGACAGAACTATACCAAGAGACCCAGGGACCCACCCACCCACCTCTGGATCGGAAGTTCATGGCAGCAGCGAGCTTGAAACCCTGCGGCCACGTGTGCACGGTGGGCGTGTGGCTTGCATTTGAGCTTGACGCTCGTCAGGTGGGAGGGCCCCACCCGCCCATTTGCCCGCCCGCCTGCCCGCCCACTCACCCGCCCCACCCACCCAGCCAGTGACCCACCCACGAACCTCAGGGAAGCGGAAGTTCATGGCAGCGGCGAGCTTGAGGCCCTGTGGCCACGTGTGCACCGTCGGCGTGCCGATGACCGAACAGATCTTCACTATCTCGTCAATCTCGCTGGCAGGGGTGGGGAGGGGCGATAGGATGTGCATCACGTGTGAGTACAGGGTGGTTGAGAGCGGTGGGAAGAGCACACGTGTGCACCGTGGGTGTGCCAATGACCGAACAGATCTTCACTATCTCGTCAATCTCGCTGCCAGGGGTGGGGAGGGTGCACAGAAGGTACGACACGGTTGGGAGCAGTGGGAAGGGAACGCGTGCAGTGTGTATGGTGCGTGGGTGTGCCAATGACTGAGCAGATCTTCACCATCTTTTCAATCTCGCTGCCAGGGGTGGGGAGGGGCGATAGGATGTGCATGGTAAGGGAGATGCACGGCGGGTATGGAACGATTGGGAGCGGTGGGAGGGGAAGGTTGCAGTGCTTCGTGAGAAAAAAAAAATCGCCTTGAAAGCTGTGCTTCATGTGGCCACATGCCTCTGTGATTCCCCTGTGATTCACATGCCCCAGTAATCCCCATGCACCCATCCCAACCCATCCGCACCTGGCGCCGGGGAAGAGCGGGCGGAGGGAGAATAGCTCTGCCATGATGCCTCCAATCGCCCACATGTCTGCACGCGTGGGGGAAGTACGGGTGTGGAGTGGGCGGGAGAAGGTTGGGGGGGTGGGGGGGAGGTTGGTTGGTTGGAGGTTGCGCAAACAAGAATAGCTCCGCCATGATGCCCCCAATCGCCCACATGTCTGCACGCGCAGGGGGTGTGGGGGAAGGATGGGAGGGGGAGATGGGGCCGGAGGAAACACAGAGAATGAGGGAGCTCTGAAATACAGCAAGGAGCACAGCACGTACCAATGGGGGCGTTGTACACAGTGGATTGCAGAGGGGGGGGAAAGAAGGTGAACTGAAGTGAGTACTCTGAGACTGAGAGCTCTAGACTACAGCAGGGAGGCGCACAACGCGTACCAATGGGGGCGTTGTACACAGTGGATTGCAGCAGCACCTCTGGAGCACGGTACCTGTGCAGTGGGCGGGTGGATAGAAGAGAGGAGCAGAGAAGACAAGAAAGAGCAGGGGAGAGAAGACAGAAGGGAGCAGGGGAGAGAAGACAGAAGGGAGCAGGGGAGAGAAGACAGATGGGAGCAGGGGAGAGAAGACAGAAGGGAGCAGGGGAGAGAAGACAGATGGGAGCAGGGGAGAGAAGACAGATGGGAGCAGGGGAGAGAAGACAGAAGGCAGCAGGGGAGAGAAGACAGATGGGAGCAGGGGAGAGAAGACAGATGGGAGCAGGGGAGAGAAGTCAGGAGGGAGGAGGAGGGGAGAGAATACAAGAGGGGAGCGGAGGAGAGAGGGAGAGAGGAGAGAGGAGACAGGGATGGGGCACAGCAGCACATAATTCCAGCCTCTACAGCACCTCTTAGTTGAAGTCCAATCATAATACCTCCAACTCATCATAATACCTCCAACTCTCTACAATGTGGACTTCACCCTCCAGCACACCATCTGGTGCTGCACGCACGTACCATCGCGTGGAGACATAATCCGTGAAGGGCGGCCGCGACCGCACCTCACAGCACCGCACAGCACAGAACAGCACCACCCAGCATGGCAAACTCCAGCCTCCAGACGTACCATCGCGTGGACACATAATCCGTGAAGGGCGGCCGCGACCGCACCTCCCGGGCGAGCCCAAAGTCGGCCACCTTGATCACATCCTTGGTCACCAGCAGGTTCTCGGGCTTTAAGTCGCGGTGGAAGTACCCGTGCTTGTGCATGTAGGCTAGCCCTTGCAGCACCTGCGGGGGAAATGGGGGAGGGGAGTGGGGGAAAAAGAGAAGGGAGAGGCCTCAGAAACAGGTTCTCGGGCTTTAAGTCGCGGTGAAAGTACCCGTGCTTGTGCATGTATGCTAGCCCTTGCAACTCAGAAGTCGCCTCGCTAGGGGAGGGGTTCACGCACCTGGTACATCCAGCTGCGTATTTTCGACTCGGGGAAGAGCGTCTCCCTGTCCTTCATGACTTGGTACAGATTGCAGTCCTGCGAGAGAGGAGGGTTGGGGCCAGGGCGGGAGAACGGGGGGGGGGGATTCAATACATGGCCATTCCTTCATGATCACAGACTGCTGTCTGTGATGAAGACAGCTGGGGCCAGGGCAGGAGAACGGGGGGGGGGGATTCAATACATGGCCATTCCTTCATGATCATATACTGCTGTCTGTGATAAAGACAGCTGGGGCCTGGGCGGGAGAAGAGGCAGGCGAAGAAATGTCACCACGGCAGGCCAACCAACTGATCCCACCCACCATGCATTAGAGAACGAGTCAATCTCGTTGCTCCTGTCCCACACTCTCAAGAGCCTCACCATGTATTCGAAGATGAAGAATGGCTCGTTGTTTTCCTATGTGGCTTTCGATTAGACTAATGAGTCACTCAAAAGAAGTCAGCTCGGTTACGCGCCTTAAGAGCCTCACCATGTATTCGAAGATGAAGAACAGCTCGTTGTTTTCCCGGATCACCTCCTTCAGCCGCACGATGTTGCTGTGGTTCAGCTTGCGCAGCGACTGGCGCACAGTGAGGGAGAGAGCGGAGGGAGGGGGTGGAAGAAAGGGGAGGAGATGGGGGTGAATGTGTGTTCAGCTTGCACAGCGACTGACGCACGGTGAAGAGGAGGGGGGAGGGAGGGGGTGGGGGGGGGGGGGGTAAAGGGAGGGGAACGGGAAGAGATGAGGGTGAATGTGTGTTCAGCTTGCGCAGTGACTGGCGCACGATGAGGAGGGGGGGTGATGGGGTGGGAGGGGAGGGGAAAGGAGGGGGGAATGTGTGTTTAGCTTGCGCAGCAACTGCTGAATGCTGAGGGGGAGGCGAGTAACGTGAGTGAAATGGCGGGCGCAGGACAGGACCAGGGGAAGGGTGGGGGGAGGGGGAGGAGAATGCGGTTTCGCTTGCGCAGAAACTGGAGGAGGGTGAGGGAAAGAATCAAGGACGAAGTAAGCGGGGAGGAGGGTTGCAGTTTTGCTTGCACGGCAACCGATCAGGAAAGGTTGGGGATTGAAATGCGGCGAACAGAGGCAGGCGGAATAGAAAACGGGGCCAAAACTTACAAAAACGGAAACCAATATGACTTTTGAGTGGACTCAAAAGGCATCTCGGAAACTTAGAGTCACTTCAGCTCGCTCCAGCGCTCTGCTCTCGCGGTCCAATCCAGCTATCGCCTCGGGTTCTTAAGGGCGCTTGCGCTTACCTTCACTTCTCTCAAACTCATACACTCTTCCCACGAGTAAAATTTTCGCTTCATCTTTTTCACCGCCACCTGCGGAAAAGAGCGAGGGGGGGAGGCGGCGGGGGTGAGGAGGCGAGGGAGGGGAAGGGTGGAGGGGGAAGGGAGGAAAGGGGGAGCGCACGGAGAGGAACCGAGGGGAGAGGAAGAGGGGGCACTGAGACCGTGACACACGGTGCAGTACGCGGTATAACGCACGGCGAGATGCACCGCAGAGGACAGCAGCGAACACGGTGTAGTACGGGCGACGCAATCTAGAAGCGTCACAGGAGAATCGTCAAAAGGTTGCTCTCACGATTTCGTTGGTGTGGAGGTTCATGGCTTTCCAAACCGTGCCGTATGTGCCATCGCCCATCTGCTTGATCACCTTGTACCTGCACGCATGACACCCACAGGGGGGAGTCGGAGTCAAAAGCAAGAAACTTTTGAGTCAACTCCAAAATCGTCTTCATTGCCGTGTACCGGCACGCACCCCTACAGCGTCTGGCTGAGTTACGATTTTTTTCTTTTCTTTTCTTTTCTTTTCTTTTCTTTTTTTTTTAGCGCCTCAAAAGGGCCGTCGCGTCTGGCTGAGTTACGAGCCTTTACCAGCGCACACCCCCAAAATTTCGATTCGATTCAAAGGGTCGTCGCGTCTGGAATGGAAGGGGTGCTGGAAGGACCTATGACTGAAACCGTTTAGCCCCTCATTAAGGCGCCTAAACAGCTCTAATAAAACTTCAAGCCAACTCGGAAAACCATCGTCTTCAGAATCAAAGGGGTGATGGAAAGACGCATCACTGAAGGCCCCGGAGATCAGGTCCGACATCGACTGTTAACAACGAACATTTGTGAGGGGTCTCAAGAGCTCGACACGTCGGAACGACCTAATAGTGAAAAACGCTGAGAATGGACCACACATGACATGTCTCCAGAAAAAGCGCGAGCTGATCCTTTTACAATGATGTCAGTGCAAAGATCGCTGTGACGCCACGTTCTGTGATGCACCTGACAGCTGGTACCGGTTGCGACGGTTCACGACGACAAACGCACCTGTTCATTGCGAAAGCTGGTAACCCTCCCTACTTTCGCTTGGCGATCCCCGACGTTATGTCTCTAGCCAACGGTCACAGGCAGGGAGAGAAGACGAAAGCATCGCGAGTGCTGTCTAGCTATGTCGAAAGAAAGGCGAGAATGCAAGGAAGAACGGTACGCAATTTTGGTCAGGAACACCTGTGACTGTCTGTCTATGCGCGGCTCCAAACGTGGCTACTTCAAAAGTGCGTCGCTTCCAAAGAAAACGAATTTAAGGAGTCTCAATGTGCGTCACGTCATCTACATTCACCCCGCGAACGTAGACAGGGTCTACATAATAGCCGCTCCATTCCAATTTCGGATCACCACGACCGGCTCGAGTTACACCTCGCCAGCTACGATAACATCAAGATAATCTGGATGGTTCTATTCGCGCATTAAACAACAGCCTCCAAACCTCCGCCGCTATTGTCACGCGAATAGCTACGACTAAAGCTGTCGAGCGAATAAGGATGGAAAATTTAGCTTCACTGCGGCGTGAGTGAACTTTAGGGTTAGCCAAGGTGGGTGCTAGTTGCGTGTTGCTTTGTGGGTTCCTGCTGCTGTCTCAGAATGAACACCAATGCACAAACTAGTCTCCAGCACTGTGCTTCCTTTCCGCGCACGGACTGACCGACTGTGACTGAATTGTGATCACTGGATATGCCTGCTTTGGTTCGGTTCGGCTCGGTGACTTTCGGCTCGGTGATTTCAAGTTTCAGCATAGCAAAGCCCTTCCTGGTTACAACAGTGGCTGTCTGGTGCCCACAGAAACCTGGATAATGTCGCGCGCGCCTGCCTTTCCGCCCACTTCTCCGCAAATCGGCAGTTTCAAGGGCCCCGCAGCAGAAGCTGGAAAAACCAGGGCCACGTGGAAAGCTTCAGAACGAAACTGACTCACCTAGCGAGAAGGACCAGGGGCGGGGGCGCAGCCAGATTGGTGCGGGCGCAGGCGTTGCGCGCGCAACTTTGGCGCAAGCTGCAAAAGAAGCTGATGGCAGGCGGAAAAACCTTGCACACAATTCCCAAGGAGCCGCCTTCTTGGCCAACCTCCGATCGGAGACCAGGCGGAGGTTAGAAGACACGTAGGCTTGGGTGGTTGGGAAATACCTTGCACGACTGAGACGCGACGCTGCGAAAGATCGAATCCATCGTGACGGGCGTTTCGCGTGACATCGCCAGCTCGTTTAGCGTGCGCATGACGACGCATGCGACATGATCATGGACGTCAGCATCGCACGAATCGAAAGAGCACTAGTGTTGAACACCCTGGCTATGATCAAGGGTGGATGGCGTGTCCAACACAGTCGCACAACTGCGACCTGGAAATCTCCAATTATGCAGCCGAAAATTGAAATAGTACACAAATTGCAGTGCAGCCAGCATAGAATCAGAGCAAAGTACAACAATGGAACAAGAATGGTGATACAGGCATTTGCCTTCACATCGCATCAATCACATCTATGGCCATCTAAAGCCATGGAGCTGCGTTTTTTTTTCCGAGTTGTGGAGAACTGTATTTAAGCCTTCTCATCACCACTACCTCCATTTTCCTCTGTGCCCTCCTCCTGTGCTGTACTTAGCCAAGTAAGAAAATGGCGCACATCCATGTATGCCTGCAGAACGAGAGAAGAAAAAAAGACACAGAAAGGGTCAGCCAGCGATAAGAGGTGACGCCGGACACCAATCACAAAGGCTCTCGACATTAGCAGTCAAATTGCAATCGTTGCTTCTGCAGAGGCTATGGCACACACCTTTTGCTTGCCAGGTGTTGGGTCCTTGTTGTCGTCTTGCCACCTGAAGATCATAAGCTCCTCCACCACCTGCTCCACACAGACAGGATAGACAGGGTCATTCAATAAGAGGGCGAAATGAAGATCGTAATACGCATAGATCATTGGGTCCTCGTTGTCGTCCTGCCACCTCTACAGCATCAGCTCCACCACCTGCTCCACACAGACAGGACAGACAGACAGAGCCATTGGATAAAGAGGACAAAATGAAGATTGTAATATGCATTTTTTATCGAGTCCTTGTCGTCTTGCCACGTATACAGCATCAGCTCCCCCACCACCTGCTCCACACAGACAGGGAAGACGACGAAATTGGCAATGTGCGTGGCATAGGAGCCATGAGGACCATCAGGTGCATGAAAGCAAGACAGCAGGAGCATGCACGGAACATTCCTGGGCAGATGCAGCTTGAAATCAGTGGGACCCATGAGAGTCAGCAGTCAGTCAGGCACATGAAGCAGAAAGGAGAGAGCAAGGCTCACATCGAGGTCGTAGAGTGTTCTGAAGACCGCATCTAGCAGGCCCGCTGGGTGCCCACATGACTCTGCAAACTCTTGAGCTCCAAAAAGATCTGAAGGCGAGGGTGCAATAATAATAATAAAAAAGGGTGCAGTTATAAGATTTTGATAAAAGAAGCAGCTTCTGGGAGAGTCGCCAGGAAATAAGCAGCTTCCAGAATATTGAAGTCACTTCTGGGAAAGAATATAGTAGAAACTGGAAAGAAGAAGGTCCTAGCAGAATCGGGAACGGAAGTGGTGGAACAGAGAGGCGGCTGGGAAGGAAGCACTCACATTGAACCTGGTTGGGTTTTTGCTTCTTTGCTGCATACTCCTGGAAGACCTTGGCATACTTCTTTACTGGCCCTGCCAATAGCTTCTGCTTTCAGTCACATGCCAATCGCCAGCAGCAACAAGCCAATTGCCAGCACCGCCAGCAAGAAAGGGGGGAAAGGAAAATGAGAAGATTGTTCATTAGAAACAAGAACGGAAGAGCTGCGGGAGGGAGGAGACTGGCAGGTAGGGACGAAGGGAAAAAGAAAAGTGGGGACGGAGGGAATAGACCAAACAAGCAGGAATCTAAGGGTTGATCAGTCGGTCAGTCGGTCACTCAGTCACTTGGTCATTCAGTCCAACACAGACAGACAGTCAGCCGCTCAGTTGGTCAACCGCTCGGTCAATCAATCGGTCAGTCAGTCAGTCAGCCAGTCAGTCAGTCAGTCCGCCAACCAGCCAATTAGGTCCACAGCTTGAAGTCTTGTCTGCTAGCGCCAATGCACTGCTGCAGCAGCGAGCGCATGACCTTTGGGGTCAACTCAAAACTCAGTCAGCCATTCAGTCAGTCGTTCAGCCAGTCAGACAGTCAGTCAGCGCCATACCTTGAAGTCTTCTCTGCTGGCACCGATGCACTGCTGCAGCAGCGTGCGCATGAGCAGGCGCAGGAAAGCCGGCTGCGTTGGGGTGTCGGGCGGAGCATTGGCCTGCAGCAGTCACAGGGAGCGGAAAGGAAAGACACAAAGAGGCAGGCAGATGTTGTTGAAAGTCGACACCAAGCAGGCATACGGGAGAGAGATGCTGTTGCATGGAGGTACGCTGCATGCTCTTGCGACAGATGGAGTGGTTACTTCTCCTGGCCACACACAAATCACCCAGCTGAAACCAGTCTCACCTGAAACTCCACCTGAAGGCACCTGAGATTTCACCTGATGGCACCTGAGATCTCACCTGAAGGCACCTGAGATCTCACCTGCAGCCATTTAAGCACAGCCTCTGCTGGTTCCCCCTTGGCAAAAGCATCTTTCAGGTGCTCTGCCACTGCTTCCAGCTGAGAGGAATGAGAGAGAGGAGGAGGGACAACGGAGAGGGGAGAGAGGTCAGGAATGTGCATCCATGCAACACAAGTGCTGTTCAGGAATGTGCTCAGACAAAAAAACGAGGGAGAGAGAGAGGGGTGGGGATGCGAATGCGCGCGAATGGCGCGCGATGCAGGCTTCATGGTGCACATTGAAACGGCCGCCTTCAGTCCAGTGGAGGAGAAGAAGGCGGATCTGGCCCTTCGCTGCCGCTCAACAGGTGCCGTCTACATCTGTGATGTGACGGTGACTGACCCCATCAGCACCCGCGATGAGAATGCAACTAAGGGGCGGGGGTGGGCGGCACGGGAAGCGGCAGACAAGAAGCACGGGCTTTACAAGGACCGCCCAGAGTGGGTGAAGTTCTTCCCGCTCGCGGTTGAGACCTATGGGTGTCCATGCCCTGAGACAGTGGACTTCCTGAAGCTGCTCGCGGAAACGGCTGCAAGGCGGTTTTTTAACGCCGAGCCAACCTCCTACCAAGCTGCCAAGCTCTTACACCAATACCGGCAGCGGTGGTCAGTGGCTCTTCAAAGGGGGCAGTCGATTGGCTATCTAGAAAAGTGCAGCATAGCGGCGGCAGTAGAGAACCCGCTGCTAGAGACAGTGGGTGAGGCCCCGTCCCTAGGGGACTGCCTCTCGGTCTTTGATCCTGCACTGGACCTAGTTTAGGGGGGGGAGTGGTGAGCGGATGAGTGAGTAGTTAGAGGAAAATGCATTAAACCTACGTGCCGAAAGCTTTCACCTTGCATGTCTGTACACCTTGTGTCAATCAATGAAAGGACCATTCGAGGGGTGGGGGAAGAGGCGGGGGGGGGGGCAGGAATGTTCTCCCCTCATCACTTGTGTAACACTCGCAGCACACACCACTCCCCGCATCTACAGCACTCACACCACTCACCGGATCCTCGGCCCCTGCCAGCCCTAGAGCCTTCCTCGCCTCCTCCACCTTCTCCTTCTGCCCTCTCGCCCTCTCCTCCATAAACCCCTCCGGCCCCTCAATTCCCACCACCCGCACCATCTCCCCCGCCTCCTTCTCCCCCTTCTCCGCCCTCACTGCACCCACCACCGCTGCCATCACCTTCATCCCCTCACCCATCTCCACCAGACTCCCTTCCTCTGCGCCGCCTGCTTTCACCAGCCGAGCCACGTCGGCCAATGGGACGGCGCCGGCTGCCACGAGCCGGCCAATCAGACGGCCCACGTGCTGCGGGGCCTTGGGGGCGTCGACTGACCAATCCTCGAGCTCCTGGAAGACCCTCACCAGCCTGAAGTATAGAAGGGGGAGTGAGAGAGTGAGGGGAGGGGGTGAAGTGAGTGGGATTCGGGACCGGAGGGAGCAATCAGAATGGGGGCGTCGACTGACCAATCCTCGAGCTCCTGGAAGACTCTCACCAGACTGAAGTGGGGAGGGAAGAGGGTGGAGAGGGACGGGGATGGGGGCATGAAGAGAGAGATAGGAGGTCCGATGGGGGCATCAACTAACCAACCCTCGAGCTCCTGGAAGACTCGCACTAGACTGAGGGAAAGGGGAAAAGGGGAGGGGGACGGGGAGCGGGAGGGGGAGGTGGAGGAGGAGGGGGAGGTGGAGGAGGGGGAGGGGAGGGAAAGGACAGAAAGGGCTGGGTGGAGAAGAAGGGGGGATGGGGGCATGAATGAAGTGAGTGGGATGTGGGAGGAAAAATCAACTGAGTGTTAATTCATCCGCACCCAAAAGTGTGTGTGTGCCCCTTGCCCCTTGTCCCACCAAACCTTGATCCTTCTGCCCCACCTACCCTTGATCCTTCTGCCCCACCTACCCTTGATCCTTCTGCCCCACCTACCCTTGATCCTTCTGCCCCACCTACCCTTGATCCTTCTGCCCCACCTACCCTTGATCCTTCTGCCCCACCTACCCTTGATCCTTCTGCCCCACCTACCCTTGATCCTTCTGCCCCACCTACCCTTGATCCTTCTGCCCCACCTACCCTTGATCCTTCTGCCCCACCTACCCTTGCTTCCCCGCCGCACCCACCCTTGCTGGATCTGTTCACTGGTGAAGAGCGGTGGCTTGGGCTCGAAGCAGAGGCGCACCACCAGATCCTCCACCTGCTGCCTCTGCGGCCTCCCTCTCTTACACCCTCAACCCTGAACCTTAAGCCCCACCTCCTTTTCAATGCACCTCCTTTTCCATGCACCTCATTTTCCATGCACCTCCTTTTCAATGCACCTCCTTTTCCATGCACCTCCTTTTCCATGCACCTCCTTTTCCATGCACCTCCTTTTCCATGCACCTCCTTTTCCATGCACCTCCTTTTCCATGCACCTCCTTTTCCATGCACCTCCTTTTCCATGCACCTCCTTTTCCATGCACCTCCTTTTCCATGCACCTCCTTTTCCATGCATCTGTTCACTCGTGAAGAGTGAGGGTGTAGGCTCGCAGCAGAGGCGCACCACCAGGTCCTCCACCTGCTGCCTCTGCGCCTCCTTCACTTACACCCTCAGCCCTGCACCTTGAACCTTAACCCCCACCTCCCCTGCCCCACCTACCCTTGCTGGATCTGGTCACTAGTAAAGAGCGGCGGCTTGGGCTCGCAGCAGAGGCGCACGACCAGGTCCTCCACCTGCTGCCTCTGCGCCTCCTTCTCGTCCAGCCCTGCCGCCACCCCTACCCTTGCTCCCCCTGCCCCACCTGACCTGCCATGTGTGTGCCAGAGGGTCACTTACCCTTGCTGGATCTGGTCACTTGTGAAGAGCGGCGGCTTGGGCTCGCAGCACAGCCGCACTACCAGGTCCTCCACCTGCTGCCTCTGCGCCTCCTTCTTATCGAGTCCCGCCGCCACCCACCCCGCCACTACCGCCCCGTGATGCTGCGGCGCCTGTACCTCCTCAATGCACAGACAGACCTCCTTGAAATCACGGGCACTGTGAGACAAGGGGAGGGAGGTGAAGCGCAGGGAGAAATGGGCAACAATCAAAAGGTGCGAGAGAGCTGGCGATGCTGCGGCGATTGCAGCTCCTCGATGCACAGACACACTGAGAGAACGTTACGGAACAAAAGAATAGAGAAGGAGGTGGGAAGAAAAAGGCAGTGACTCGAGACCAGCAAAATCACCTGAGCCAACACATGAACCACTTGCTGCCTCACCTGAGAAATTCTTCCAATGCACTGTTGGCCTTTGCCACTGCACTCTCTTCATCCATTCCTGCCCCTGCCTTCGCCCCTCCTGCTCCCCCTCCCGCCGCCCCTGCTGCTCCCGCTCCTGCTCCCGTCCCTGCTGCAGCCCCTGTTCCTCCTCCCCCTGCTCCTCCTCCTCCTGCTCCTCCTGCCCCCTCTCTTGCCCCTGGCCCCACTCCCGGCCCTCCCCCTCTCCCCACTTCCCCTCTCCCTCCATCTCCTCTCCCCGCTTCCCTCCATCCGTCTCTCCCTCCCTCCCTACCGCCACCTGTTTGCGGCTCCTCATCAATTCTCGTGCCTCTTCTCCATGCGTCCACCTCCCTCTCCCTCTCCCGCTCCATCCCCATCCCCCGCCCCCCCATACCCTCTCCCCTCAGGTCCTGCTCCCCGCCCCATCATCATACTCCTGGACCCAGGGCCTACTAACCCCCGCCCCCCCTCTCTCTCCCCCCCTCTCTCCCCATACCCGCCAGGGCCAGGCCTCATGGGCGCATCTCTATCCCCCCCGCCTCTCCGCCCCCCCATCTCCCCCACCCTTGGCCCAAACCTCTCGCTCTGGCTCGGCCCGAACCTGCGCATCTCAGGAGGAATGGCGCCTGGGGGACCTTCAGGTCCCCCGCGCCCTGGGCCCCCCATAAGCCCCCCCATGGGTCCCCCCATAGGTCCCCCGGGTCCCCCAGGTCCCCCCCTCATCCCCCCGCCCATGCCTCCCCCTGGCCCTCCGCCCACAGGTCTTCCCAGCCCCCCATGCGGCCCCAGCTTCAATTCCCCCTCCTCCATGTTCCTCTGGGGGAGGGGCATGGGCCGACCCATATCCTCCATTCCCCCCCTCCCCTCATACCCGCCAGGGCCTCCCCCTCTTCCCCCCATCCCCCCAGGGTGCCCATACCCTGGCCCCCGCCCATACATCCCTCCCCCCGGCCCCCCTTGCCCCCCAATCAACCCCGGGCCGCCCCTCATCGACCCAGACCCAGCCAAACCCGGCCGCCCGGGCGGCTCCATCCCATACTCCGGCCGCCGCCCACTCCCCATGCCGCCGCCCGGGCCCCTGCTCCCGCCGCCCCCGCGCTCCAATATCTGCCTGCCAGCTGTCGCGACGGCATTGGACCGTTCGTCCCGCGCGTCCCTATGCACCTGGTCGATCTTCTTCGGCCCCTCGACCTTCCTCCTCGCCTGCCACTTGTTGGCCCGGAGCTCGAGAATGTCTTGAAGGCCGAAGCGAATGCGGGAGGAGAGCTTCGGGTAGGTGGAGAATTGGGCGATGCGGGCCATGTATGCTTCCATGTGGCTCTGGGCTTTCTCGTGGTCGATGATTTGCCCTATGGTGGCTAGTAGCTTGCACAGGGCCTCCATGTCCTCCTCATCCGGGTCCTGGAGGGGGAGAGGGGAGAGCAGGTGGGGAAGGGGGTGCATGGGCGCAGGGAAGAGACAGGTGGGTGATGCGAGCAGCTTGCAGAGCGCTTCCATGTCCTCCTCATCCGGATCCTGCAGGGGAGAGGGGAGAGCAGGTGGGACTGTGCAGGGGAGCATGGGGAGGTGGGGAGGTGGGCAATGCGGGCCATGTATGCTTCCATGTGGCTCTGCGCTTTCTCGTGGTCGATCATGTGCCCTATGGTTGTGTTTTGAGTCGAACTCAAAACACGACTCATTTCTCGTGGTCGATCATGTGCCCTATGGTTGTGTTTTGAGTCAACTCAAAACATGACTCATTTCTCGTGGTCGATCATGTGCCCTATGGTTGTGTTTTGAATCAACTCAAAACACGACTCATTTCTCGTGGTCGATTATGTGCCCTATGGTTGTGTTTTGAGTCAACTCAAAACACGACTCATTTCTCGTGGTCGATCATATGCCCTATGGTTGTGTTTTGAGTCAACTCAAAACACGACTCATTTCTCGTGGTCGATCATGTGCCCTATGGTTGTGTTTTGAGTCAACTCAAAACACGTCTCATTTCTCGTGGTCGATCATGTGCCCTATGGTTGTGTTTTGAATCAACTCAAAACACGACTCATTTCTCGTGGTCGATCATGTGCCCTATGGTTGTGTTTTGAGTCAACTCAAAACACGTCTCATTTCTCGTGGTCGATCATGTGCCCTATGGTTGTGTTTTGAATCAACTCAAAACACGACTCATTTCTCGTGGTCGATCATGTGCCCTATGGTTGTGTTTTGAATCAAATCAAAACACGACTCATTTCTCGTGGTCGATCATGTGCCCTATGGTTGTGTTTTGAGTCAACTCAAAACACGACTCATTTCTCGTGGTCGATCATGTGCCCTATGGTTGTCAGCAGCTTGCAGAGCGCTTCCATGTCCTCCTCGTTTGGATCCTGAAGGGGTGAAGGGCGGGGGGAGCAGCGGGGAACGGTGCATGGGAGCAGCGCAGAGACACGGGGAAGAGGGGAGGGTCAATGTTTGCATCGGTGTGGCTCTGGGCCTTATCGTGGTCGATAATGTGCCCGGTGGTTGTCAGCAGCTTGCAGAGCGCTTCCATGTTTTCCTCGTCCGGATCTTTGGGGGGAGAGGGGCGCGGAGACCAGGGGAGAGGGTGCATGGGAGCAGGGAGGGAGCAGCGGGACGGGGGGCGTGGGGAGCAGCAGGAGTGGGGGCGTGGGAAGCAAGGGGGAGGGTGGCGTGGCGAGCAGGGCAGACATGTGGAGCACGTGCGAGGCAGGGGGAAACACGGGGCAGCGTGGGGGGAACCTCAGGGCAGCGTGGGGGGAACCACAGGGCAAGGCCAGTGAAAGCAAGGTCATGTGCTATAAAGACTCACCTCAGTGTTTCCAAGTAGCTTCTGGATGCAACCGTGCATGATTCGCTCCGTGAGCATGGTCATCTTATAGAGTTCTCCTATAAAGCGGATATTCCCCAGCATGAGCCTCCGAGCCTTCTGCCTCCTGCTCTGCCTCTCCGCCTCTGTCAACTTCACCATCTTCTTTACCATCACCTTCGCTCCCTTACCCCCTTCCTTCTTCCCTTCCTTCTCTCCTTCCTCCTTCTCACCCTCCTCCCCTTCCTTCTTCCCTTCCTCCCCTTCCTTCTTCTCTTCCCCCTTCCCGTCCTCCCCATCTTTCCCCTCCCCTTCCCCTTTCTTCCCCTCCCCTTCCTCCTCCTCCTCAACCTCCACCTCCTCCTCCTCCTTCTCAGCATCTAACTGCTCCTGATCCCCTCGCTCAAACTCCTCCTGGCACTTATTTAAAAGCGTGCGCTTGAAAGTCACCCGGTCATTCCCCTCCCCGAATTGAGGCAGTTCCACCGACAACGCCTGGCAGAACTTAGCATACAGCTCACAAAACGTGGGCTCCAAAAGCGCCTTGTCGAAAATCTGCCCAATCACCCCAGTGAGCGTCTCGGGAGAGTCAATCTGCACCTCCTTCACCTGATTGAACAGCTTATCAAAATTCTGTGGCGTGAGCTTGTTCAGAATCCCCTTGATCTGCCTCTGCTTCTTCTCCTCCTCATCCGAGACCAACCCTGCCTTGTACCGATTCTCTGTCTTGTGAATCGCAGGCAGCGGGGGACCCGCAGGGGCAGGTCGATTCTGCATCGGGTTTCTCTGCCATCTGTCTGCATCCACCCCTCCCCTCGGACCACCCATCGGCATCCCCCCCGGTCCCCCCATCCCAGGCGCACCATGGGGCAGCACCCCCCTATCCCCCCTCCCCAGCAACGGCCCCCCTGGTCCCCCCATTCCTCCCCGCATCCCCGGGCCTCCTATACCCATAGGCGGCCCGCCTCCCGGTCCTCTGAACCCCGGACCTCCAGGCGCGCCCAGGACCCCTCCGTCCATACCTCCGCCCGGACCTCTCGGGCCCATACCTGGCCCTCTGGCCCACCGGTCCTCGTCCATACCTGGCCGGGTAGCGCCTCCCCCAGGCGCACCTGAAAAGGCGTCCATAGGGCGATTAAACCCTTGGGCCGCCATGGCCTGAACCCTTTGGGAGGCGGGCGGTTTCAGCACAGCGTTACACTCCCGCAGGAAGGAACGGAAGTCCATGTCGCCTGGGAGGTCGCGGTGGGAGTCTCGCAGTGTGAGGAGGAAGTCTCGAGAATACTTGTAAGAGCCATCCGCGTTGGTCGCAGCAGCCTCTGCGCCCTTTGCTCCTTTCTGTGCCGCCGTCGCCGCTGCTGCTGCGCCTGTCGCTGCGCCTGCTGCTGCTGCGCCTGCACCTGCTGCTGCTGCTGCTGCTGCTGCTGCTGCTGCTGCTGGTGCTGGGCCTTTACCTGCTGCTCCGATTGCTGCAGTGGCAGCAGCAACAGCAGCAGCGGCTGCTGCAGCGGCAGCGGCAGCAGCAGGGGTGGCCCCTGCAGCCCCTGCCTCTCCTACTCCTGCCTTCCCAGCACGGCCCTTCCCAGCAGCATCTGTATCCACTGCTTCCTCCCAATCATCCACTTCCTCTTCCTTCTTCTCCTCCTCCTGCTCTGCTACCTTAGCACCCTCGCCGGTCTTTCCTTCCACACCAGCCTCTCCCGCAGCCAGCCCTGGTTGCTCCTGCGCCTTCTCCTCTGCCTTCTTCCCTTCTCCCTCTTTGCCCTTGGCAGCATTACTTGTGTACGCGTTATAGAGGTCAGGAGCTTGCTTCAGACTCAGCATTTCAGACTCAGCCGCTTCTTTCTCTGCCAAAACTTGCTTCAGCTTTTTCTTCTTGGCAGGAGCAACGGCAGCTGTAGCAGCAGCGGCTGTAGCAGCAGCAACGGCTGTAGCTGCAGCAGCAGTGGCAGCTGCTGCCGCTGCCGCAGCAGCAGCAGCGGCAGCTGACTTTGACTTCTCCCCTTCCTTCTCACCCGCACCCTTCGCATTAAGCTCTTCCACTTTGCCCTCCTCCTCCTTCACCTCCTCCTCTGTGTTCTTCAACTCCTTCACCTCCTTGCTTTCTTCTGCCTTAGCAGGAGCAACCTCAGCACTTTCCTCACCCTTCTTCTCTTTCATCTCCCCCTCCTCCTCCTTCCCCTTCTTAACCGCCTCTCCTTCTCTCTCCTTCTTATCCCCCTCCTTAACCACTTCACCCGTCGCCTCCGCCTCCTTAGCCCCCTCTTTCACCTCAGCAACCTCACCAGTTTCGGACTTAGCAGCGAAATTCCCTTCAGCACCCGCAGTTTCGCCAGCCTCGTTCTTGCCCTCAGCTGTAGCAACAGCTGTACCGACTGCAGCAGCAACGGCTGTAGCAGCAACAGCCGCAGCAGCTGTAGCAGCAACAGCTGTAGCTGTCGTAATTTGAGACGAGGGGGCCCCTTGAACCTCCTTCTCCTCTCCTTTAGCCTTCTCCCCTTCAGGCTCCTGTACTGCTTCCCCCCCCTCTTTCTTGCCTGCATCTTTCTCCTCTCCCTTCTCCTTCCCTTCCCTCTTCTCCTCACCTTTCTTCTTCTTCTCCTTCTTGTCTTTCTTCTTCCCACCCTTCTTCTCCTCTCCTTTCTCCTTTGCGGCGCCCGCCTCCCCACTTAACCCCTCTCCTTCCTTACTCTCCTCCACTGGTTTCGCCACCACAGGAGCAACCGCTGCAGCAGGAGCAGCAGCAGGAGCAGCAGCAGGAGCAGCAGCAGGAGCAGCAGCAGGTGCCACAACACCAGTCACCTCCCCACGTGCCTTTTTCTCTTCCTCCTCGCTTGAAACCTTCGCCTTTGCATCACCACCGTCCTTCCCATCCCTCCCTTCTACCACCTTCCCTTCACCCTCCTTCCCTGCGGTCTCTTTCCCCACACCCCCCTCTGCTGAAACTGGCTCGCCTGTGACCTTTGCTGCCACCTCCTCTTTGCTCTTCGCCTGAACCTCTTCACCCTTCCCTGCTACATTCTGTTCTCCATTTGCCACAGCCGCATCACTCCCCTTCTCCCGCTTCTCCTCGCCCTTCTCACCCTCCTCTTTCTTTTCCACCACAGCCTCTCCCACACCCTCCTCCCCTTCCTTCCCTCCCTTCTCCTCCTTCCCCTGCTGCCCCGAAGCATCACCAGAGGGGCTCCGAACCACTGGCCCCGCCGTCTTACCGCTCCCGGACCTCTTCAGCCCATCCGGACCTGCCCCGGGCCTGTCTCTCGTTCCCGAACCTGGCGATGGCAAGTTGGCAACTGCTCCTGTCGTAGACACTATGATCCGATTGGAGGACATGACCTGTGCACTTACCCCGCTTCCCCTACCCGCCCCAGGCCCTGTCCCCCCTGCCCCGCCTGCTCCACCTGCCCCCCTCCCGTGCATTCCCCCTGCCCTTCCTCCTCCGCCCATTCCCCCCATTCCCCCTCCTCCCCCAACTCCCCGCCCATGCGCTGGAATCACAAACCCTGTCCCCGCGCCCATCATATAACCCCCCACACCCGGCCCTCCCGAGCCTACAGGAGCCATCATCGGCAGGTTCGGGATCGCCATACCTGGCCCCTGACCGACCGGCGACGACACAGGCATATTCCCCATACCATCCATCCCAGGCATGGGCATCTCCTCTCCTGCCCCCGAACCAGCCCCGCCAGCGCCCGCACCCCCCGCTCCCGAACCTGGACCACCAGGTACGGCGCCAGGAATGGCACCAGTAGCATAGTGCACCATACCAGCCGGCCCGCCCCCTGGCATCTGCTGGTGTGGCAAAACGTGTCCCATATGCGGCCTCACCCCCCCGCCATGCCCCGCCTGCTGCGGATACGGGGGGGTAAACCTACCCTGCCCGCCTGCCCCTGGCCCGCCCATCCCCCCTCCCGGCCCCCCGACCATTCCCCCGCCTGCTGGCATAGGCCCGGGCTGCTGTGGGGGGAAGAAGCGCGCTTGGGGGAAGGCACCGGGGGGAACACCCGCCAACCCGGGCACCCCAGGCACCCCTGGCACTCCCCCCACACCAGGCATGCCCGGATAGTACATGGATGGAAACATGTGCCCGGGTTGCGGGAACCCCATGGGGGGGCGCGCGCCTGCTGCTGCTGCCGCCACCCCAATAGGCATCCCCCGGCCGGCCACCCCTGCTGCTGCCGCCCCAGCAGCGGGGGAGACTAGGCCGCCGTGAGGAGTGGTGGGGGCGGAACCTGGGGTGGGTGGCTGGGCTGGGATTTCGAAGGTCAGGCCTGCAGGGGTTGAGGTAAGCCCGTGAGGAGCAGGGGAGGTTGTAGCGCTTGTGCTGCCTCTCCCTGCTGCCCCCCCTGCCGGTCCCCCTGCTGCCCCCCCTGCTGCTCCCCCTGCCCCCGCACCTGCGCCCTCCCCTGCCCCTGCGCCCGTCCCTCCCCTCGCCCCTGCTCCTGCTCCTGCTGCTCCTGCCCCGGGCTTGGCTTTAGTAGCGGGCACTTTTTCCACCTTCACCTCCTTCTGAGTGGTCGGATCCATAATTTTAAGTGCCCGGCTTGCCCTAGGCTGTAGCAGCGCAGAGGGCTTAGGGTTTTGCATGCCTGGATATTGGGATCCTGCTGGGACAGTGCCGTACTGAATGGTCATGCCTGACGGGCCGTGCTGCTGGTACGCCACCATGATGTGTTGCTGCGCCTGGTGCTGCAGCATATGCGGTGGCTGCTGCTGTTGCATCTGCTGCTGCTGCTGCTGCTGCTGGAGTTGTTGCTGGGGAGGGGGAGGGGAAGGGTGGGGCCCCTGACCTTGCTGCTGCTGCAACTGCTGCTGCTGCTGTTGTTGCTGCTGCTGTTGCTGTTGTTGCTGCTGTTGCTGTTGCTGTTGCTGTTGCTGCTGCTGCTGCTGTTGTGACTGCAGCTGCTGCTGCAGCTGCATCTGTTGTTGGTGCTGCTGTTGCTGCTGCTGCGCCTGTTGCTGCTGCTGCTGCTGCTGCTGCTGACCCATCCCCATCCCCGGTTGAGGCGACAATCCCGGCTGGTGTAACCCGGGATGCTGCAGGTGCGGCGGAAGGCCGTGCCCGTGTTGCTGTAGCGCCATGGCAGCATGCAAGTGGGGCGGCAGCTGCTGTAGCTGGTTCTGTATCTGAGCCTGTAGCGAGCCTGGCTGTAGCGGGCCCTGCTGTAGCGGACCCTGCAGCTGAGGCTGTAGCTGACCCGGTTGTAGCTGGCCCGGTTGTAGCTGAGGTTGTGCGCCAGGCATCATCAGGGGAGGGCGTATGTGAGGGGCGGGAAGTGGCTGCAAGGGCGGTTGAACGAGCGGCGGAGGAGGGGAGGGCTGTGGGGGTTGCTGAGATGGCTGCCCCGGGTGTTGGGGTCTGTGCTGCTGCTGCTGCTGCTGCTGCTGCTGCTGCTGTTGCTGTTGCTGTTGCTGTTGCTGTTGCTGTTGCTGCTGTTGTTGTTGCTGTTGCAGAGGGATGGGGACTTGCCCTGGTGCGTGCGGGTGCTGCTGGTGTAGCGGAATGTGTTGGTGCTGAAAGGGAGGTTGTTGAAAGCCCTGACCGCGAGGCTGCTGCTGCTGTTGCTGTTGTTGCTGCTGAAGCTGGTGTTGATGCAGTCTCTGCTGCTGCAGGTGCTGCTGCTGCTGCTGTTGCTGCTGCTGTCTTTGCTGTTGCTGTTGCTGCTGCTGCTGCTGCTGTTGCTGTTGGTGTTGTCTATGCTGCTGCTGCTGCTGTTGCTGTTGGTTCTGCCGTGCCGCCGCTACTCCAACCTCACTTCCCGATGCCACACCTGCACCTGCACCAGATGCACCTACACCAGCTGCACCCGCACCACCTGCGCCAGGCGCGCCTGCCCCTGCAGCACCTGCGCCCCATGCGCTGACCCCAGCGGACGACAAAATCCCCGCGCCCCCTCTCCCCCCTCCATGTGCCTGCTGCCCCCCTCTTCCCATCCCCCTCCCCGCCCCCCCTCCTCCCCCTGCTACCCCCCCACCATTCTGCCCCACTGCTGCTCCTGCTGCTCCTGCTGCTGATCCTCCTCCTGCGGCTGCTGCTCCTGCTGGTGCCCCTGCTACTATCCCTGAGGCTCCTCCAGCCCCTGCAGCAACTGGAGCAGTAATGCCGCTGCCACTAGTGGGGGCGGCAGCAGCGGGAGCCGGAAGCACCTGTTGAGATTCTTCTGGGATGCTTCCTCCGATAGGGGCTTTGGGGCCTGTTGGTGCAGCCCCTGCTTCTCCGGACTTGGCTGCTTGCTGCTGGCGAAGCAGGGCCTCGTGGCGGGCCTAATGGGCAGGAGAAAGACACGGGAAAGACACGGGGCAGGCAGGCAGGTAGGCAGGGAAAAACAGTTGGGTGTGTGTGAGGGTTCGGACTTGGCTGCTTGCTGCTGGCGAAGCATGGCCTCGTGCGGGGCCTAATGGGCAGGAGAAAGACACGGGACAGGCAGGGAGAATAAGTTGGGTCAGCGGGGCAGGAAGAACGAGTACATGGGAAAACAAAAACAACGACAACAACCAATGGGAGGGACAAGAGTGGGGGCGACGGGTGACCAAGAAGGCTGTGGAAGAGCGAGGAACTTGATGCGCGAAGAGAGAAGAAAAAGCTGGAGTGACGCAAAAAAAACAGTGGTGAAGGCAAGGTCAAGCCGCGAGCAAAGGCAGAGAGGGAAGCACAGTGGGTACGATGGTGTACCTGCTCCTTCTGTTGCTCGTCCAGATTGGGCGGAGCAGACGTTGTGCGAGGGGGAACCTGCAGCAGTAGCCAGGGAAGCAGGCGGGAAAATGGAACAGCACAGGTGGTGAATACACGGAGGGGGCAAGAAGAATAACGCTCCGTGAGCATCATTAAACTTTTTAGCAGTCGCAGCGGAGGCGGGAAGCAAAGCAGCTCAAGTGGTGAGAGACAGAGGACGAAAGAGGAGGACGTCAAACGGGCCAGGAGCGAGGAGGGGAGAAAGGGGAAACGGGGCATACAATGACAGGGCCGCTGGCGCCCACGTGTGTACAGTGAATTTTTGAGACGTCTCAAAAAGAGAAAGGGAAAACGGGGCATACAATGACGGGGCCGCTGGCGCCCATGAAGTTAAACAGAGACCGCAGGAGAGAGCAAGGGAGAAGGGAAGAGCAAGAGAGCAAGGGGAGAGCAAGGGGAGAGGGGGGGGGGCATACAATGACGGGGCCGCTGGCGCCCATGAAGTTAGGGTTGAACGTGCCAAACTGCAGAGCTACAGGCGATACGCCAGGGGGAAGAGCAGGAGGCCCCGCTACAGCCGCAGCAGCACCAGGAGCCTTCACCGGTGGCTTCGCCCCACCCTTTGCACCACCCTTCGCCCCGCCTGCTGCCCCCTGACCCCCGTCCATCCCCGCGCCACCAGCTGCCCCTGCTCCTGCGCCTGCGCCTGTTTTAGCGCCCTCCCCTAGCCCCGCGCGCGCAGCTGACAAGAACCCTGTGAGAGACCCCCCCGATGCTGCTGCCGAGCCTGCGGTGGAGGTCTGGGAAACAGGCGGGACGGATTGCCCTGGCTTGGCAGCCGCTACGGCAGGCATTTTGGAAGAAGCAGCTGCGGCACCAGCAGCAGCTGCGGCACCAGCAGCAGCTGCTGCTGCGAAGGACTGGGCTGGAGTTGAAACGGCGGAGGGAGCAGAAACCACAGAAGCAGCAGAAACCGCAGCTGCTGCTGCGGAAGCAGCAGTCGCCATCGCAGCGGTAGCAGTAGCAGTAGCGGCTGTGGGGGGGGGCGCAACGGGTTTGGTAGCGGTTGCTGTGGCTGTAGGGATTGTAGCAGCTGCTGTGGTGGGTGTGGGGGCTGCATTTCTACTGCCGGTGCCTGCGGCAACTGCTGCTGCTGCTGGTACTTGCGTCTTCTGACCCTGCCACGGCTGCTGTGGCTGCTGTTGAGAGCGTGATTGATCCTGCTGCTTCTGCACACCGGCTTGAGATGCACTACCCGCCTGTGCTGCTGTTTCCGTGCCCTGTGTCGGCTTGGCGGCGTCCGCCTTCCCCTGTGACGCGGTTTCTCCCGCTTGACCTGTCGCTTGCTGCGCCCCGCTTCCGCCCACCCGCGCTTGCTGCGCCTGTGCCTGCGCCTGTTGCGCCTGGGCGGGCGGTGCAGCGGCGCGATTCAGCGCCTGCGCCGCTCTTTGCGCGTACGACATCCCCCCAGCGGCTGCTGCAGCGGCAAACGATATTCTCGGCGCAGGCACACCCGCGGGTCCTGCGCCAGGCGCTCCCCCGGACCCTGCTACTGGCGCAGGCGCGCCTGCGCCCGGCGCAGCTACGCCCGGAGCCCCAGGCCGAACTACTGCTCCGCCCGCGGACGTGGAACGGGAGAGACCGGGGAAGGCGGAATCCGCAGGGGGAGGCGCAGACTCAAACCCTGGAATCCCCGGGCCAGATGACAACTGCACCGCCGGCTGCTGCTGCTGCCGCAGCTGCTGTGTGGCGGAAGCGGCGGCGAGGGCAGGCGCACCTGTGCGCGCAGGCCCCGCGCCCCACGCGGAAGGCGCAGGCGCGGCTGCGGGTGTGGGGCCGTTTCCCGCGACTGGCGCTGATCCATACCTTTGTTGGGACTGGGGACCTGCACCAGCGAAGGGAAGCAATCGAACAAAGATGTCCGTTGAGTGGGTATCGGTACAAAACACGAACACGAAAACGAAGGCTAAAACATGCAAATTCCGCTTTCAAATGAAAAATCCTCCCCACGCTAGCTAATGGATCACATCCAATGAGAAGTCGTGGCAACTTGGCATACCAAGGCTGAATCTCTAAGGTGAAGCGCAGTAACAATAATATACTTATATCTGCTGAACACCAGTCAAAGTAGCCGTATATATTGACCCTCTTTTTCGTTTTTTTTTGCTGTATGACACGACCGTATGTATATGCTTCTGTTTCACTGTGTGTTTCCTTCTGTTGTCACAAACCAGCTCCAGCATGCATCCACCGTTTGTTGTACACGCAACTACTAAATCTTATCTCCCACTTTCTTTCTCTATCTCTATCTCCCTCTATGCCTACCTGTTGCTCCACGATACCCTCCGGCACCTCCGCCTATTCCCGCTGCGCCTGACATTCCCTGCCCGCTTCCCCGACCGATGCCGCCTCTGCCGGCACCGCCGGCGCTAGGTGCGCCTTCAGCGGGGCCATTCGGCGTCCGGCGGAACCTGAAGTGGGGGGAAGCGGGATTGGGGGAAGCGGAATCTGAAAGAAGATCGGAAAATCCGCGGGACGGCGAGGAAAGTTTTTCTGGAAATATGTGAAGAAAGGATATCTGGGATCAAGTAGGGAAGAAAACATGAGCCACCTAGGTTCCGAAAGCACGCAGCCTTGAACGAGACTGGAACGAACAAGCGGCCGATCCGTTCGCTGCGGAATAACTCAGACAGACCGGTCAAACAGGTCTGTTCAATCCGCGATACTATGAAACACCGCTATTTCACGCCTGAATGCCAGATCACGCCCGAATGTCGGATTACGCGGAGTCGATGTCTATAGCACTGTTGATTGAGTAACCTAACGGATCAGACAGACCCCCTGGCTTCAGCGGACCACAAAACTAGTTGTCGCGAAAAAACTTAACCAAAAGACCCACGGAAGAAGAAACTTGATAATCTCCATGAATCCACCACATAATAACGGCTGCAAGGTAAGCTAATATTTACAGTCGTCCAGTCTTAAGATATTTATTACCTCAAGCTGTTACTACTCACGATGTGCTATAACCTACGAGCTGCTATGATCCAAAACAGAATAAGCTATTTCGGTACGCCGCGGCGCCTGTCGGTGGTCTAAGCTAATTCCTACGATCTGCTACTGATCCGCAATAAGAGATTATCAGGAATAAGCTATTTATTACTACATGCTACTAACTACAATGTGCAACTATATGTGACATGCTTCTATGTTCAGTAACCTACAGTCTACTGCGCTTTGAAAAATCGGATCACATACCCTCGTCCCACTCCTTGCGGTTGACCGCGTCCGGCTGCCGGACCGGCAGCTGAGCCGGCAGATGAGCCGGCAGCAGAGCTCTGACCGCTAACTACGGGGCTGGGCCCCTTCCCTCCTTGCGGTACCCCCTGCTGGCGCGGACCGCTCGTCCCGCCTCCTCTCCCTTTCCGGTTCGCCTGATCCGGTCTATCGGCCCTACCCGGTTGCTGGGACATCAATCTACTCGAGAATTCCCCACAAACCACCGACAGGCGGCGCGATGCCGAGCTGACAACGCCTTAGGTCGCGTGTGAAATCCAGCGACCATGAAGAAAAGGAATGGTGATTGACAAAGGAACTAGGATCAAGGGATCAGAAAAGGGATCTGAAAGTACGATCAATGAACAGGCTGGGGTATTTGAAGGAGCAAGCAAATCCCGAGGTTCGCAAAATGGACGGACAAGCAGGTTGGGGGAAGAAGGGGGAAGTTGGGGGGAACACACTTTGGCGGGAGATGGGAGGAGTTTAGGGCAGAAGTTTCAGCACTGGGCAGCTTATATCGAGGGGAAACTCGGTTGGGCGTAGGAATCAGAAAGCGAGGCTTGCCTCGTTATTAGAACCCGAGGTGGCTGAATATCCTGTTGATCAGTTCCAGGTTCTGTGGGTGGAGTCAGCACAAGCGAAAGCCGCATTTGCCCAAACGGTGCTTGAGCTGGCGAAACGGCGAAATGCACAAAAGTTTTCGGAAGCACCGTGCGGGGCTGGCGAATATCCGAAAGTCTGAGTCAGGTGATTGGTTTGCTGACTTGCGGGCGTGTTCGCCCAAGGTGTGGGTGGAAGCATGCAGGGAGGAAAAGTTTGGCGATACTTGTGCCTGGTGGTATACCTTCGCCCACTCCAAACACCCACAGGTTCACGAATATCCTCGAGCTCAGCGATTGAGTAAACGCATCTTGGGTGCGCTTACACTAAGGGCTTATCATCCCTAATTAAGTTTACTCTTAAGCAACTTATTGTTCCACTTTCTAAAGTAGAGATCGTGTATACATATCTTCTCTATGATCCTAACACCTTGGATTGGGATGTGGTCGAAACGTAGGCACGGACCACTTATTATCAACCGAGGCGTACCACTTTGGTGGCGCGACGGTGCTAGACTGTAATAGTATATTTGGACAAAGATCACAATATGGTGCTAGGAATGAAGGGTCGTAATGAGCATGTAACAACTATGTAATCCTTACACTACTATCCTCATAAGAAAAATCATACAGCTCGGAAAATTCCGGCTTTGGATGTCAACGGTGATTACGAAATTATTCAACAAACGTTTATTGATGTGTAATCATTCCAACAAGTGGGAATATCATCAGGTTTTATGATTAGCTTTGCTGTAGATTTGGTCATGCTCGAAAGTCAGCTGCGGTGTACTTGGCTTGTGGATTGGGTATACGGGCTGGGAATGCGGAGAGTCACTCAACACTGGGAGCTTGAATACGGGGGGAAGCACGGGTGGTTCGAGTAATCGTACCGTATGTTCGTGTTTTCTATCACTTGTAATTCACTGGGTAAAAAAACAAGAGTTTCACTAGCAAAAGTTACGAACAACAATGATAGACATTGCAATGGCAAGAATGAATACATCATATGCAAGGCAGTATAGCAAGCAGGCAGGTCGACAACCAGCGCAGCAAAGTTGGCGACCTGCCAGCACTGCAAGTAAACACCGCGCCAACACTGCAGAGAGGCGGCTTGCCAACGTAGCAAGTCGGTGACCTGCCAGCGCTGCACCAAAGCGGCTTGCCAATGCTGCAGCAGGGCGGCCTGCCAGCGTTGCAACCACAGGTGACAACACATGCGTACACCTACTTCGCAGGTTCTTGTAAACGGTCGAGCACGACGTGCAACGTCACGCACATCACCCATGCCAAGTCGGCCACGTGTCGACGGTTGTGTCTGATGAGCCAAGTCGGCCACGTGTCGACGGTTGTGTCTGATGAGCCACGTCGACCACGTGCTGCCACGTTGGTCGACTTCGCCACAACAACCTCCACGACTTTCGCGGGCCTCCGCAGAACCTCGTCGACCAGGTAACTCTCTCCTCGGCGGCTTCGCAGTGGTCCCGCGCATGTCGACCAACTTTGTCGACCTGCACACCCTAGTTGGTCAACTTCCTGCGCAGACGTTCCACGCGGTCCGCGGGCAGCCGGCTACACCTCCCGCGCGCCCGACTGCAGGGTCAGCTTTGCCAAAGCGAGGGCGGTGTTAGAGTAAGGACCTTGGATAGGATAGGAATGCCTTAGAAGAGTTTGGTAGCGGAAGTCTTAGTTGTAGGAACTCTGATCATAGTAAATGTAGATAACAAAGTTGATTAAAAGAAAGATTACACACATAATAAATAGTTCCTAGCTAGCCATGTACTCTGAGGAGTACATTCCCTTATTCTAACTGCTTTATAGGCATTTCTGCAGTGACTCTGACTGTTGCACTACTTTCTTGTTACCGAGTCGCTGCATGTAACCAGTACATACGGTTACGCCTGTTGCCATTCTACGATGGTAAGTCAAACGTCGGTCCAGATGGTCAACAGTCGCGACAGTTGACTCTTGCGACTGTTGACCTTCCTGCCCTTGATACGGGCTGATCCGATACTGCGGTTGTTGCTGCTTCGATAAGGACTGGTGCGATACTGCTGCACCTACGGGAATGCTAAGTGTAATCCCTTTTATACTCCAACACTCCCCTTCATTCCTGGAGGTGCGCCACGTGCCTTTTTTGAACGACTCCGCACAGATCCGAGCAGTACTGTAACTTCTGACGTGGTAGTTTCTTCGTCAGAAAATCAGCTGCCATTTTGCCAGTCGGGCAGTAGGTGAGCTGGACCTTCCCTTTGTCGATTTCGTCCTTGACGAAGAAGTAACGCAGGGCGATGTGTTTCGTGCGGTTGACGAAACCTGGCTTGTTTGCAATTTTGATCGCGCTCTGGTTGTCGCAGAGTAACTTGAAGGACCCGTTCATCGCCGTCTTCGTTTCCTGTAGGAGTTCCGTGAGGTAGAGACCTTCGCGAACTGTTGCGCTTGCTGCGATGAATTCTGCTTCTGCTGACGAGAGGGCGATGTGCTCCTGTTTCTGGGAGTTCCAGGAGATGGTTCCTGCAGGCTCGAGTTTGAAAATAAAGCCTGTGCGGGATCTCCTGTTATCTGCGTCCCCTGCGTGATCCGCATCCACGTAGCCAGTAAGCTGTAGAGTAGCCGTTAGGTTCGCTGTGTAGGTGAGGCCGACATCGGCCGTAGAGATGAAGTACTGTAAGGCCCGGCGCAGGTCTGCCAGGTTCTCCCCTTCAGGTCGATGCAGGTACTGGGCGAGCTGGCTGGCGATGTAGGATAAGTCCGGGCGGCATGTGACGGCGGCGAACAGTAGACACCCGAGTTGCTGCTGGTAGAGGCGGTGATCAGCCTGTGAGAGCGGGGTAGTGTCGGGCTCGTGGTTAGGAGGAGGAGTGCGGAATGGGGTAGTGATGCCGACGGGAGCGATGCCGAACTTCTTAGCGAGTGTTTCAACGTATTTCGCGGCAGAGAGGTGTCAAACATTGTATATGTTTGTGTTCTGTAGGCTATAGTGGGTTTAGCCTTAGGGGGTACAACATTCTAGGTTTTCCTACTTGTACTCCCAATGTTGTTAGTTCATCATCCTTCTCTAATTCTGACATGGTATCACGAGCCTAGGTTAGTCACCTAGGACCGACTACTGTTAGGGCCCACCACTGCTACTACTGCCTACTACCTGTGCGCCCTCGTGCGCTTACTGCCTGCGCCCTCGTGCGCCCTTTTGCTAGTTGCGCGCTGCCCACTAGCCTCGCACGCAGCCCCTCGCGGCCCCGTGCAGCCCCGTGTGTCGCCCGCCTGCCTACCCGCGCCCTCGAGCGCCTACCTACCCGCGCCCTCGAGCGCCTACCTACTCGCGCCCTTGAGCGCCTGCCTACCCGCGCCCTCGAGCGCCACCCTGCCGCCCTGCCCTGCAGGCCGCGCGCGGGCCTACTCTGCACCCACGCAGCCGCCCCTGGAACCCGCGGCGCGGCCCCTGGACCCCGCGACGCGTCGCCCTGCTCGTCGCGACGCCTCTGCGGGACCCGGGCGTCGCCCCTGCCTCGTCGCGACGCCCCTACGGGACCCGCGCGTCGCCCCTGCCTCGTCGCGACGCCCCTGCGGGACCCGCGCGACGCCCCTGCGGGACCCGCGCGTCGCCCCCGCCTCGTCGCGGCGCCTCTACGGGACCCGCGCGTCGCCCCTGCCTCCTCGCGACGCCCCTACGGGACCCGCGCGTCGCCCCCCCCCCCCCCCCCCGTCTCGTCGCGACGCCCATGCGGGACCCGCGCGGAGTCGCCCCTGCCCGCCGCGGCGCCCTGACCTAACCCGCGCCCGCCCTTGGGACGGCCGCCCCTGGCCCCTGGAGCAGCCGCCCCTGACCCCTGGAGCAGCCGCCACTGCAGCAGCCGCCCCTGGCCCCTGGAGCAGCCGCACCTGCAGCCGCCCCTGGCCCCTGGAGCAGCCGCCCCTGACCCCTGGAGCAGCCGCCACTGCAGCAGCCGCCCCTGGCCCCTGGAGCAGCCGCCCCTGCAGCAGCCGCCCCTGGCCCCTGGAGCAGCTGCCGTCGCGGCCCGGCCCCGCCCTGCAGCAACTGCCGCGGAGCCTTTAGCCGCAGTCGTGGCCCCGCCCTGCAGCAGCCGCCGCGGAGCTCCCTGCCGCGGCCCGGCCCCGCCCTGCAGCTGTAGCGGCCCCGCTGTCGCCGTCGTCTTGCGCCTGCTCTTCCCACCACTGGTGAGCACTGCCCTGCCCGCGCTGCTACCGCTGCTACTGCTGCTACTGTTTTTACTGCTCCTACTGCTACTACTCCTGCTGCTGCTGCTGTTGCTGCCGCTACTGCTGCTACTGCTGCTCCTGGCGTGGCCAGATGCAGCTCCAGGGCCGTCCGCGTGAGTCCCTCACGCCCCAGCAGCTTCGTGAGTGGTACGCTCGTTGGGGTTGTCGGGGTGGCCGTAGTGGGAGTCGCTCTGGAGTGGGTAGTTCGGGAGCTTCTGGTAGTGGCCAGGTGCAGCTGCAGCGTTGTCCCCGCGAGGCTCTTTCGCCCCAGCAGCTTCGTGAGTGGTACGCTAGTTGGGGTTGTCGGGGTGGCCGCAGTGGGAGTCGCTCTGGAGTGGGTAGTTCGGGAGCTTCTGGTAGTGGCCAGGTCCAGTCTA